AGTAACCTACCACTACATAATGTTGTCTACAGTCCTTTGTTCTCAAAGCGACTTTGTTCATGCAATGCGCTGCTCAATAACGGGTATAGCAGCACTGCGACACTTACTGGCGAGACTATCAGAGCACCAAATGGCTGGATTGTCCTAGAAGCAACAGTAGCTTCTCTGACTTCACCTCTACATTGGTTTGTGGGTGTACCGCTTCCACCTACCACTGCTTTTGGGGTCCTTTGCCCTTTGGTCACGGAATCACAAGAGTCTTTATGGCATAATCGCATGTGTCACCCTGCACAAGCAGTTCTCAGGCACATTCGCAGATTAGGTCTTACACAAGATATTACATTACAGGGGGAGATTACTCCTTGCAAAGGTTGTGCACAGGGCAAACTTTCCTCCAAGGTTTTTAAACCATCTTGGAAACGTGCAGTAATACCTCTCGGGCTTGTCCATGCTGACTTGCTTGAATTACCTGTTGAATCTTATTTTCGGTCTCCGACACCTATGCTGCTTTTGCCAATTGGCTGGTGTCTGTTCAGAGTACTACTGGACGACATCTACTTGCGCTCCGTTTGGATCGAGGGGGAGAGTTTATGGGTCTTACCTTCAGAGCGCTCCTTTCTTCGCGCAGTATTACTCATCAATTATCCATAGCCGACCAGCCACAGCAAAATGGTCAGGCAGAACACTTTAATTGGACTATTTCCGAGAAAGCAGGGACCATTCGACATCATGCATGTGTTCCAAAACATTTTTGGAATTTTGCTTTTGACTGTGCACTTCATGTGTACAATCGCACTCCTCTCAAGAGGATTCAATTCAAGACTCCGGTTGAACTATTCTTAGGAAAAGTCCTGGATATCACCTATTTTCGCACCTTTGGCTGCAAAGCTTTTGTATGGGTTCCTAAAGAACAACAAAAAGATAAACTGGAACCTCACGCAGTCAAAATGATTTTCTTGGGCTATGAGCCTAATACAAAAGGATATCGGTTCCTTCATGGACAAAAGATAATTCTTTCTCACACTGCAAAATTTATAGAAGACTCTTTTCCTTTTTGCTCTGATCACAAACAAAAATCCGATACCTTTGACCCCAATACCGAAGACAACCAAGAATCAAATAATTCTGACTCTGAAAGCCTACATTCACTTCCGGATCCTGATCAGATCCAATCGCTGCCTCATCACCGGCAACCACCTCGTCCATTAACTCCACCACAACAACAAAACCCACAGCAGAGAGCTGCAGACCAGCCAAGAGCTCAACAACAAAGAAGAGCACCTGCTGCTGCACCAACAGTCGACCCTCGTCATCTAAGGCACCCTCATCAACCTGAATTTATTCAAGGGGACTTGTGTAATGTTCGCAGAGCTCAACCTGCCGATGACAGAGAACCTCATCCAAAACATCGATTTATACCAGTATCTCGTCCTGGGAATCTCTATGGAGACAGACCCCCAGTTGACATTGAACGAGATATTCAAAGAAATCAGGATCAAGCACAAGAGTGGATTCGTAATGCTGAGCGACATGCTTGCAATTCCAGAGAAGATATTCGGAGATATGCAGAAGAGCGCAGACCTCCTTCTCCGAGGTTACCTCCTGCAATGATACCTCCTGAAGTTCCTCGTCAGTGGACTGAACATCCACAAGGAACTACACCTCCATCTCCTGGTTCACCACTCACTCCACTTCCAGAAACTCCTTCTTCGCCGAAAGGCATGCCAGATCAACAGGTGGAAATGCATCCCTTTGAGTTTGCATTGGCTGCCAGAGTTAAAGAGTCTCTGGAACATTTTAAAGATGTGCTGAAATTATCTCCCTGAGTTACAAAAGAAGTGGTTTGACGCAATGAAGGATGAATTAAAGTCTATTGAAGAAAGACAAGTATGGACTTTGGTGGATCCTCCTAGAGATCAGAAACCAGTCAAGTGTTGATGGGTTTTCGCTATCAAAAGCGATGGTTGTTACAAAGCTCGTCTTGTGGCTAAAGGCTTCACACAAGAATTTGGTACCGACTTTGAAGATACCTTCTCTCCAGTCGCTCATTTCGAAACTGTGCAAATTCTTCTCGCATTTGCTGCCCAACGAAATTGGGAAACATGAAGCACTGGATGTCAAAACTGCCTTTCTATATGGCAATCTAGATGAAGAAATATATATGGAGCAACCAGAAGGATTCAAAGTTTCGGGTCAAGAACACAAGGTTTATCGGTTGCTAAGAGCCCTTTATGGCTTAAAGCAAGCTGCAGTTGGCATGGAATAAAGCCCTTCATCAATCCTTACTCGCAATGGGCTATATTCGTTCCAAAGTGGATGCTGGGATTTACATCCATATATCCAAAGCTGGAATCAGTCATTTTCCTCGTCTATGTCAATGATGGACTTTTTCTAGGATTGGACAAATGTCTTCTTAAAGCCAAGAAAGAACAGTTTATGAAGAAATGGGAATCCCTGAGGTCTTGGTGAAGTCAAGGGAATATCTTGGCATTCAAATTCACCTGAGATAGGTTGAAAAAGGAAATATATCTCGACCAAATACCTTATGTCAAAAAGGTTATCAAAAGATTCAATATGGAGACTGCTCGAAATGTTTGCACTCCATTACCTTCGGGATATCAACCAGAGAAATCACCATTGGACTACCAAGCCACATCTTCTCTTCGGTCACAGTACCAGTCTATTATAGGGTCATTACTCTATATGGCTCTGGGAACTCGTCCCGATATTGCCTTTGTGGTTATTCGCATGTCACAGTATATGGCAAATCCAACTGAAGATCACAAAAATAAAGCCTTGCATATAGTTCGCTATATTGCATCAACACCAAAGTTGGCTTTATATTATTCGGGACTTGAATCTCGAATTTATGGCTTTGCAGATTCCGACTGGGCTGCCAATAAAGATACTAGGCATTCCACTACTGGTTATGCCATGTTTCTTGGCAATTCTCTCATTTCTTGGCAGTTCAAGAAAACAGAAGACTATCAGCACTATCCTCTACTGAAGCCGAGTATATGGCTTTATGTGACTCTGCACGACAAATCAAATGGCTCTCTATGCTGTTTAATGAACTCAAACTCAAGACTGAGAAAACTATCCTTTATTGTGATAATATGGGAGCTCAGCTTTATAGCTGAGAATCCTGTATCAGATGGACTGGTCGAAACATATCGACATCCAGTGGCACTTCATGCATGAATGTGTTCAGGATGGTTTGTTCAGTATTGAATACAGTTCAAACTGACAAACAGAAAGCAGACGGTCTTACGAAGTCTTTAATGTGGCAGAAGTTCGAAACTAATCGCTTGTCAATGGGTTTAGTTACTCTACCATTTTAGAGCAAGGGGGAGTGTTGGAAATATTCCTAATAGTTCCGATGTCTAGATCATTCCAGAACTACACATGTTCAACACGTTGTCCATCACATGACTTGGGTCAGTCATCAGCTCCACAATGACATTCATAGTGACATCATAACAGACATCATGTTATATGTCATATTCCATGACCTTCCATGTTATTCTTTACTATACTGAGTAGTAGTTTCCTTTTACGCTACTGGTCCGTGCGTACCTACTCATGTATATAAACTCAGGGACTTTCGTCCTAAGTCCCTATTGAATTCCACATTCGTTCTTCACTTGTCTACTCGACAACTGAGCCCCTCAACTACAAGTTGCTTTCAAACGCTACTACCATTCTAACACAAGGCAAGTGTTCGTGCCTTATTGCTCTTCGTTTCTCCCATTCCTCTGCGCAATAGAATAGGTGTCCATTATCTATCTGAAGCGCTAACCTTGGTGCAGTAGCGCAAAAGCTGAAAAATATGTCCACCCCACAGAAAGCAAGGGCAGGGAATATCCATAGTTCTGCATACAGCGTATGGTAGCGAACGGAGTAACAAAAGAGGCCACGAAGGACAAAATGTTGTGTGTCTTAGATGGTCAAGGTCAGGCGTTTGTTACACACCGAGCGTGAGTTGGAACTCAGGGGGCTACAAAGAGAACCCGATAGAAAAACCTTCGAACTGGGCGAAGGGAAGTCAAGACGATGGTTCCGAGCACAGAAAAGTGGCGCTGGAGGCACCCTTCCGCGGACTGAGGATGGGAAGGAATCCAACTCTCCGAGCGAGATCACCGACCATCCCTGTTAGGTTACATAGTCAATAGAGTAGCTGATCGACCCCCCACCAACTGTCCACTTCGCAATGGTCAGAGGACAAGCCTTCGGGTGTACGTTTGTGCTTTCTCAACTGCAAAAGCTGTTGCTCATGCAGCTGATCACCAGCTGACCCAGAGGACGGTGGAGGGGCAAACCTGAATGCTAATGGTAGCTGCGAGATGGATTGTGACAACAACGGAGGAAGCTTCATTACATAAACTTGAAGCTCGCATCATGCGTTGAACTGTACATCTTCCACTCAAATCAACAGTACTATTCCGAGGATAGCAGCGTCATAAGCAGCTGGTACCTCCTGCTAATTCCATCAAAATCCATCAAAATAGACAAAAATAGACAAAGTGAGGACTTCGGGATTCGAGGGAAGTTGGTCAGATTTGGTGAAGTTGCGTTTTTTTTTTTTTTTTTTTTTTTAGTATTAGGCCTGCAGGATTCCTGCCATTGGCGCCTGAGGCGAGGTTCCAGCGTGGTGGGAGATAGGGACGGAAGGACTCCCATCCGTGTAAACCGCTCTACTAATATAGAGCCTTCTGGGGTATGTCTCCTCTCTAGTCTCTTCATTTTTCGCTCTGCGTAAGTACCGCGATTTTATAGATATACAAGAGGCACATCGTGACCAATGATTGTTCAATATTCAATGAGAGAACTTGTCTCAGCATAACCCTTATGGCCTAGTGTCCATTCCAGCGTATCGATGGGCGCTCTTATCGATCAATACAAGTCCGCAGTTCCACGCCACTACCACCACCATCTCCCCCCCGTAGCCATACACTTACTGCTGTTCAGAAAGCTCCAAGAACCCTGTCTTTGCATTATTCATGGCTCCTGGTTTTTTTGGCGGATTGCGGCGTTTTCGGGGACCAGGTTCTCGGGCACAGAGCGACCACGCAGTGATTCCACAAGCTCCCGCTTCCACAGCGGACACCCAGCCAAGTGCGTCTTAAGCTTTACAAGATGAAGATGGTCGCAGCTCTTGGGTTGACTGAAGTCACTGTCGATGTTCTAGATGTCTGCATCGCTGCGCCGATTGAAGCGATTCGTCCACCTAGCATCTATGCGGATGTTCCTGCTCCCGACACCACTCAAGGTGGCCGCACATCCTCTTTTCACGTCCCTTCATGTGTTCGCTGAAGCTTCTTGCCCAGATTCTGTGCTAAACAGTACAGGCACTCCTCCTTTGTGGACTGATGATCAAACTACGGGTTCATGTTCTCTCACCGGACACACTGGCGAAATACTCACGGGCGAGTGTTGTACTTATGATGATGAGAGAAGTCTAACATTAGTAACCAGAGTTATCCTTGTCCCAGCCTGGCTATTGAGTAGAGGATCCTGTTGAAGCTAATCAACCAGGTAGGATCCCAGTAATTCATGCATCCACTTCTTGCGCTGATGGAAGCTACTGTCTAGATGCTCCTCCAGGCAGTGAAGGTGTATCCATTGTGACGTCGATTAAGACTCTTCACCCACTTTCACTCTCTACCTGTAACAATGCAGACAGTTCCATTTGACAGTACTTGAGGTAGTCGCACATGCTCTCCTATCTGCTTTGAGATGTGTCTACTGATGCTGCTTGCCCAGGTTCTCTGCAGAGCTCTACAGACATTCCTGTGCTGACTGTGGTCCAAAATATGGGTCCACACTCCACACAAGGTGATGTTGATACTCCTATTCCTGCATGCACTGGGAAAGTATCCTTGGGTATGTGTTTTGTTTGTAATGAGTGGAACAAGTGTTGCTCTCTTCACAGCCTGTCTACCGCCTAGATCCTGCGAAGGCTAAAGAATACATTGAGCACACTCATTGTTTTTGCATTCTTGTCATGGTAGGGCAAATGCAGGTAAAACAACAATCTTGCAGAGGGTTTGTAACATGGTGGATTGACCAGAAATCTTCAATGGAAAAGGGGAAAAGCTATGCATGAGGTGCTGTACTTGCTTCAGATTGACAATATTTTGGGCTATATTCAGGTGGATGCTGGTGTTGTGCAAGCCTCATTAACAGTGAGATTGGCTCTTGATTGTTATATAATGTGCTGTTGGAGCTGTTAAACCTTTCCAGCATGGCTACCATGACATTGAAGATGAGCTGGTCTTTCAAAGTAACCCAGGCTTTGTATTCCATGACTCATGTGGGTTTGAAGCTGCAAATGCAGTGCAGTTCAACAAGATGAATAAATTTGTAATGGATTGTGCCAAGGCATTCAAACTAGATGAGAGAATACATGCCATTTGGTAAGGACATATGACTGGCAGTGTGAATGTGCTGATGTGATTCTGGTGAATGATCAAGGTTTTGTATTCCATGGACTGACAGTGAGAAGATGGTCACAGCTAGTGAAATGAAGTTTTTTGATGAATGTGATACAGGGTATGGTGAGTGGGTTACATATTTTATGGTTGATGTTTTAAATTTTGGCATTTCCAAAGTTCCTGTGATTGTGCTGTTGACAAAGACAGATGCCTTGGAGCTTGAGGCACTGGAGGAGCTGGAGGGCCAAGGGTCAAGTGTGGATGATGCAGAAAGGGTTGCAGATGTGCAAAGAGAAATTCTGGACACCCATACCACAAAGCTCAAGGGTTGGTTGAGCCAGTGAAGGTTTCCACCTCATGACTATCTGTCACTTGGTGATAAGTACTGTATATTATCAGTAGGTTGGCAAACTTGGTGAGAAATCATTCCAGGAATGGAAAAAGGGGATGCAGATTGTGCACCCTGACTGACATGCACAGCAAATGTTTTGAATGGAGAAGGGCTGCAACAGCTTCTCATATCAACACAGCAGTCCAACCTGGGATTATGTGTTGAATTTGCTATAGTGAAGTAAGTTATGTATATTAATCACAATGACTGTTGATGCAGAACAGCCTGAGATACATCAATGACAATTCACACATGGCAAACATCACAACAGTTTTAAAAGCCCTTCACTGTATATGATCTTTGGGGACAGATATATGTGCATGGTACAATACCAGGGTCACATAGACACAGTGTGCATGCTGAGTCAGGAATGCAGCTGTACATGGCTAAGTCCCTTCAATGGCAGACCAGGCAAGAAACAAAGACACAAGAGAATAACAAAAGGAAAGGAACCAGTTGTTGTCCTTGACCCAAACCCTATCACTCTAAGTCTTCGTGGTTTTTGGCTCTTTCCCCTTCCTCCAGAAATACAAAATGCCAATTTTATAGGTGAAGCATTTCCCTTCCCTACACCAAAAATGACACATGCACCAGTATCCAAGAAATTAAATATGCAAACTGCCATGCTGAAAGGAAATTGATGGGTTTACAGCTGTTTAAGTCAAATACATGAAAAATCATCTGATTTTTCATTTACCTTCCACTATTTCAAGATCATCTTTGCTGGATCAAATACAAAGTAAGACTTTCATCATTGCAGAAGGAATAGCAGCTTACACATCTGATTCTTCCTTGCAACATCTACAAGAATGGGACATAAATTCTCCACATCTTCACCATGCTCCTGAAATGCTGCCTCAATGAGTTGGTGAACATTAGCTTGGACCCCTGATATTTGATAGGCTCTGACAGCCACTGCCAGGTCCTCCTCCAAATATCTTGTCCCATTCTTCCCCTGAAACAAGAAGTGTAGATATTCAAATACCAGTAGGCAACCTGCAATCATGACTTAGATGATTCAAACAAAGAGAAGATGTGTTTACCAATGCCATGTTCTACAACAAACTTCATTGAAGATGTCATTGAAGCAGACAACATAGGCATTTCTTTGAAGGACAGCATTGGTGGATCAATCCATGGCTAAAGCATGTCAAATAATGTCATCTGCCTATGGTTGAAAAACCAAAGTAGATGAGAGACCTACAACCTGAAGAATATTCCAGGGGGGCTGTGAGAGCCCATGTGTGTGAGGAAACAGTGCCACAAACCAACTATGTATGTGTTAGCAATCACTCCTGCTGAATTCAGAGGGAAACCCATACATTCTGCATAGAAAATGTTGAAGGGTGTCAATAAGATAGAAGATAGATGGTGACTGACAGTCTGGGGAATACACAAAGGCATAAGACACAATGATATTCCATGGAAATTTGCACCTACATCCTGAAAAACCATGTTAAACCAAGGTCTGCTATAATGCATGGATTGAGCTCACCAACTATTCAAGGATAAGAGCCTGATTATCATGTATACTGCATAAAACTCACTGTCTAATGCCCAAAGTGAACAGGGTCACAAGGACACCAACAAAGGGCAGTGAACATGGTCAACAAGCATCCTCCATCACTTGCCATGACTCCACTCACTTCCTATGAACCCACAAGCAACATGGTGGGACCAAAATGGTTAGCATACATACATCCACAACCATTGACATGATTCCACTCACAAGCTAGAACACCAAATGCACAGGGTGGTAGGAAACATGGTCAGTATGCATTGACACCACCACTCATGATTCCACCCACATCCTATGAACCCACATACAGCAGGGGGGAGAAATCATGGTCAGCATGCATCCACCCCTACTTGCCATGACTCCACTCACTTCCTATGAACCCCAGGTGCAACAGGGTAGTAGAAATGATGGTCAGCATGCATCCTCCACTACCTGCTAGGACTCCACCTACAGCCTATGAATCCAAGTGCAACAGGGTGGAAACAAGCATAGTCAGCAGCATCAACCACCACTTTCCATAACTTGCTTACAGCCTGTAAACCCACATGCAGCAGGGTGACATTAATCATGGTCAGCATGCACTATCCACCACCTGCCATGACTCCACTCACTTCCTATGAACCCAAGTGCAACAGGGTGGCAGCAAACATGATCAACATGTGTCCATAATCACCTGCCATGATTCCACTCACATCCTATGAACCCACATGCAACAGGGTGGCAGAAATGATGGTCAGCATGCATCCTCCACTACCTGCCATGGCACCACTCACTTCCTGTGACCCCAAGTGCAACATTGTGGCAACAATCATGGTCAGAATACATCCTCTTTCACCAGCCATGACTCCACTCACCATCTATGAGCCCAAGTGCAATGGGATGGCACCAAACATGGTCAGTATGCATCCACCATCACCTGTCATGATTCCACTCACTGGCTATGAACCCACATGCAACAGCACAGCAGCAACCATGTTCAGCATGTATCCACTACCATTGACATGACTCCACTCACAACCTGTGAACCCCAATGCAAGAGGGTGGAGATGATCAGTAGATCTTCCACTACCAGGCATTGTTCCACTCACAACCTATGAGCTCAAGTGCAATGGGGTGACAGCAAACATGGTCAGCATGCATCCACCACCACCTACTATAACTCCACTCACAACCTATGAGCCCAATTGCAACAGGGTGACAGCAAACAAGGTCAGTCACCATGCATCCACTACTACCTGCCACTGCTCCACTCACCCACTATGCATCCCAGTACAACAGGATGGCAGCAATCATGATCAGCACACATACACCAGGGACTACCACCATTTTCCATAACTCCACTCACTGGCTATGAACCCATATGCAACACAGTTTCAGAAAATGGTCAGCATACATCCATCACCATTGACATAACTCTCTACTCACAACCTATTGATCCAAGTGCAATAGAGTGGCAGAAAACATGGTAAGTATGTATCCTCCTCCACCTGGCATGGTTCCACTCACAACCTATGAACCCAGGTACAACAGGGCAGCAAACAAAATGGTCAGCAGCAATCCACCATCACCAGCCATCCACTTACAACCTACAAACCCAAGCACAACAAAGTGGCAAAAGAAAAGGTCAGCATGCATCCTCCACCACCTGCTATGACCCCACTCACCCACTGTGAAGCCATCAAGTGTGACAGGGTGACAGCAAATATGGTTAACATGCATCTTCCACCTACCATGACTCCACTCACATCCTGTGCACCCAAGTGCAACAGCATGACAACAATCATGATCATGATCAGGCTACATCCACCACCACCATGACTCCACTCACATCCTACAAAACCATATGCAACAGGGTGGCAGAAAATATCATCAGTATGCATCCAATATCACCTGCCATGACTCCACTCACTGACTATGAACCCACAAGCAACAGGGTGGCAGAATCATGGTCAGCACACAGCCACCACCATTGACATGATCCCACTCACAAGCTATGAATCCATGTGCAACAGTGGGCAGCACTCATGGTCAGCATGTATCCACACCACCATTGATATGACTCTACTCACATCCTATGAATCCAAGTATGATAAGGGTGGCAACACACATGATCAGAATGCATCCACCACTCCCTGCCATGATTCCACTCACAAGCTATGAAATCAAGTGCAGCAGTGTGGCAGAAAACTTGTCAGTGTGCATCTACACCACCACCCATGACTCCACTCACATCCTATGCACCCAAGTGCAACAGTGGCCACAATCATGGTCATCATCATTGCATCCACCACCAACCACCACAGTTCCACTCACATCCTATGCACCCAAGTGCAACAGGGTGGCAGTAATTATGGTTAGCATGTATTCACCACTACCTGCCACCACTCCACTCACATGCTACAAACCCAAGTAGGTGGGAGCAACATGATCAACACTATTGCATCCACCACCACCTGCCATGGCTCCACTCACATCCTATAAACCCAATTGTAACAGAGTGGCAGTAAACATTGTCAGAATCATTGCATCCACCACCACCTGCCATGGTTTCACTCACATGCTATGAACCCAAGCACAATAGGTGGCAGCAAATACAATCAGCATGCTTCCTCCTCCACCTGCCATGACTCTACTTACTCCCTATGCACCCAATCCCAACAGCAAGTCAGCAATTACATCAAATTTGAATTAGCACCAAAATCCACAAATTAGTGAGCATCTTCTCATATAACACACAAATTCCTTACATATGGAAACCATTGTGAGAGCATGACTGACAGTGTTGTAGGATCAATCATCTCTGTCTTCCAGTTCATGTATTTTTTCAATGACCTTTTACCTGTCAGTACAATTCTGATGTTAAGCATTTTCACTTACTGCAGAATGGCCAATTCAATGCACAGTTCTAGGTTGGACTGCTGTGTTGATATGAGGAGCTGTTGCAGCCCTTCTTCACTCAAAGCATTTGCTGTGCATGTCAGTAGGGGTGCACAATCTGCATCTTGTTGTTCCATTCCTGTGGTTATTTCTCACCAAGTTTGCCAAATCTATACATAATATGTGCACCACTTACCACCAAGTGACAGATAGTCATGAGGTGGAAACCTTTTCTCTTTCAACCAATCCTTGAGCTTTGCAGTATGGTTGTTTAGAATATCTTTTTCGATATCTGCAACCCTCCCTGCATCATCCACACTCAACCCTTGGTCCTCAAGCTCCTCTACAGCCTCAAGCTCCAAGATATCTGCCTTTGTCAACAGCACGATCACAGGAACTGTGGAAACACCAAAATTCATAACATGAACCATGAAGTATGTGCATACATGGTACGTACCATGCCCAGTATCACACTCATTAAAAAACTTTGCTTCGCCTGCTGTGACCATCCTGTGGCTGTCAGTCATTGGAATGCAATACCTAAATATCATCACAATCATGTCAGTACACTAGCAGTATCAGTCATCATGTCCTCACCAAATGGCATGTATTCTCTCATCTAGTTGGAGAGTATTGGCACGATCCATTACGAACTTCTTCATCTTGTCAAACTGCACTCCACTTCCAGCTTCAAACCCACATGAGTCATGAAATACGAAGCCTGGATTACTTTGAAAGATCAACTCATCCTCAATGTTGTGGTAGCCCCGCTGGGCACAGTCAATAGTACATTACACAACATTCAGGAGGCAACCTCACCGCTAATGAACCCTGCACCAGAGCGACGTCCACCTGAATATAGAACAACGTATCAACAATCTGAAGCAAGCACGGTGCATCATTCATACCTTCTCTCCTTTTCCATTAAAGATTTCTGGTTGATCCGTCGTGTTACAAACCCTCTGCAAGATTGTCGTTTTACCTGCATTTGCCCTGCCCATGACCAGAATACGAAAACGACGAATGCGCTCAACATGCTCTTTAGCTTTCGCAGGATCTAGGCTATGGATAGGCTGTGGAGAGGGTAACACTTGTCATTCATGTTAGACTTATCCCACTCGTCTCAAACAAAGCACGCACCCGAAAGTACTTCCCCAGTACATGCAGGAACAAGACCTTGTGTAGAATGCGGAGAAGAGGGTGACACTTGTTATTCATGTTAGACTCGTCCACTCGTCACAAACAAAACACGAACTCGAGGGTACTTCTCCAACGTATGCAGGAGCAGGAGTATCTATATCACCTTGTGCAGAATGCGAACCCACAGCTTGAACCTCAGTCGGCGCAGAAATTCCCGTACTGGTTGGCAGAGAACCAGGGCAAGCAGTTTCAGCAGATAATAAAGAGCCCGTGCGACCGCCTTGGGTAGGGGCAGACACAGAACCATCCGTGTAGGCAGGGCTAGGGAGAAAGAGTGGGTGAAAGATTTCAACCGGCACGACAGCGCCAACATCTGCATTGTCTGGAGCTAAATGGCGACAGTCACTTCAGTCAACACGAGAATGCGATTATCTGCATTGCTTGGCAGCATACCTGGTTGAGTGGTTTCAGTGGAAGTGGGAGCTTGTAGAACTCTTGCATCGTTCCTCCGGGTCCAAAAAGGCGGCCACTGCAAACGCCATAATCCGCTGAAACATCCAGCAACCATGACGAACAAAAAGGTGAAGTTTTTGGAATTCTCTGAAGAGCAGTAAGTGTATGGTTGCGGGGGGTGGAGGTTGTCAAATGGAAAGGGCGTACAACGGCAGACTCGTATCGGTGGATACGACGAGTGCCTGGCAACAGACTGAGAGCCATGTCGCACACTGTTCGCACGGATCAGTTGGTATATTCACTACAGTCGCACTCCGGACACTGCCATACACGTCCCGCCATCAGGTGCTGTTGAGTAGGCCCACTCCAGGTGTCTTCGAGTATGAAGTGGTGGTAGACGGCGCGAGTTCCATGGAGTCATACACGGTCATGTTTATGCCGCTGTCTGCAAGACATCGTTGTCATGCATGGGTTCCCCCTTACTTATGTAATCTGACGGGAGTTACAGCGACTCACTGCTCCCCCGCATATCTCATATAACGTGGACCCAGCTCAAATTCACGACCATCTGGTGCACTGCTCTCGGAATGGCTATCGTAGCCTCCCTCCCAACGCTCGTTCGTCCTTTGAAGAATGGTCGTTCTCTACAGGGCTTCTCTGTCATCTCATAAGGACTCCGTAAGGGAGAGTTCGCTGTTGCGGATTGCGAGGATAAACCTCCTCGGTCGACGCGAGGCGCCCTGGCAGTCTGACGCTCTATCGCTTCTGTTCGACACCGGACGTTACCGTCTGTACGGTTAAGCATCTTACGGTGTAAGTCTACCACTTCTTCTTTCTAGTCGACATTGATTGTACGGTTCCAGCCACTATCCTTGTCGCATATCTCGTCGTCGTTTAGGTTTGCATCATCAAATATGCACCTCTCATATCCAACCCTAATCGAGCTGGTAAAATCCACCTTCGACCTACACATTATTCATCCACGTCTGACGGTCCCCTCCACACAGGCTTCCTCGCAATCGTTCAGATCCCGGTCGTACTCTTATTCGCAACGATAAATTCCACCTTGTCGCTCCTTCTCGGCCCAGGAAACGGACACAAGAGACCAAACCATGTGCACCGCATGTCCGGGAGGCTAATGTTCCCTACGGACTTCTCGGTCCGCAGAACTTCGGAAACGTCCGACGTAGCAACCTTTTCTGTGCTCAGAATCAAGAATCATCATCTTGACTTCCCTTCGCTTAGTTTGAAGGTTTTTCTACCAGGCTGTCTTTGTAGTTCAGTGAGCTCCAGCTCTGCACCCAACGTGTGATAAACACTTGTCTTTAAACCAAACACACCCACGCAGCATTTTGACATCTGTGGCTTTTCTCGCTACAGTTTGTTACGATACGCTATATGCGGAACCATGGACACTTCCTGCCTTCGCTTTCCTTGGGGCAGACGCTTTGTTGCGTTTTTTTGGGGTACCACATTAAGGATGCCAGACTTAGCGCTCCGGATCAATAGATGACGTTCGTAAGTGCGGGGTTAATGTTGCATACCGCATGCATATATGCGTATACCGCTGACCCGGCTTCCTATGAGAAGTTCACATCCAAAACTGCGACGACGGATAGTTGGCTGGCCAACACGTCTAACTCCGTGTCTTTTTCTCCAATCGCGCCTTCGAAAGCCACCCATTCACGATTCTCTCTGGTCCCCCGGACAAGTCCTGCTTCAACCACTCCGGCATGATCCTTGCAGCACGCGTCAACGGCGATTGGACACATGAACTCAACGCATACACGCGTAACGAACAGGATCCATCTGTCTGCGTATCAGAGAAGCAAAGTGGTGGCGAGCGGAGCTGCGTACCCATACACGTCATGATTGATGGCCCATATGGCGGTTCGAGTGTTGACCTTGGACAGTACGAGACGGTGCTGTTGGTTGTGGGTGAATCAGGAGCAACGTTTACGCTTGGGCTTCTGGGCGACACCGTCTTTAGATATATCGATACTGGCCGCCGTCACGCCGAACGAACAAGAAGGATCGAATCCGCATGGTATATCAGATCGTTTGGTGAATGTTGCCCTGATTCTCGGATCCGAATCGACCTTCTCTGATTCTGACTCTCGTGGCGTTGTTTTTTTTAGGTCACATCGCATGGTTCGCAGAGATGCTGACAGAGATCGTCATCCTCGCTACGGGAACCGCCTTCGATATCCATTTCTCCATCTTCGTCACATGCTTGTGTGACCGCGAAGCTGTACCATTCATCCCCAACAGCGACGTCAAACTGGACCGTCCTACCTCTATATACACTTTTCTGTGAAACCACCGGACTTTCGCGACCCTCTTCTCTCGAATCCGCTGAAATGGAAGGGGATAAACCGTTCAGCGCAGTACAGCCGCACGCCGGAGGTGGCATCGTAGTGTGTGCGAGTGGGCCGGAGAGTCTGGTCGTTGAAACGAGGAATGCGGTCGCGAGGTTGGGTGTTGGGAACGCTTTGAAGTTGGGTGGGGTTGTCGTGCATGTAGAGAGCTTTGCGCTGTAAATTGGGACCCAGGTTTGTATGTATGAAGATGTCACACGTATGTTTATTTATGTGTAAAGAGGTCTGCACTGTACGCGGGCGGGATGCGAGTTATATGATCAAGGGAGAGATGGGTGAAGGTACGCAGCCGTCGGTCCCATTCTAAATCTCTCACATCGGCAGTCTCTGCTATTACGGACTCCGCAACCCTAATCTCGATGGTGTGTACTGCGGAACTGGAAGGGGCAGGGTTCGGCGCCAGCTAACACTTGCCGACAGAATTGTCGGATAGTGGTAGATGAAAAATCGACCTGCTGCCCAATGAGAATGGTGTCATCAGAAGGGCTGAACCTCGAAGGATGAGTAGGCGTCCACTGCATAAATTGTCGAGAGGTCGTATGTCAAACCAAGCCAGGACATAATGCAGCGTACCAGTGTCGAGGTCCTTGGATACTAGAGGTTCAATGCTGAGGAGAGAGGCGAAGTTAAGGAATTTACTTGAGCGCAAGTGCCTCCTTGTCCGGCATACGTCGGACAAGCGTACGAGTGCACCCGTCGTTGGACAAAGTAGCCATGCCTGCCTGTGCCGCTTCAGAAGGCGTCGACAAGGACCTCCTTGACTCTGAGACCCGTCAGATTCTTCGGGACTATGAAGTATGTAAATACTTTTGTGCACATCTGATTCCCTTTAAGAATCCCTGTTCGCAGGAAGAGAGTGGCCAACATGCATGCCTTGGTATACTCGGACGTCCCCTCACGCCGCTCGCAAAGATCATGATAACTACATCATCATCATCCGCCCGCGATAAAATCGTTTATACCCAACTCTGTTCTTTGACACAGTTGTCCTTTGGCCACTCAAAAAAGAGAAGTCTAAAAAATGAGACGCTTGCCTGCATATTGACTTCTATGTGGTACTCCAATCCTTCCCCTGTGCCTGAAGAGAATTTGATGACAACGATGTTGCGGTCAGAAGGGTACCCAGGGCTGCCAGCGGGGATCTGATACCAAATTATAAGTTCAAGTCGTCACGCAGACCAGATAATCGTCCACGAGGTAACCATCTTCGTGTTATGTATATACTTGAGCGCAATGGTTTGGGAAGTCGTGACAGGCACACGCCTTTCTCGGCACAACGACCAGCAGACCAAAGCATAGCCCAGGTCCCAGATGTTGTCCACGCCCAAACTTATGGAAAGTCGGGCTACCGCACGCGCTGTTGCGTGTCGGATGTCCTGTGAGGAACCCGATCCGGTGGATGAGCTGATCGGTGGACCGGTCTAGTCCTGGTCATACTCTACGCCCGTGTTTCACCTTCTTACTCACCGTGTTTCACCTCACTGCAGTATATAATTTTCCCGCCCTTCGTCCATTTTCTCCAGCAATTAACCTTCCGTTATCAGGTATGCCTCTTGTCGTCCACCTTGTGCTGGATCTTAGCTTCGTTATCAGCGTTAGGTTGGCTAATGCACTCCTACTCCTTTTCCAAGGCACGCAACTGCAGCTGAATAATTACATTATGTTAACGGTCTAGAAGCACTGGCAATTGTAATGACTTCCGATGGCTCCGATCTCGACTCACCCATCTCGTCTCCGGAACCACTTTCCCAATCGAGCTCGCAATCACACCTTCAGCGCCATCCTCAGCCACAACCACAGCCTCCGTTAACGGGTCAGGCTCAGGACGACTTCTGCGCTGCTTTCCTTGAGACGCTCCTCCGCAATCGTGCTCCGGAGGTAAAGGTAGCGCAACCGGACGTGTACGATGGATCAACTGAAAATATGATGCCTTCATTAATCAACTTGAATTGAATTTCGCAACTAACCCGTCTACGTTTGCTACCGACGCCATCAAAATTAACTACGCTATGTCGTACATGAAAGCGGGCCGTGCCCAGCAATGGGTAATTGGCCTCCGTAACAAACAGCGTGCAGGAGGGGCTTGCCCAGAGCTTGACAGTTGGGAAGGTTTTGATGATGCGCTGAAGGAAAAGTTCAGTGAACCAAACAAGAAAATGCGGGCTCAGTACAAGCTCCTCGCCTTGAAACAACGCGACGGCCAATCGGTCGATGACTATCTTACGGAGTTTGAGTTGCTGGCAGGAGACACTCAATTCAAAGACGAAGCGCTCTTCAACATCTTTCGCACCGGGTTATCGCACCGGATTTTCTCACAGTGCGTACAGAACGGGGACCTCGAGGACAGCTTACAAGGATGGAAGCACTGCGCCAAGCGCGTTGATCGTTACACTCGCACTAATTCCACCCTCCTCTCTTTCTCTGCTAGAAGTCCTCGCCCACCGGGTAAATGCACCTTTCCATTCCAGCGCCACCCTGTACCCCCGACTCCCTCTGCACCTCCTATTCATCCAACAACTGCGTCGGCTCCCGCCCCGACACGTTCTATTCTAGGTGCAGGCGAGCCTGTGGATACCGGTCAAATCAACCGTCGTCAGGGACGTAGAGGAATCACGTGCCATCGCTGTGGACAGGTTGGACCACCTTGCTCGCAACTGTGCTCGTACCGAGGTCGAGCGCATTCATGCGCTTGTGGACTACTTGGGAATGGCACGGCAAGGCACGACGTTATCAATGCAATCAATGAAGTCGCTACGCAAAAGAAAGAAGAAGCGCCATTGAATGAGGAATCAGGTTTTTGAAAATGCCGGTAGGAAGTGACTCTACCTCATCGGCGTCTACTTTAGGCTCTAACAATGTTGATGTACCATATGATCGTTCTGAATCGAATCCTTCGCCTATCAATGATCCTGATGCATCGTTAACTAAATATACCCGTCGCTTCCTCCCTTGTAGTCTCTCGTGTTAAGAGCGGATATGCCGACGAAGCCGCTTTGTGCCCCGTCCGCCATTGGTTCCATAGCCAATGACGAGGACAACCCCACTGCATACTCTGTCCTTCACGAACTCAAGAATCCACGTCAATAGATTTGAAGGGTAGCTGGTAAGTCTGCATTCCTTCCTCTTGTGCTTCAGACATTAGAGGATTGCCAGTCTTTCGACGTCGAGGCCCCTACTGGATAGCGGGGCCAGTGGTTGCTACGTCGATAGGGGTCACGTCCGTGCTAGATCAGTCAACACTCGGCCACTCCTTCGACCCATCCCTGTTTATAATGCAAACGGTTCATCACATGGCGCCGTGGCGCGTGGGAAAGGCCTTACTCGACCGCTACCCTGTGTCTTGTTGTCCGCACACACCTGAGCCGGAGGACGCGTTCTTAAAGTCAATATTGCAGTCCTTGGAGGAGGGTGATCCATTACGGATTACAGAGATCTTCTCGGAATATCTTGAAAGTCCACTCGCCAAGGTATCTGCTCAGTACCTTGACGGCTTCTCACAAGTATTCGAAAAAACTGAATTTGGTCATTTGCCTGAATACCGCCAACGGGATCACGCGATCAAACTCAAACCCGGAATGGAACCTTTAAATAGCAAAATTTATCCTTTTGAGTCTCTCAGAACAAGCGGAGTTGGACATGTCCTCGAAGAACACCTTCATATCGGATGTCTCCCCCATCGCATCCCCCCCTTTTTTTATTATTATTAAGCAGGGTGGTACTCTGTGTCCGGTGCAAAACTGTCGTAGACTTGACAAGGCCACCATCAAAAATAATTATCTACTTCTTTCTGAAGTCGTCCACAAACTACGTGGTGCGAGCTACTTCACCGATTATCAACTCGCCGGCGACCTTGCAAATGATGATGAATGTGCTTTTTTGCCACCTTGTTTGCCAGGGGGTAGTTATCGTCTATACGGACAGCGTGCTTTCCATCTCGAACTTCCTCAATCTTGGCGACGGATGCGCTCCATATTCCACACTGCCCTTCTTCGCCCCTATCATTTTCCCACGTCCACGATCCAACAACGCGCCGCCACCACCAGTTCTTCTCAGAGACCATTATAAGATAGAAGTGTTAGATGAGTGCTTTCGTTGTGGTCGTGCTGAATATCTTGTGAAATGGTAAGGTCTTCCTCGCAAAGAAAACACTTGGGAGTTTCGTGAAATTCTTGATGACAGATATGGTATTAACAACAAACTTCAGGAATGTCTTTGTTCATAGGGGACACGTCCGCCTTAAGAGGGGGGTGACGTGATGAAGCTCGTCCAGCCATCGGCTGATCCGTCGGCTGGTCATGTCCCCTGCCATGATACTTCATACCTTGTTTGACTTTCTTACCCACGATGTTTCGCCTCACTTTATTACCATATATAGTTTTCCCGCGTGTCGTTCATTTCTTCCGATGTTAACCTTTCATTATCGGGTATGCCTCTTGTCGTCCACCCTGTCTAGTATCTTGGATTCGTTATCAGGGCTACGTTGGCTAATAATTTCCTATTCCTTCGCCAACGCACGCAACTACAGCGAATCATCAATCATCACATATCTCCCATGCACTAAACTGATTTTCCTCTTCTACAGTTTCGCCCCGCGCATGTCGCACTAAGGCCCGACAGTAGTTGGGCTGGGCTGGGCTCGGCAGAGCCACATCTGGAGGGCAGGTCACCTGCTCGCTTTGACTGACAGGCAGTGCGTGATAGCAACCAAAGAGGTTGTGGTGCCTATCACGCATTCGTAGCAGTTACTTAGGGATAGGAGGAAATGGCACTTGATTCTTAATTACAGACAGATGTCTACGGTATACGTAAAAAGATGGTGCGGGGACTGGGCGAACGAGAAAATGAGTCTGCAAGGAGGTCGATGGGGGAGGCGATGAGCCTACTGGCAGGCGGCAGTCCAAGAAAGAGGTGGTGGGAAAGTGCTCAGGCTGCTGGTCAGCAGGACGGTTGCTACCGGAGAGAGCCAGCATCTGCTTGACCCTTCCACTCCTCGACATTATTGGTTATATGGGCCCTACTTCGCCCAGTCAGATACCTCCTCACTCTCAGGCCCTCGTTGGGCTCCGAGCCCATGGAGATATCGTGCACCCCGCACGACTTCGCCAGATTCAATGCATGCAGTATGCAGACTACTGTATAGTAATATTCTCCGGCTACTTTTACTATTCTGACTATTTTAAACTTCGTGGCTCTTGGGCCGTGACCCGAAATGGTCCCTAATAATAGTCAAAAAGGTACGAAATAGAACAATAGACAAACGATTCCTTGACGTAAAAGGCACAAATAGTGTGTGGTTACAGTTATTTATAAGGCTGTTCGTAAAAAACCTTCACAACAAACAAACCATGTCGTGAATGCCGATCATAAGTTGCACTGCAATGTGTCCGATACGTGAACTTAATGCCAGGGTTAATAGTGAACGCTAAGAATAGGGGGTATTAATCTGTATTAATAGGGGGTATTCGCCACCCCCCGCAGTATCAAGGCCCATCGGAAAGTTGAAAGGCGTAGTTATATGGTCAATCCATGCTATGCATTTCAGTTTCATTTCTCACCTCCAAGCGTACTAGCGCAATACTCGATTATGGGCGAGACGCTGTACCAAGATAGTGGGCAGCGTACTAGATTTGGGTCCTATGTCAACTCGCCTTCGGACCGCGTGTTGCTGCCAGCCTTCAAATACCAGTCGTTCAGACCCCTTGGCGATGTAGCCTCATCAAAATCATGCTCATCACAGCTTTGACTGCTGCGTGCTTCCTAGCGGCGTATTTCTCATGGAGCTACTCATTGAAGCTAAAGGTTAGTCAAACGGAAATCAGCCGCTAGCCGCACTCGTAACGCCGATGATCGCCTGTACTTCTATCATAGAGCGTCAACTACCTGCCTGGTATGAGACCACCCCTTTCTGCGATTAGCGCATTTGGTGCTCTCATACCCACGTCTTGGTGGAACCCGGGCCTCCATTGGTCTTGGGAGTGGAGGAAAACCAGTGAGTTAGCAACACGTTTTGCTCAAGGCGGAGGGGACTCATGCTTTTCAGATTATTTCAACTATAAGCACGACGTGATTTCGATGGTTCCGTTGATAGGTCGACCGGTATATTACACGTGTTCTCTTCCGGTCATGAAGCAGCTGTTGAAAGAAGAAGGCAAGCTGGGTCACATCAAACCCACCGAAATGACAGATGCGGTCCTGTATGTGTATTTCCTCATGTGGTATTTTCTGCATCCTCACATCGTTAAAGCGTCTGGGGCCAGAATCTTCTTTCTGCCAATGGTGACGTGTGGAAGCGCCATAGGAGGATCGTTGCGCCTGCGATTACAAATGAAACGTGGGCATGCTCCTCCATGCGTAGATCCCTACTGAGTCCGTCCATTAGCTACGAACTTATATCGCAGCAGGCCGCTGCACTGTACGAAGATATGGTCAGAGCAGCTAAATGGGAGAATGAACAAGTGGTAACCGTCAACAATATCAATCAGTATATTCGCCGTGTACGTCAAACTCGCTTCGCCTTTACACCATGCAGGTTTATCGGTGGTGTCTGTAGTTCGCTTTGGGGATCATATCGCGATGTGGTTTCGGCCTTCAGATGCCATGGACGGACCCAAATACCAAAAATACTGAAGAAGAGATGTCCTTTCCAACTGCAATGGAATGGGTAGCAACGACTCTGGTTCCATGGAGCCTCGTCTTGCCACGTTGGTCGTACCGACTACCCTCCAAATGGTAAGTCTCATTCTAATCCCGTGGTCTCTCGACAAATCTGTGGTCAAAGGCTTCGCAACATGGAACACGCTCGGTCATCGTTAGCGGAGTACATGAACACGTTTGTCGAAACAAAAGTGCAAGAGATCTCCGGGGTGACGGACGGTGATGATCATGCGCAGCGTGGCGACATCTTCACGCGCCTCGTGGCTGGGCTGGACAGATCCGGAAAGACTGGCCTAGAGAAGCAGGAAGTCGTGAGTTGATCCTTCCTGATTGACATAAACAATACTTTACAGTAGCCATTAAGATCGGGAATACTTTCGCGCTGATGTTTGCTGGTCATGGTGCGTTTCTTATCTCCGAGACTCCGTCTAATCGATTCATTCCGCGCTTCAGAGACAACCTCAAGCGTCCTGTCAGCGACTCTGGGTTACCTGGCATTCCATCAGGACGAACAAGAGAAGGCATATCAGGAAATTTTGGCGGCGACTCCTGCCAATGGAGAACTAGTTCGTCATTCCTTATGTGCCGTCGCTTCTGACCAACGTTCTTCCAGGGTACAGAAGAACTGGCAAAACTTACTCATACCTTGGCATGCTTTCATGAATCTGCAAGAATGATACGTGAGTCATGTTCGATTCTGTGCTTGCTCTCAGCCTAATTATATGACCATCAGCTGCAGCGCACGTAATCCCAAGAGATGTCATTGATGATGTCGCAGTTAATGTAACAAGTCCTACTCCGGGAACCATCGTGTTTCCCAAGGGTTCGAGGATCATTATCGACATGGTCGCCATCCGTAAGCTGAGCTCATGTCACATGCATTTGTCCACCTGAAATGTCATGTATAGATCACAATCCCGAGACGTTTCTTGACCCTGAGGTGTGGCGCCCCTCGCGCTGGTACGGCGTATCCGAGCATGACCTCACCATGTTTTCCACTGGGCCACGTGTGTGCCCAGGGCGCAAGTTCGCCCAGATGGAAGCCGTTTCTTTCTTGGCGCATCTCTTGCGCGACTGGAAAATTGACATCGAGCCCCGTAATGGGGAGACCAGAAAGCAGCTCGAAGAACGAGTGATGGGAAATACAAAGTTCATTGGTCTTGCATTCGGGGTTCGACCTGTAGGTCTGAAGCTCATCGCTAGGAAGTAACGGATTCATTGGAGTTTTCCCTGTCCCTGTTGGGACATTTTTGTGCTTCTGGATACCGCGTCTTGATATTTCTGCTTTTTTTCTTTCTTTCTGATTCCGTGGCGCCACGTCGAACAGGGTTTAAATCCCCGACTCCCACGTAGGTGGGAGAGGTTTCTTGTCCGACCCGATTCAAGGTTTGTGACAAAGGATCTGTCACGTATGACATCCTCTTCCTCCATTTCCCTGTGTAACAAAACATCTACTTGTTCTCCACTCCGTATTGTCTCAACACAGTACAGGTAGAACAAAGCGTCAGCACATTGTCTCAACGACATGGGTAATATATAATCTGAATATGCACCAAATTTTGCTGCGCAACTTAACAACTTGATTGCCTCGTCCAGGTTATCGAGGGTATGTTGCCGTTGGAATCTAAATCCTGCGAGTGAATTGAGGGAAATTGCACGGTAAACATGACTTGATGGACGAAAGTCCCACACACCACGTGCTAGGCTAACAGCTTCGTCCAGAACGGCTGCTACACCCCGTTTGTTGAACGTATCACCAAGGCTAAGCGCGGAAGGTATCGGAGCGATAAGGCACACTCGTCACTCCGGCCTCGACGGAGTTCCGATGCTTCTCAATTCAACTTGGCGGCCTCGTCTAGGTCCGGAATTGTGTCCTGCCTCTGGTGTCTATCCCTAAGAAATTCGGCAAGGTTGCTGGGAGAAACAGCGCGGCGGCATTCATGTCCCGGAAGATGAAAGTCCAATGCAACACGTGCAAGCCGGATAGCTTCCTCCAGATCAGACAGCAGGCCCAGCTTGTTGAACCTATCATTCAGGCACAGTGCCAGGATTATGCAGCACGACTCAACTCAATGACCTCGTCCAAGTCGCAAATTGACCTCTGCGCCCTAGATTTATCTCTAAGACACTTTGCAAGAAGGCGGAGGTTGTAGCGCGGCGCTCGTGGTTCGGTGGACGGAGGTCTAAACACGCGGTCGTGCGAACCTGGTAGCTCGTTCAAGGTCGGCCATCGCTCCAAGGGTATCATACCTCTCACTAAGACAAGCCGCAAGGTCGTGGAGTGACGTCGATCGATCAGGATGTCTACGGGGGCGGAGGTCCTGTTCAGGTCAATAACTTCTTCCAAATCAGCTATCGCGCCTCGTCTCAGGAAGTATGTGCGAAGAGAACTTGCGAATGAGCCGTCCTCACATATTCCGAACTCTTTGATTGATAAAGCGGTAATTGTGCTCGGCCGCGGGAGATGATCTCTAGAAGATCCGCTATTTGTCTTTTGGACATAATTAGTACAGTCCATCAACATTTGTAGTGATGATCAGAGAGTAGTTAACTCACTACTTCGGTCAAGAGAGTCAGGCCAAGGTGAGTACATCTGCAAATCGCTTAGTGCTCTAAGAGCGAGCACCGTTAGAGCGCTTAGCATCGGTAACAGTGCGTGCCGAGCTCTCAAACAATTCAAAAACTGTCTGAAGCGCATGCTGTAATTCGACCGTCTTGCAGATGCTACGTTTGCATTACAGTTTAGCAAGGACCCCATGAAGACCTTACGAATGACCAACTCACCTGAGGTAATAAGCCAAGAGTGGGGGTATAGTAGTCCGTGAACGATCCTTGCAGTGGAAGACTACAGGAAAACAGTGTTAAGCAAAAATGTATGACACAAAGAGGCCATACAGGAGAAACACACTCACGAGGGTAGGAACGGTGGAGGGAAAATGAGGAAGCCGCGGAAATTGAAAGTTGGAACCGAATTTCATTCGCCGTCGTTCGTGAACACTCGTGCATGCCAGGATGAGTCTTGACTGGGACTCCCTGTTTCACGTCTGAGTTTCACCAGCTGCTTGTAACAGGCATTCCGGAAATCACCGCTATCGCAAACCCAGGTCTTGTTGTACTTACAATCAGACACTCCAACGGTGAGAGTGCAATTCGACTGCCCACGACACCCACAGCGATTCCCTATTCACGACCTGCATGAGGTGATGAACGTGAAAAAGTCATGGACGGGTACCCTATAAACGAGATTTGGAATAAGGTGGGCAGCGATTGACAACGACCTAGTGTGACCGGCACTGGGCCTGGCTGTGGAAGTTCGTGACGGGCCTGTTGCCCGATATGGTTGACGTCCTGGAGACTCGTCAAAGACGAGGACCGCAGTATGTCTGCGTAATAACCAGGGCTACTAAACCGCGGCCCGACTTTGGCTGTGCAACCACCGAATTCCGAGCGTATCATTTGGAGCAAACCGAATCTAGACGCACGCAGAACGTCTATCTCGCAGAAGTTCCTAGGTACATATATTCACAATGTCTACAATTATTAACAATATTCATGATCAAACACCATGCATCACGGACACAGTCCAGCGCGCGCGTAACGTCATCATTCCGAATCACACTACGCCTTCCTCGATACCCTCTCCATTTCCGAGGCATCCGTAGCAGATCAGTCCAAGGCATACTGATTTCCCATCCATTTAGGTAGGAGTTACAATTTTCCTCCCATTCAAGGCAAGTTCCTCATGGGAGTAGAGCCATAATGCGTTGCGCGGCGGTCCCAGCGGCCGTGCAGAGGATCGCGGAAAGCCTTATTGGCGGACGCGAAGAGGAATGAAGTGACGAAGAGTGCGAGCACCACGACCCAGCTCACCCATGCAAACGCAAGCATGGCAGTGAGGACACGACAACTAGAGTAGACCCAGCATGAGGAGAGGTTGCCCCAGTGGGTGTCAGGGTCGGGCGGGTTGCCGGTGCGCTATTTAGGGTAACAGGATCAACGGGAATCAGGAATGGTGTTAAACTTGGGAGACACGACGCCACGACTTACAGATGCGATAGCGGCACCGACGATCCAGAGGAGGAAGAGGATAAAGAGCCCGATAAGTTCAGTTGCGAAAGTGTTGATGAAGCGACGTTCAATTCTCTTGTGGATTGTGCGGCCACTAAAACGATAAGGCTCGATTAGACATCGATCTCACAATAAGTACCGCTTTGATGATCTCACATGAGGAACGACCAGAACATGGAAAGGATGCTGGTTACGAGCAACTCGATGATGATAGGATCTACGATGTATGATGAACCTCATGGCGAGTATTCGATAGGCATGTTCGCTCACCATAGAAGCTAACGCCGTAGTTCAGGGGGTCGAAAGGAGACAAGTTGAGTGTGTAGTGGAGCCTAACGGCGCAGAGCGACATGACGACCGCCGAGAAAATAAACTTTGTTTCCGACAGCATTAACACTTCTGACATCGCAACCTGCCCATGAAAACTCACTAGAAGAATGTAAAGGAAGACACGGAATCCGTGAATCATGATGTTGTCCTCTCACTTGGTGGCGAGCTGAGGTTGATGGATGTTGTGGGCTTCTGAGAGAGGGCGTGGTAATGATACTCTTCTCGTACGACGCACTCGGGTTTTATGTAGGATGACGAAATGCCCACGAGGAACTTTGTGCACATACCACGCCGATTCACGAAATGAAATTCACGCCGCATCTCCGCTTCGTTGAATGACATCCACCCACCTTTGAGAACCGCCACGTGGGTATGACTCACCAGAGAGCATCGTTGCCGTTGGGCTTGCAGACTGGCCGGTACCTAGTGGAAAGCAGGAGAAGCCCGTACGAAGCACGGGGCGTATGATTCCTTGGCGTCATCCGAGTGCCATGTTGGGCCTAATGGACAGCGTGACCGCAAGAATGGAAGTTCAGACGTCAGCGGCCTCGAGGCCTGCCTCGTTCTCGGGATGATCCTGGACGACCCACATTCCTCTCTCTCATCTTCCCGAACATCTTCCCCCGCCGGAACGGTTTTTAGAACTTTGTCGATATCCGATAATGCCATCGTAACTATAAGCCAGTGGGGTAGACAGGATAGATCAGGTCGCCACCTACTTATGGTCTGCGTTCGGCGAATCGGGTAGTACGGCCTGCACAGGCTGCACAGCAACTTCAGGTTGCTTGCATAAGCTAAGCGAGCGAGCGGAGCCAAACTTTGGCAAGTCTCCAAATCGGCACAGCTCTGGCTCAGGCTGAGCCGATCGACGTCATCATGGCTGAAGCGCTTTTTTCATACACTGTATCGTAGCAGCGTCAGCGTGCACACCGGGACTGATTAACTCACGGGACATGGGAGTGCAGTGACGTCGACTCGTCTCGATACCCCACATGGTAATTATACTGCAGGGCGCTGTGCGTTGGACACCATACTCAAACCAGACTCCACTAGCACCACGGAAACTTCACATAATTGCATTGCCCCCAAGTCCCATATATGTAACCCTGGGACGCCGGGAGCTGGTGAACGCACGGAACACGGCACTCCGACGCTGGATCTCCATCAACCTGGCACGCAAGACTTCGAACTAGGTACTACCCAGTAACCAATGTGCTATCCGAAGCATGCACAGCAGTTACCCTCCCCCAATGTGACGCCACCCCCCACTGTAATATTGTTGACCTACACAAAGCATAGTAGCTCCGATTGAAGACGTCGACGACGTTCGCAATAATCTTACGACAATCGTTCACTCTCCAAATAGCTATCTCCGACTTCTAACGTCACCCACATGCTGTGTACGATGGAGTGACATGGTGCATGACCCGTATATTTGATGATGGAGAGGAGGGTCTTTCAGAGGGGAAAATTAAACACCAAACGCACTGATAGATGGGGAAATTCCCTGTATGATGTATAGTAGCCACGATACGAGGTTGGAGTTGGCCACTGCAGTGTGCATCAAGGACGAGAGTAATGGAGGGTAACTGACGTGGCCAGGCCTGGGCCAGACTAAACATTCACACGTGTGTAGCATGAACTTCTCAATAGCACAGCAAGTTCCTCACGTGGGCTTATTTTGGAGTCTGGCAGCTACCGGACATGCCAACAAACGCCAACCCGCTAAATGAGACCTCCAACGTTGTAATATTTGGGAATTCGATATGTAGATCTGTATTTCCGGTCTCTATCGAGGACGTTCCCTCCAGACCTCCATCAATCGATACCACTCAGAAGGGCAGCCCGATACCCAGGTCGTCGTCGCGAAGCATGGTCATCACTCCTTCCAGTAGCCTCCGTGAAGCCTCCTTCGTGTGAACCACGCTGAGGAGTTTGCTGTTTCCAGTGATTTGCAGCATACACAGCCCGCCGCGATCATCTCGTCAGTCCGCGTTACCCGTTAACTCCGTTCTCAGGTAGGGTCCTCCATGAACTAGCAGTCTCGCACAGCAATTTGTAGCCCCTTTTTGTAGAGATAATAACCAAACCCCAGATGCGACCCCGACTTCTTAGCTAGTTGAAGGAAATTTATTTATGTAAAACCCACATCCGAACGCTGACTCCAAAACAGGTTCTGGTCATCGATACTACTCCAGACTCCATGCATCGCACCGATAAATCGTGGAGGTCCATCAGCGACATTTGGCTGGAAAGCGACTACGGTGGCGCTATTTGACCATAGCTCAGGCTCAGATCAAGGGCAGAGTTGATATGATATCTGGAGGGCATTAAATTGTGCTTCGCATAGAAAACACGAGGTGTTCACTCACCGACGTGATAGGACCTCCTGCTCACGACATCATGGGTATATTAACCGATGTTGCCTCTCAATAACACCAGTCCTCTCCGTTGTGACTCACTTTCCCTGCTACGACACTCCCGAGCCCTGACTTCCTACTATGGTGGTGCACATGTCGTGCCTTCTGGACAGCTGTGGGGGTCCTCGAACGTACAGAGTTCAGGATTTCCTGCTCGTCGCGAGGAATATCAAAACGGCAGCAAGGGTCGCTGCATGTGATCTTTATCATATTCCTTCTTTGTCATCCTGCTATCATGAATTTCTTCTTGCCCGCGTTGACATAGGTGGTAAGTGCATGCATTGAACTTATTCATCTGCAATTATGCTGAGACGCCGTAGTTGATGGAGAGAAACTCATGCTCATCATCGAGCGGGCCCCAAAGAATAATGGTATACGGGTGGTGTTTTCGAACGGTGGAGTTGCAAAAGATACGATCACCGTTGTGCGAGCCCTGTACGTCGTACTGCTCCAGCTCAGGTATATTGCAATGGTGGCTAATGTTTTCGATCTCTCTGCCTAGGGAGGACCACGAGTATTGGCAGCAGGCTGGTCAAATTCCCGTATGCAGGGGAACACTTCAATGGCGCGACCATTCACCCCACCTCTTGGACATTGTTTCGATATCCGGCACCGCATCCGCAGTGTTCAAATACTACAACTGTTATGTTCGCCAATGTTATTGGTACGCTAGGGTCATTCTGGCTTCGATGGCGAAGGCATTCCCATCTTGCTCTAAGGAGGGAACTACTTCGTTCTCGAAGAGGAGATTTGCGATATTTGGAAGCCACAAGCTGGACCAGGTACAACTCCTTGTGGACCTTCATGCTATTTGCCGTCAGGACGCATGCGCCTCTCTACCTCCTGCGCGCCCTCCGTTTATCGTCACACCTGATTCTCTCCAGGCCATCAGCTCGGCTATAGCTGGGTGCCTTGAGACATCTTTGGCACAGATAGTCTGGCTTCAACCCGCTGCTGGCGTCGTCAATGGCTGCTGTGACCGAACGATAGGACGTGAGCCCACCACCGCTGGTGGATGGACCTGAAGGCCGTAACGGTGGGATGAATATCCTAAAAGCAAAAAATGGTAATGTCAAAGGTCGAATAGTCTTCTCAGGTATTGCTTTAGCCCTCCTCGTACACGCTTTTTGGGAGTGAATCTTTGCCCAGAAGTATATCACTTGCGTAGTGACTCTGACTTCTGTACAGTGTATTATAGATAACCACAGCAGATTGTACTGTTTTCCAATGAAACGCATTGAAGTAGGGCCTGATGGGTAAAACGGAAAAGGTCGGAAAGACTTGGTAGCGACATCATTTCTTTGGGTCAGGTGTTGGACTTCTCCCTGAGCACAGTCTATGGATACCCCTGACATTTACTTTCTCGAGCCCTCAGAGCTTCACTGGACAACATTTCACTGACTGTTAGGTCAATGTTACACCTCAGGCCACCCCCCCTACCATTTTTGGTCATATGACATGTCTATGTGTGTCTAGGGTTCCAGGTTGTTGCCATCACTGTCATTACCATTTGGGCCATGGTCTGGGTCATCCACCATCCACAACAGGGGGGGGGGGGGCTAGTCTAGAAGGGTTCTGCAGCATTGTCACTGTGCATTGATTGTCTACTTGTACATTTCCTTTGTCTTGTTTCTGCCTTTTCCTTTTACAGTATATTTGATGTGTTTCATCCGTTTCATCCTCATCATTACTCCACCCCCTTGCTGTGCATGTCTGATTGTGTGGCTAGTTTGGGCCTCATTCCCTCTGCTACTGAGTCATACTGACTCATTTATATTTCATTGCTTACTTACTGCAGCAGTTTACTATTTACAGGGATATTGTATGCCCTCCTTGAGGAGTATATAGTTAGAAGTATGACACCCTATACTTTATTTTTTCACTACCTTGCAATTTGCCTCAAATATGCTCTCTCTTCTCACTTCTCTTGCATTGGGTGTATACTCCTAACAGAGGGAATCCATTGAAGTCAGGGTTAGTAGGAGAACCATAGGGGTGATGACAGCTCAAAAGGATTTTTTTGGCCCAACCAACTCTTTGAATGCCTGACACTTCCTGACCATTCACCATCACCACTGATGTGTCCAAATACACAACTGGGGGAGTTCTCCTCCAAGAAGACTTGAATGGCCAGTGGCAACCCTGCACCTTCATCTCCCAGTCATTCAACCCTGCTGAAAGAAACTACAACATTTACAACAGAGAGTTACTGGGATTTATCAGAGGCTTGAAAACCTGGAGGCATTACCTCCATGGCTCCCCATTTCCAGTCAAGGTCTTCACTCACCACAAGAGCTTGACCTACTTTAAGGCTCCCCAGAACCTAAATCACTGCCAGGCCCACTGGCTTCTTGATCTTGCAGACTTTGATCTGCAACTTGACACATAGTGTAGTCACACTTAGTCACAACACATGGGCAGCCTGTGCACCAAAACACCAACACTTATATAGACCCTGAGATGGGCCCACCTAAATAGATTAGCTGGTACACATGGACAGGCCTGAGGGACTAGAGTGAGAGCAACATATGTACAGGCCCATGGTGGGTAAGGATGTTGAAACATTTAGATGGGCCCATGACCAATTAAGTATACTGAGCTGCTGTAAGACATGGACAGGCCCATCCTAGTAGGTTACACCCCCTGTCACAACATCAAGGCATGCCTGGCTATCATATCATGGAGAGGGTCACAACATAAGGATGGGCCCATCTATGATTAGAATACAAAGTTGGCAACATATGGACAGGCTTGGGAGTAATATCATTTATGGTGTTGTAACATATAGACAGGTTTGTTCATAATAAGCCATACCTCTGTCACAACATAAAGATGGGCCCATCAGTAATGTAGTTTCATAATGTCACAACATAAGGACAGGCCTGTCCATAGTAAGATGTACTGCTGTTGAAACATAATGACAGGCCTGTCACTAATCAGACCCTTCAGCCAACCTTAGTCCTGAAACTGGGACACCCGAAGTGTACATTTGCCCTGAAAGTGGGACTAACTGACACTGGCTGGTGGGTTGTGAGGGGGGGTAGGCCGACATGTGGGGGTGGAGTTGGCCAAACATGCTGGTGGATGGACCCCCTGCCTGGAAGTGGGGCTGGCCTACCTCACTGGAGGATAAAGACAGCCTCACTAGTGGATGTTCCCACCCCCTGGAAGTGGGATTGGCCAACCTCTGGGGTAGATGTTCCCACCCCCTGGAAGTGGGATCAGCTGACCCCTGGGGTAGATGTTCCCAGCCCCTGGAAGTGGGATCGGCTGACCTCACTACTGGAGGTTCCCACCCCCTGGACATGAAATTGACCAGCCTCCCCATTGGATGTGGGATTGGCCAGAAATTAGGTTGGCTGGAAGCAACCTTTGAGTTGATGGGGGTGTATATCCATCAGCAGCAGAGATTAGGTTAGCTGTGAAGCAAGCTTTGATTTCCAGCAAACCCCCTGGAAGTTACAACATCTAAATTGTATCTACAAACCCTGTCCCAGAGCTCCATCAGTAAACCACTTTGTGTGCTGGCAGTCCTAGGGAATCTGTCCAGTGCTGGACAGCTCTGGAAAGCTCTGGCCAGCAAAAGTGATTTACTGATGTCTCTTGGTTGGTTGCTGATGTCTGCTTGGTCTCTTGCCCTCTTTCTCCTGAACCCCATCTTCCCTTGAACCCCCCTTTTTCATCTTCTTCTTCTTCCTCTCAACATTCCCACTGCCTCCCCTTTTCCTTTTCCTTTTCTCCTGGGGTGTATCCTCTGGTTCCTTTTCCTCACCATCCCTCCCACTGTCACCAGAGTGCTCTGCATCTCCACCAGTTTTTTGCCCAGAGCCTCCCTGTTCCTCTGAGTCACCAGAATTTTGCACCAACCTTGCAATTACCACCCCCACTGTGGCCATAACATCTTTGCCTCTGCTGATATCAAGCTTAGAGTCCAGCAAGAAACCCAGATTAGCAACTTCTGGGTCATCCTCTTCTACTTCCTGTGCCCTCTTACACTCCCTCCACAACATACCAAATCTGAGTACCACAGGAAGACCTTTCACCCTGGAAGTAAACCTCTGGGATTGCAATTGACCCAGTGCCTTCCAGAAGGAACCCCCATTGGCATGGATCTCTTGGGGCAGATACTGGGCACTCCAAGTCCATGATGCCCATTCAGGCAACCCTACCCTGGGTTCCATATCAGGTTCCTGTGCAATATGTTTGTTAGCCTAGTCTTTGATGCAAGATTGGCACTTACTGTCTCTGGTAAGGCATATACAAGATCAATGAGATCCTGGTACCTGGGCATGATGGAAGGGGTCTTTAAAAATTTCATCTGGTCCCCATTGGCATGCCAAGCAGGACTGGAGTCATGAGGGGTATTTTGAGATGAGGAGGCCCCAGAGTCAAGCCTATCTTCCTGGACAACTGGAGTTACCTTGCATGGCCTTGCCCCACCAGTTTCCAGCTCTGCCTCTGAGTCTGATGCCCCAGCCACTCCACTGGGCTCCCCCCCAGCTTCATTGTCATTGTCAGGGCTCACCCACACTCTTTTTTCCCTGCTGGTTTTCTGGTTAAAGGGCCTTCCCAAAGGCTTGTTGTCCTTTTTGCAATTGATAAATGAAATGATCACCTTATCCTCATTCTCTAGGGAATGCCAATGATTCCAAAGCAACCTAAGGTCAGCCTTGGTCCATTTTGAAGGATCCTTCATCACAAAATCCATCTGGGATGGATGTTGAATCCAGATACTCCAAAGGGGACTTGATAAGCAAGCCCCAGGGAACCTTGGCCTTTGGCTTCCTGGTAAACTTTGCTGTTATTCCAACTTCAATCAGCAACTGAAAATGCATGGGGGGATCAAGACCATACCATAGGCTGCTTGGAAGACAGCTCTAGCCAAACTCTGCTGGGCCTTCAGCTTCTGCCCAGTAAAAGCTGGCACCTGGGGGTTTCCTTCATCATCCAGGGCTATTTCCACTGCTTGCTTCTTGTCATTCAAATCTTCTTCACCTAAGAATGGGATCAAACTAGGTACATATCTTGATAGACAATGCTCCAAACTTACCAGGTTCAGTCAAAAGATAATCTGTTAACATTTGCTCCCCTTTCAGCACCCAATCCTTGGTGGGCTCCAAAGACACAGAGAAGGCCTTCTTGCCATCAGGGGGTGCTGTCTCCAAACTACATCTCTTTGTGAGCATTGGATAGACCAGGGGAAGGGGGACTTACATAGCCATCTTGATCTGAGCATCTGGGGTCTCATGGGAAGCAAACATTACTACATGCACCCCCATGGTTCTTCTCCAGTGATTTTGAAAGGTTAGGGTAAGGCCTGCAAACCAGAGGGGCACCTATGATTCATGAGTCCCTTTGGGAGCACCCAACTTATTCCACTTCTCAGCAGCCCTCCCAGCTTCAGCTTTTTTATCATTGGAAACAGACTCCCACCACTGTTGGATGATTTTGGTCCTCTGGCCTATGGTCTTGGGGTCCTTGGTGTCCCTCCTCTCCCTATCATAGGCATCCATGTCCTCCTTGAAGAGCCACTGACCTGCAGTAAATTTGGTAAAGGGTTTTCTGTAGTCACCTGCCTTCAAAGGTCTCATTCTCTCCTCTCTGGCATCCTCACCCCCACCAGTCTCTTCCTTCCTCTTTTCTGCTACAGCCAGGATGTGCTGGATGATGTTCCCCTCATCATCTCAGTCATTGGGGTCCAGTTCTTGAAGAAACTTCCTTCTGATGGCCTAGATAAGCTTGAGATATGTTAAACTTGATAAAACTATTATCATACCACTCTCAAATTCTGTGGCAATGCCACAGATCCCTCAGATGCATGCTGAAGGATCTTGGACTTCACCTGGGCCAGGATCTTGGCCCTGAGGTCAGAATTTCCTCAGGCATCTTTGAACTTGCCTACATAGGAAGACAGGAGATCAGAGTAGACTTCAGACCAGTCAGCCATTTTGTCAAATCACAGGGAGGTGAATAAGGCAGTAGAGGATTTGTGGAGTGTGGTGGCAAGATGAAAATTTTAGGCCCTTCCTAATTTAGGCAGGAGGTTGAAAATGTTGGCTGTTGCCAGCCATCACTCATTCAGGGAAACTACCATGTTGGGATGTCTGTTTTGACATATTTGCTTTTCACTCTGAACCAGATACCAAGTTCCAAGGCAACAGTAGACCAAAATATACCCCTGTTCTAAATACAATCCATTTCTTTACCTTGGAACATCAACCTGGCCTTTTTGGCAAGGTCACCCCACAACCCCATCTGCTTATTAGCATAAGCTTCCATCCCTGGCTCAATGGATTGCCCTGCCCTTTTCTCTCATATGTTTCTCTGGAACTTGAACCATAAGGTGGTCCAAAGCATCTCATGCCTGACCAATGACAATTCTTCTTTCCATCTGTCCCTTCTTGCCCTTGCTTTGAGCCAATTGATCCTATAAACTGCCATGCAATTTATTAGTAATATGTCTCCATGCAGTATTCACACTTACACTCTTCCATCAAGCCCCCACTGTCCACATTCCTCTGACCCTGTTCACCTTCCATCATCCAAAACCATGCCATTTTACTGGTCCCTTGACCAAACCTGTTCTCCTCTGTCACCTCTTTACTCACTGCAAGGCCCTGAGGAAGAATTTCCTGATATTTTTCTCTGATGCTAACATCAGGTTCCAGTTGAAGAATGGCCTGCCTAGACCTTTGATAACTTCTGACATGCTTGTTTATTCTGGACACCACATTTTGGATCTCCTTCTTGGTTCTGGTACCCTCCCTGGTGGAATTTGCATTCCAAAAGTTCTGCCAATATAACATTGCCTTGTTGCCCAGGTCAGTGCAAAGCCCCTCTAAACAATCATTAGCTTGCCCAATCCTGAGTTCCATTTCTTCTTTGAGAAGGGCATGAAGGCCAAGCTCTGTCAGTTTGGCTGCTCCAATGGATGAGGGCATCCATATACTCATGACTTCAGCAGCCAAGTCTCCTTCCTCTTCTGCAGCCTCCCAGTCCTCCTCTCCATCTTCCCAGAACTCTCCTTCATCTTCCACTTCTTCATGCCCAAGGAATGCTGGATCATCCTGGGAAATGAAAACATCATCTACCTCCAAACCTTCAAGAAAGGCTTGTCCCTTGCCATTGAATTTCTCAATTCTGGCAGAAAGTCACTGTCTCTTCTCAGAGGCTTTGACTTCTTGTCTTGTAGACATGAGACTGGGAAGCTGATGGAGCTCAGATCTTAGCTGGTCTCTACAGGAGGTCTGGTTAGCAAGCTATCACCTCAGGGAACAACAGTCCTTACTGTGCATCCTCTATGCTGATTCCTTCTGCAAGCCAAGCCACAGAACTAAGGTTTCCTGAGGATGAAGGTGGATTTTTCATGAGCTTTAACTGTGCTTCACCCATGGTAGGGGCTACAGATCATCAGACAGGCCCATGGCTGGGATAAACTGACTGACCTTTGTCCCCTTTCAACAAATAAATATCTAGGGCCTCCCCTCAATCTGCCTCTGCCTCTACAGCATCCAATTCCAATCCTGTAACCTTACTAGGGTCTAGGACAGCTGTCAACTGCTCATATGCCTGATTCATTTCCTCCAGACACTTGTTTGAAGTCTTGTATTTTTTTAGCAGTGAAGGGACTGAGAAGAACAGCATAAACTCTCTTCTCTTTGAAGAGGAGATCTCTCACCTATGCCCACAATTTTTTTCCAGTTAGAATCTCTCATATGATCATCATACACCTCTTGTCTGTGGGCTTGAGTCATAGACCTTGCAGTTGGAGAGATCTTATTGAATGGAGCCCACAATGTCTCCAAAATTTCACCATCCAGGTGGCCAGCACCCTTGACAAAGTTGAGGTGATATCTTGAAAAGCAAGAGAGTTTGTGGGCAGCCAGATGAAACTTCCCCACAGCAGGAATGATTTGGAGACCAGGTGGAAGAGTGAGAGAGCAGCTGGACTTTACCCAACTCTGGAAGTTGATACTCCATTGGCACCCTACATCATAAATGACAAGGGCCTTTTGGATGCTTTGGGAATGGTAATCAAGAGCATTGCAGATGGAGTAGTCAGTGTTCATATACCTGGCCCAAAGTGAGCTCCAATGCATCCATTCTGCCTGACAAGCCAACTCACCTTTCCCCTTTTTATATTCCAGGGCCTTCAAGCCTCCAATTACTTACCTCCTTGTTATCCAAAGACTGCTGGAGATGAGTCTGATAGGGTGCCTCAGAAACCATGTAGCCTTTTCCATCTGATAATGACACATCCAGCTCTGGCTTGTTCATTTTCATATGCTGTGCAGTGAAGTTGCCATCCATCACATATTGCCTCATCACAGTGTCACTGAAGGGGGTTAGAAATGGAATGCCTATGGATTAAAGCCCATTACCCTGCTGTAGCAAGTTCTCCAATCTGGAGGTAAATTAATACCTGGTTGTGGGCAAGCAGGGCAAAAGAGTGCAAGTCCTCCCTGCCCAGGATCTTGCTCAGAATCATGACCAAACCCAAACCATTTCCTATGTTTCAAATCCATCCACAGTTGGGACACCCACAGTCAGCTCTTGGTACCAGTCCTGAATGGAGAGGAAAGTATTAATGCAAGCCACTCAATGGGGAATAGCACTCAACTGGTACACTGTCAGGAAAAGCATTATTGGTGAACCTCTTCAGCTTCTGATAGAAACTCATAGCTGAGGTCTTGCACTCCAAAGCATCAATAAGAAAGTGATTGAGGACATCAAAGGTGAAAGCAGTTCTGGGCTTTGTTATGCTGGCTGGAAAGAGTCTTTCCCTGAGTAAATGAAGGTGCCAGTCTGTGGAATCAGATCCAGGGCAGCTGCACCAGCAAAACTCATGGGTGAAAATTCCTTCACTGTGCATGATGGTCATTTGTGACTGAGATGACCTCCTGGCACCAAATGTTATCAGAAGACTGCAGGAAATTGAATGCCACTGACCTGTAATTGGGAAGCCCTTCCCCAGAAAGGTAGCCCAAATCCTCTGGATCTGTATTGGGCATGGGAATCACCTCATTGCAAGGGCATGGACCACCCCCATGGCCAATGTGTCAAAGGAATCCAAGTTCCATCAAGGAAGTGGTCTGGTAATGGGTACCATTCCACTTTTGTACCTTGTGGAAGGGGAGATTTTGGTGAGCTTCCACAGCACAGGGGCCACACCAGGCATGCATGCCTGAGCAGGACATGCACTGGATACTTCCTTCTGCCTGTCTGCACTGCTCACATATCCCTGCCTTAGCCAGCTGCTCTCCTTCCAGAATGACTTTGATATAATCTGTTCTCCAAGGCAGCCATTCTCTAATAAAGTCATTCTGACTCTGTTGAAAGTTTATTTAGCCCATGTACCACTAAGTAAGACTACTTACCTTGGTGACCCTCCTGCTGGTCAGGGCATCATCCCCTTCATTCCAGTCTGAGCCAGGAATCTCAAGGGAGTCTGGGAAGTCAGAAAAATTGACATTTTGGGAGGCTATAGTCCTTGGGGTTCTTGGAGTCAAAGGTCCACTCTGAGAGGGGAGGTACAGGTGCCTGGCATCAACTTCCTTGTATGTAAGCTTTCCTCTCCTGGTCCTGGTTGGTTCAAGCACATATAATGAACTTTGGCCAGACCATTTGCCCAGCACCTTGTACTTTCTCCTATGCATGTGAAAAGCAGATGATGGTAGAAAAGCTAAGAGGAGTCAGGAACTGCCAAAAAATACACATGGCCTAAAAAATTCATTGGGCAAATAGAACACAACAAGATACAGAACCACAGGAGGGAGGTTTAGTTGTGGCTAAGAACAGAAGACATAATGTCCCTCTGGACAGCCCAGGTAGGCCTGGTGACCTGGAGTCTGTCATGCACCCTGTCCTTCATGTAGTGTACAATGGCAATCCTTTCACCCCTTCCCCACTTTGGAACTGAATGTGAGAGAATTTTGCCAGCCAAGAAAATCATGGTGCCTGGTAAATACAAAAACTTTGCCCCCAAGTCTGGCACCAAGAAATTAGCATCATGGGAGCCCAAGCTGACCAACAAATCCAAAAGGGTGGGGGCAGAGCCAGCATCTTCATGGAGAGGAGTTTCCTGGTTGACAATGACATTGATGTTGGTATAGACAGATGGCCAGTCCAAGGGATCCTCATTCAGCACACTGCCAGTCTTTGCAGAGACAACTTCTGAGCCAGCCCTGGCAAGGTCAGGCAAAGTGACCATTGTAATGTCACTCCAGAACTTTTCAACATGGGCAATCTGCTGGAGCCATTTTCTTGTAGCTTTCCTCTTGAGGGAAGCACTTTGGTGCAGATTGTCCACAAGCCCTTGTCAGGGATCTCAGTGACAGTTTAACAGATGAGAGGGAGTAGCCAACATGGTGAGCCTGCATGAAGGTGGCTGGAGACATGGAGATCCTGCCATGGCCATAGATGGGAGAGTCCACAGGTTGATGTTGATGACCATAACATTTGTTAACCTTGGACAGGTCCTTGGGCTTGTGCTTGGACTTTGACCTGAGGGAGTCCTTGATGGAGAGGTGAAGTTCATTGAGAAGTTGCTGTATGACAAGAGGTGAAAGAAAGGCCAATAGAGAGGGAAAACACACACAATCCTTGCACCATGGATGATTCCTGGCAAATACCATACCAGGAGCCTGCCATGCCTATTGAGAACTGTGGCTGGAGCATCCAGAGAGCCAATGTTGGGGTGTTCAAAATAGATAAACTTGTCCTTGGCAGTGGGAAAAGGATCCACAAACCAATCAACATCCCAATCATCCACATCTGCAAGGAGTGAGAGGTGAATTGTTTTGGATGGGAGAGTCACCCTACAGGGATTCAAGATTGCATGTGAAATGACAGCAGCAGCCAATCTGACTTCCAGGGAAGTGATGGCATCATCAAGAAGATCAGGTTGTTGGAGGGCTGCCTGGGCATTGGCCAAGAGGGAGAGGGCTTGGAGTCTATGAAGATGTCACCAGAAGGTTTGGAGATAGGAGGAGGCAGGGAGCTGACCTAGGCTTGGTGAGGTGGTCCCTTGTGAGAACAGTGCCAGATGAGAAGTTGGGGTTGGCCCCAAATGCAGTCTTAAGCATGAAAGCAACAGTAGCAGTCAAAGACATTTGGAGATCCATGAGGGGAACTGGGTTGGATTGAGGAAGGAAGGAAGGAAGGAAGGTGGAGAATGAAAAAATTGAAGGGTGGGAAAGACATAGAAAGTTCCAGAAAGAGTTGAATGAGGGCAGGCATTGTCACTTGAGGCCCCAGGGTATCATCAGTGTCCATCAAATAGTATTTATTATCTGATCCAGAAGTTGCTCAGTCTCCAGGTGTAACCTTCCCTCATGAAGGCACTCCCTGGCACCTGGTTTGTGGCAGTGACCAGGCTCTGGTTCTGCCAATTATGAATAGTCCTGAGGGCTTGAACATAAATGTAGAATTGGATTGGGGTGCTGCAGATATGCAGTGAATGCAATATGAACATAAAACCCCAGTGCCACCAGTGAAATGAAGAATACAATTGTTTCCAGCAACTACACCTCTGTCAGAGAATAAGTAGGGCTTCCAAAAGAAAAAGGTAGATGAACAGACCTGGTAACTAAAATATCTCATTGATACCTGTGGGCCAGCCTCCTGCTTCCCTGAACAAAATGGCCACTGACCTCATTAGAGGACTCCAAATTGTGAAATAATTCACTAGACACATCTTCTGGAATCTGATCAACTCCAGGCAGGTATGCTCCTATGCATGGTGCTCTGCCATGTGTTTAGTAAAATGGTACCTTGAAGCCTTTGTATCTAGGTCCATAGTACCAGCACCATGCTACTGGTACTTGATACCCAATTTTTAATTTAGCAGGGAAAAGGTACTAATACATTACAGGGAGATGTTTACAGTAGACAGTGGGCAAAAAGACTTCACAACTTGGAAAAATATATGTACTTAAAAGACTCAGAAGACTTGCAAAAAGATCAACAACATAAATTTGTATTAGGGTTAGGGGAAGAAGACTTGCAAAAAAGAAATCAATCCTATACCTCCAATTAGGCAATTTGCATTAGGGTTAGGGTTAGAGCAGTGATGGGTCAAAAAGATTTGACAGAGAACTGACATCCCCATTTTTAAAGAAAGACAATCAATTCCTGATATTCTGCTACTTATGTATCTAAGTTACACTTGCACAAAATACACATGCAGAAAAAGTCCCAAGTGGAACTGAGACTTCCCTGCATCCCAGAGGGGGCCCTCCCCTAGGAGTACAGTTACATCTCTAGAAAAAATGTCCTCAAATGCAACCAAAAACCCCCAAAAAGCGCAGTAGCCTTTAAACTAGAGTCAGTTCCTTCAATGACCAACAGTAGACACATACCTGGGGTAAAAGGCACCAAAAGCACAACAGTAGTAAAAAATCTAGTGAAGATGATCAATTGCAAAGTAAAGGAAATGAAAATGAGCTTAACGTACCTTGTATCACAAACAAAGGCACAACTCATGGAAACTAATAGTAATCCCCCAGTACCCTAAGTAGAGAAGCTGGCCCACATGAGTGGGCACAGATGAAAATCCCCCAGATCCCAAGTTGCTAGCCCACATGAGTGGGCATAGATGAAAACCCCCAGAACCCCATAGATAAAAAAAATCCCCCAGAACCCACAGGGTCCCCCAGTCAGATGTCATGCTGGCCAGGCACAACAGATGACTGAAGGACTTCCCTCCCCTGTCCAGTGCCTGCAGTACACTTTCAAGGGGGAGGGAATCTGCAAAGACAAGGAGGATCAGAAAAAGAAGAAAAAAGAAGAACCTTGGAAACAAAATTGTGACAAGGGACTTGTGGGTTGACAAGGAGGGTCAAGAGAGGTGGGAGGGAGCATCGAGGGGAGAGGGAAAGTGATGAAGGTGTGGTGTCAGTGTGCATGCCAGGTTTATAAGGGAACATGTTGTTTGTGTTTATTTGCTGTGCCATTGAATGCTATTGGTAAATGCTGTACAGTTGCAAGTGAATTAGCCACCAGCTGTTGTGCCAGATATTTGCTCCTGTGCAACAGGTACCAGATATTTGGTCCTGTACTATAGGTATTCAGTCCTGCCAGGACCAAATATGTACCCAATATGCCAAGATTGCCAACCAACCAATTGCAGGTGGGGCTCTTGGTTGCCCATTGTGATTGTGAAATAATGTGTCATGTGTCACCATTCAGTATTAAGTGGAATGGCCACTGATCTAGCACAAATCTCCTAATCAACTTATCATCATTATTGATGAGTGATGCCCTAATACATAGCTATTGTATATTGTACTTGATATGCAAAATTGGTGACTGCACAACCAAATGTCACTTGCCATCTGGATCACCAGAGTTACATACAATTTGTTTGATCACTTGCCAAGGGCTGGTGACATGTGTCACTGCGGAGCGGAATTACTGATGTTAATTTGGATCAATTAATATTGATTACCATATACTGGTTCCACTGCTAATCTGCAAAACTACCTGAGGGGCTGTATGAAAGAGTGATGTGTCACATTGTGACACAGTCACTGCACAGGGTCCACATTGGGCATTCAGTTCCTCAGTCACATCACTTATCCCCTGAACTATCCCCATGTGTGTCTGGGCTGCTGGAGTAAAGACTGCATGTAACAGATCCCCTCAGACAAGATAATAACCATTTTTGGTAATAATCTGCATAGTTACTATTGCCAGTAGGAATTACATATGAATGAATACAGTTTTTGTGAGCAAAGATTGGTGGATCTGCAATATGTAGGAGTTACATATGGATGAACACAGTTTTTTGTGAACAAAGATGATTGGTGGATCTGAATTACTGGTACAGGCACAATGTGATTTGAATGAGCCAAAGTACCAGGCTGCCACCAATCAGCATTTGATGTCAGCCCCACCAGCTGTCCCATCAACCCAGCATCTGACCCTCAGTTCTGCAATCATGTTGCTTATCCCATGAGTGTCTCATTCCCCTGTTCACCTGTCATGTGACCTCACCAAACATGCCACAACAGCCTGAGCAGCTGCACCCAAGCTTCGTAAATACTGTTTCCCTTTCAACCATCCCCCTCCCTCCATTTGCCACCTTTCCACATCAAAAAAAAGCTGTGTGCTCTCAGCACTGTGTTCCCCCCCCCTCACCCTCTTCCCCTCTCCCTTTTCCAAACCAAAAAAAAGGTAGGTGATTTCTTTCTCCACATCCTTTCACTAATCTTTTTTGTTTTCATCTAGCTTCATAATTCTTGGGTGTTGGTGCCCCCCCCCTCCCCCCTCCTCTCCTCAGCACTGTCCACCCAAAAACAAAAGTACATGATTTTTTAGTTCTTTTTCAGGTGCATCTCCCCCCCTACTCACCACTTTTCTTTCCATCTAGCTTTGTTGTCTCCCCCCTTCCTCCCACCCACTCTGTCCAAGCCAAAACAAGGTATGTAATTTCTAAGCTGCCTCTCACATTTATCCTAGCTCACTGACAGGTCTTCTTAGCTGCTCCCTCCCTCTCCCACCACCCTCCATGTCATACACAAAATAAAGTAAGTCATCCTACCTACTTTGCCCCTGTCTTCCTTGTCTAGAAGTGTACACACTTATGTATCTATATGTATGTAACCATGTAATAATCATTCAATCTAATATACACATTTATATTGATGATTCCATTCCTTGCTCCATTATATTCCCAGTCAGCTGGGGTTTACCCATGTTCTGTCATTGTCTCCATCCCCCAAGTAATCTGGTTGCATGGTACTGACCTTGTGCTGCTAGACTACCATGGCAAGGACAAAGCAAACTTCCAAGAGGAATGTTGGTGACAAGCCTGGCAGAGTCTCTCTGGTCAATTTACAAGCCAAGGAGCAACAAGCTGCCCAGGCTGCCAATGCCAATGCCATCAGGGCTCCACTTCAAGTCAAGAAGAGGAGGATAAGGAATTCTGTGAGTTTACTCTTTCCTCTGATCATGATATTCACATCTTCTTTCAGTTCTGTCTCATGTGTAGGGATGGGGGCACTTTATGGGAGTGTGATGTCATGGGCTGCTGGAGGGTGGTCTGCAACAAGTGTCTGGTGGTTCCAGAGGATTCCCTTCAACAGATCACCCAGCCTGGTGTCTCCTTTAGGTATATTCACCCACCACCCTATTTCATCACCTCAAGTCCTTTTGTTTCTCCTCAGGTGTGTCAGTTGTCATTGGAAGAGGACCAGACATGGAACTCCTCAGCCCTACTATGTAGGTTCATCCAAACTTCCCCCATACAACCTAACTCCAAATACAGGGCTTCTATCTGGGTGATGAGCATGTCCTCAGCAAGCCCCCTGCTGTCATGGGCACATTCCAGCATGCCACCACCTCTGAAGTGGCTACCCTTTCCACAACCATCATCCACCTTCACCTGGATGGCTTGACCCTGGACCCTGACCCAGTCCATATCATCCAATCCATGATACAAGGGTATTTCAAACAAGAGGGCACTTACAATTTTGCACAGTTGCCTTATGACTTGGGAACTCAGGAGTCTAGGGCTGCCTATGAAACTGCAGCTGAAGTGCTCTCTTCCTTCCTGGCCCCATATGGAAGGGTGGTTCTCTTCTTCACTACCCACAGTGAAGAACAAAGTGGGGATCTCTTTGCTGGAAGTAGGGATGGGCAGGTATTTGTCTCAAGGGTCTTTGAGGTGAGTCACCATTTCTCAATCTTTACTCTCACCTCACCATCTCCAGGTTTTAGAGGCTCTCCTCACACCCCTCTCCAAGATTGTTGAGGGAGGTGACCTCATCTTCCTGGTGTGTGGATATCTGGTCAAGCATCAGGAGAGTTTCCAAGACTTCAAGTCAGCCATGAACCAGTAAGTGTCCTCTCCATCTGAGCACTTATTTATCACTCATCACCATTCCAGCTTCAAGCCAAGGTCAATGCTCCTCTTTGATGCAGACAGGTTACTCCCTGTCAACACCATTCCTTTCCTCATGAGTGTTTTGGACCTTACCATCATCCAAAGCTTTCAACAGATGGATAAGACAGTCAAGGCTGCTCCCAAGGACTGTGGGGTGCTGGGTAGACACTCAAATATCATCCTCATGTTTTGGGGGTCTCAAGGAGGGAGGGTATTGGTGGAAAGGTACATTTGGACTGACAAGTTCATCAAACCTTGGGGTCAGAACTTGCCTGCTCAATGCCCTCAGTGTGGGAGCATGCAAGAATGGCTGGCTGCTAGTGCTGATTCAACTTATTCCTATCAGTGCCAGTATCCTGATTGTGGGAAGGACTTGGAGGGGGCTGCATTGCCACCCAAAACTTATACCATTTCTATGCCTCAAGGAGCCAAAAAATTACTAGATGGAAAACAGTCATCTGCATGGTTGGTAGAAATTTTGTAAAATACATATACCTCCACAGTACATAAAAGATGGACTGTTTATAAATAATGAATCCAATGATATGGCCCATACTGCAAGAATGTCCCATCTTTCCTAAGAAAATATGTTGAAAATTATAGAAGAAACAGATCCTTGTTTATTCTGGAGGTTTCACAGCTGATATGCATATATAATTTTGTATGTCTGCTGCATGCTTTGCTGATGCTGGGTTAGACTTAAGTGAGGTTAGGGAGCTCACCCATGAAATGGTGATGTTGGCCAACACCCCTTCTAGGGAGCTCCCTCATGCTGAGGCTAGGTCAGCCACTACCACTTCCAGGGGGCTGACACCACTTCTAGGGAGCTCACCCATGAAGTGGTGATGTTGGCTGACACCCCTTCTAGGGAGCTCCCTCATGCTGAGGCTAGGTCAGCTGCTACCACTTCCAGGGGGCTGGGCCATGCTTAGGTGATGTCAACTGACACCACTTCTAGGGGGCACCCCCATGCTGAGGCTGCATCAGCTGATACCACTTCCAGGGGGCTCCCTCATGCTGAGGCTAGGCTGGCCAGCACCCCTCTCAGGGGGCTCACCCATCCAGGGTAGGTTGGCTGATGCCACCTTTAGGCAGTCCCATGAGCTGTGGCTGACTCACTTTCAGGGCCATCAGCTGACATCGGTTAGTCCCACTTTCAGGGTGAATGTACACTTCAGGTGTCCCAGCTTCAGGACTTTGGTTGACTGAATTATGTGCACTAATATCATTTAATAGAGTCACAACATAAGATCAGGCCCTTTAGTAGTATTATTTATATTGTTGCAACATATGGACAGGCCCATCCACAGTAAGATGTACCTCTGACAAAACATAAAGACTGGCCTGTCAGTAATCTCATGTATAGCATTACAACATATGGACAGGCCCAGCCCCAGTAAGGTGTGCCCTGTCAAAACATAAAGATGGGCCCATTGGTGGTATTGTTTAATAGTGTCACAACATATGGATGGGCCCTTCAGTAGTATTATCTATATTGTCACAACATATGGACAGGCCCATCCACAGTAAGATGCACCTCTGATGAAACATAAAGATGGGCCCATCAGTAATGTTGTTTAATAGTATCACAATATAATCATGGGTCCTTCAGTAGTATTATTTATATTGTTGCAACATATGGACAGGCCCATCAGTAATATTGTTTAATAGCATCACAACATAAGGACAGGCCCTTCAGTAGTATCATGTACCATGGCTCAAAAAACTGACCACATGTTTGTATGTTTTACATTAGTTATGACTCAATGCAATAACCCCTAACCCTAGCCCTAAACCATGAGTGTATGAAATAGGGTACTTACTCTTGGCTTTCTATTGGTCCATGAATTGAGTGATTTGGATAGGAATTGATAGAATAGCAGCCATTTGAAAATGACATGTCATGTGGTCAGTTTTTTGACTTTAGTTTTGATCACATAATTTTGAGTTTAACAAAGTTTAAAATGCTGTGAGGTGCTTACTAATGCTTACATGGTATATCACATGATCTATTTGATGATTTGTCATCATACAAACAATGCCAAACAATGAATTGGGACCATCAAGGCTCCCTCTTCTACCCCAACTCATGAAACCATCCTCCTGGTCCATCTGAGCCATTTTCTCAGAGTAATCCCCATAAATATTGGTGCCCACTACAGTAATGTCATCAGGGTATATGTCCAACACAATCAAACCCTTAAAAAATCTGCTTTCAGTCATCCCTGTGCTGTTTCCCCCACCCATACCTGACATGTTCTGCAACTAATCAGTACTGAGATGAGCCACTGTATGTTGGAGCTGGTCAGATTCTTTACTGGTAACCCTAACATGACCTTTGGAATTGTGTGCCAAAGATCATCCCACTGGAACATCCAATGCACAGGAGGACAACAGACAATGGAACCAGTCCACATCAGACCAGTGCAATATGGCCACTGCATACCCCAAGCCAGCTGGTAAGTGGTATCCAATGACAATGAATATTGCTGATAGAATTGTGTCAGACAATCATGCCAATGATGGTGGCAATTCAACTGCAAGGAAGCCCAAGCCCAAGCCAAGAATCAGATCCAATGGTCAGTTTCCATGCACCCTTGGTTAATCCTCTCATTACAGCATTCTACAGCAGCCCAGAATGATAAGATGGTCATATCACCTAATGATCATAGGTATACATCCATAACACAATTACACATGCTTATCTATGTCAGGAGTTGATCCAGTGGGTAGGAATTTGAATGCCAGGCCTAGAGGCTGTGCAATGGACAGGGAAGATTGACTGTTGGATCAAGCAGAAGAGGATGGTGTGGCTCATTGCCCAGAGTGGAACTGTAGGCCCCCATGGCAGCCAGATGATAATTATCCTACTCCAACCATGAGGAGGCAAAGGTAGAATTGAGGCCAGTACCTAATGTTTTCCTGTAGACTGGCGACAACTATATATAGTGCACAGTGCAAGAATCGCTAGTGAATTACCAGCCCCATAGCTACCATGTACCATAACCCACTGTCACAATCTAATCATGGCCAATTTGTGCACTTCTCCAATTCCATTCAACATAATGTTCATTGAAATGAGTTAAATATACAAATTAAAGCTGGTCTGGTTTAAGACAGTAGCCTACACCTGCTGGCTCTTCCTCCTGAAGATCTGCTAACTGTTGCCAGAAGCTGGTAAGCATGGCATGCTGCTCAACTGTGATCACCACTCCCTGGTTGCATCCACCAGGGTATTGGCATAATACCTATATGCAGTGATCAGATTGGCATCATGTGCAGCATTGATGTCTGGCTGACACACCCCACTCCTAGCCATGATACTGGAGATCTGCCTTGACATTTGAACTGGTAGACATGTTTAGCTATGGTTGTGTAGGAACTTCTGGACTTACACTCAGTTTGTGGAGTATCAACTCCTGGCAGTATGGTGAACTCCTGGGAGACTGTGAAAAGCTCTGAATGTGACAATGGGATTGGCACTGGTGATGGGGATCTAGCCAGCAGTATTGATGTGGAACTGAATGATGCAGGAGCATCTGAAAGGTCCATAGGTTGATGAGGACCAGGGAAATTGCTGCTGGGCAATGTGAATGTTGTTGGGCTGGGAACTGGGATAGGATTGTGACAGGCTGGTGACACAGAGGGAGTTAAGGACCAAAATTGGGGCTCATGCAATAGGATGAATGGTCATGATGATTGGCCAGCTGCTTGAGTTGGGTAGATGTAAGCTGATGATCTTGTAGCAGCAGGTGACTGAAATGCTAGTTCTTGTAAAGGACTGAATGGTGGGGATTGAAATGGTGGGGGCAACCCCCAAGGCAGCTCATGCAATGGAGTACCTGGGGCAACAGGCAGTGGTGATTTGTCCCATGCCAGCTCAAGTAATGGGGTGCTGTCAGAGAGGCATGTTGATATGGAGTCCCAAGGAGGCTCAACCAATGGGCTGCTAGAGGAGGGAGATGGTGCCAATGACTCCCATGCTGGCTCTATCAAAGGTGATCTGGGTGAACCAGAGGACTGGAAGGGGGGTTCCAGTCCAGTTGTGCATGTTGTTTGAGCCAGGGACAGCTTGAAAGGTGGCTCACATAATGGGGATGATGGCATGTCTGGCAGGTCATCTTCAGTAAACATTTCCTCATCCTCATCAAGAGATGCAAGCTGCTGCATATCATGGCATGACAGAATTACTGCACACAGTCATTAGAAGTAATGGTCCTTGGACTGGTTGACTTACAAAGTTTATCTGGACTGCCAGAACTGAATCTAACATTTCTGGGAGCCATATGAAAGTTCAAAATGTTGTAGGCACTGTGGGGATTACACCAATGTTTGAGAATGATTTCAGTACCAGTGATAAGATTGTATTACACAATATTTTTTCACCAGTCATCTTGCAGGATGTGCAAGTGCATACATAATGGAAATGGGCACTTAGTGGAATGACTGTCAACTGCCATACATTACTCCCACCAAAATATGTTTGATGGTTAAACCAGTACATTGAATATTGCAAATCACAGCATCACCAGAGTGAGCATTTGTATTGTGCTTATGTAAGCCTGTTGAATGGTGTATGCTAGCCAGTGAATTCACCACACCACTCAAGCACCCACCACCTGCACACCAAAGCTTTAACAGCACTATGTCTACTGCCAACACCAGCACCTTCATCCCAGCACAATTGACTGACAACATCCAGCCAGTCATCACTGCTGAAAATGCCAAGCAGATGGTTGAGGAGGCTGCCAGGGTTACAATGCAGGCACTGAGAGGCCTTCAGGGCCAGGATGCTAAGCACTGGGGAAAAGCAGCTCAGCTTGTGTTGGCCCAGCTGGTAAGTGAAATTGCAGCCATGATATCTGTTCCTGACATCTATGTAGGGAATGGTCCACACAGTTGTTGAACATCTACCCCCAGCATTCAAGATCCCTCTGCATCTTATTGCTATCAATATGCACATGGTTGACCCAGCAACAATCTTTGCCACACAGATGTGGCCACCTTTCAACCAGATGATGATGGCACAAGAGGCTGACTGTGAAGGATCATGCATGGTATCACCTTCATCACCAGCCTAAGTCTCACCCATATTACAGGGTCATGGAGGAGCTTACTGGGCCTTCATTGAGGGCTGAGCACCAGGCACAGCTGGTGGATAAGGGGAAGGGGAAAGAGTTGGGTACAGATGAGGCTCAAGGGATTCAGCTTCTGGGTGAGCACTAATTCTGAGGATGGCAATTGGGTAGACCACTGATATGGGATCCTGAAGATGCACCCACAGACACTACAGCTAGGACCACTGGAGTTGTGATGCAGAAGCCAGGACATGAGGAGGATCAGAACAGGGAGAAGGCACAGGGCTGTAGCCAGTCAAGATGTGGCCAGCCAGCAGCCAAGCCTGTTGATGCCAGTGATCACACCAGTAGAGGCCTGGAGCTGGTCAAGGAGACCAACAAAGAAGGTGAAACCAGCAGTCAACAAGGATGTGCAGGACTGGCAAGACATCAACAACCCTCCTGAGTCCTGAGAGGTAGTGCCAGAAGCTGAGCAGTGTGTGAGATGCTGGGACAGGAGTTGGCCCTGTACAGTGCTAGCTGGCAGGGCATGCTGGCAATGCCACTGTACCAAATACTCATGCAGCTTGTTCAAGGGGAGGGGAGACAAGTCCGAGATGCAGCAAAAAGCCTCCCATTCAAGGCCTCACTGGCAACAATCCCCAGAAGACACCACTGGCCTTCCCACCACTTCAACACTTGCTGCACCAGCTCCATCAACTGGTCAACAAGCCAAACATCAAAGGGCACCAAGCTGAAATCAATCTGCTAGTCCATCCAAAGTAACAAGCCACATTATTTGTCTCCTGGCCCATGGACTGGCTGCCCCAGTAAGTTATTCACAGTCCTATATTTTTGGCTAATTGGTTGAACTGATATTTCTATTGAGTAGTGGAAATTATTACTCCATCATGGCTGTCCCAGTCACAGTCTTGTGCAAGAAGCATTGCAACAGACCCACCCATCACTCTAGCACCAACTACTACAACTGGTGCTGATGATCCATGCCATTGTGACAAGTATCAGAAGAGGTTACCATCCTCAAGTGGGAGAATGCTGACATGAGGCAGGAGATAGAAGTAACCCATACTGAGCTTGCCACTCTCCATCAGGTGGTAGATGCCATCCATAATCACCTATTCCCAGCCCCAGACATGCTTAACCATCCTCTGGTCCCATTTCACACTACTTCCAATCCTACACTGGTACCTCACATGCTGGTCATGGTGGAACTTGGCACTGCCACTGGTGTTGTAGAGGTTCAATCATCCCAAAGCGGCTCAAGACAGGAGTCCACTGAACCCCCCCCCTGGCTTCATTCAAGGGAGGTGCTGGCTTGGAAGTACCTCCTTTGAATGTCAAACCTGTGCATGGACCTGCTGGAGGTCCAGCAATCTCTATTACTCCACCACCACCAGCAGTTGGATCAGCACCTGGACAGGAAGGTAGGATGGAGGTCAACTAACATTAATGTACATGTCATTTCACAATCCATTCATGTTTTTTTGTCTTTGTACTTGTACTTTGTTAGCTGCAGCAATATATTCTATATTGTCAAAATGTGATCTCCAGGAAGAAGTAGCTACCCCTGCTAGTAGTTGTTACTGTATGATTCAGATACTAGAAACCAATCTAGTATGGTGATGTCTGTACCAAGGCTGTGGTGTGACAAGCACTAAGGGCCAATGGAGTCATGGTTCACCTAGATGATTGAATGATGACTGGCCAGCATAACTCAATTGTTTTTGCTGTATAGCATGATGGTGACTTTCATGGTATTGTTCTGGCTTGCTGGAGGCCATAAGGCATTGAATTCACAGTTTAAATGTACTGGGTAGTTGGCTAGTCTTCTGGTCATTATCAGAGCCACCATTGTGGTAATACATGCATCTCTGGCATGGTATTGGTACCAGTATGTACATACACTGTGGACCAGCTCCTGGGAGGTCAGGCAGGTCAGGCATGGTATGGTATAATTTCTGGGCAAGCCTCCATGGATGACTTGGTGCTGGGACAGCTTGACTGATGGCCTCATGGCATTGGGGATGTGCCAGAACTCGTTGCAATGGCGCCAGGACACCCTGCATGATGGCCTCATGGCATTGGGGATATGGTGGAATACATGGAACCAGTGCCAGGGTGGCTTCCATGGCATTGGTGTTGTGCCAGAACACATTACAATGGTGCCAGAATGGCCTGCATGATGGCCTCATGGCATTGGGGATGTACCAGCACTCATTACAAAGGTGCCAGGATGATGGACCCATGGCATTATGGATATGCTGGAATACATGGAACTGGTGCCAGGCTGGCCTCCATGGCATTGGTCCAGTGCCAGTACACATTACAATGGTGCCAGAATGGCCTGCACAATAGGCCTCATGGTATTGGGGATGTGCTGGAACACATGGCATAGGTTCTGGGACAGCTTCCATGGCATTGGTGTTGTGCTGGAACACATTCCAATGGTGCTGGGATGGCCTGCATGATGGCCTCATGGCATTGGGGATGTGCTGGAATGCATGGACCTGGTTCCAGTGCCAGCTCACAATATATCAGTGCCAGGACAGCTTCCATGATGGCCCCATGGCAGTGGCAATGTGCCAGAGCATGTGGCATTGGTGCCAGCATGGCATTGGCATTGTGCTGATTCACATTAAATCAGTGCTGGCCAGGATGGCTTCCATGGCATTAGTCCTGGGTTGGTGTTGGCCTGGCTCACATTGCATTGGTGCTGGGACACCTTGAATAGCATTGGTATTGGGTCTGCCCACATGGAATCAATTCCAGGACAGCCAGCATGGCATTGGTGTTGTGCTAGCCTGCATGGCATTGGTATTGGGCCTGTTCATATTGCATTGGTGTTGGCCCAGCTCACATGGCATTCATCCCAGGATGGCCTGCATGGCATTGGTGGTGGGCTGCCCCACATGGTAGTGTTGCCAGGATGGCTAGCATGGCATTGGTGTTGGGCCAGCTTGCATGACAGTGTTGCCAGGGGTGAACTCAGGGGCTGAGCCCATCCATACCTTCTGGGGACACCCAACTCTGGGCTCACCTGGGACTACTCATATTTCAGTGGCTACACCCTAATCCCACAGCTGGCTTGTACCCCATGATGACAATTCTAACCTCTGCCCAGCCATTCTCCATAATGACTCCTACTCTTGGGCTCAGCTGTATGCTATGGTGACACTCATTTATTGGGCTCTCCCATAGTCCATGATGACACTTACTCCCCAGCCTGCTTGTAACTGACAATGACAATTCAAACCACAGTTGCACCATTCCTCATGACAACATTTCCTCTCAGGCTCAGCTGTACTACATGGTGACACTCATCAGTTGGGCTCTCCCATACTACAAGGTGACAATAGGTTCATGGCTCTCATGTAACACATGTGCACAAGCCATACATGGGCTCAACCTCCACTGGCCCATCACTGATGGCCAATTGCCAGCCTCTGCTGACTGTCTCATATGGCCTAACCAGGTGCATGGGCTCATGGGGAGGCAAACTGTGTGGTAGGTGATTGTCACACAGAAGTCTGGTTTGAGTGTCAAGCAGTTGGGAAGGAACTGCTGCAATGGCCTCAAGAATAAGATCCCAGACTGCCTGCATCACCTGAGATTGGTCATCCAAAGCTGCTCATTTGATCATAGCAGCCTCTACCAATTCTGCCATTCTGCCAAGCTTCTCTGTTCCATGCTGAAGATAAGAGGAGAGATTGTCTAGAAGCAAAGTGTAATAGTCTCCTCTAGCTCTGGTATCATGTTTAGTCTTATAAACCTGTCATGATGACAAGCCGAGACAATGTACAGAGACATAAACCAGCCTGGGTGTCTTTGAACCCTCAACTCCAAGCCTGCTGCTCAACCAAAACTGATGGCAGCATCCGGATCACCAACTGCGTCAGTTTTGTGGAACTGGCACAGAGACAGACAATGGACGAGTGCAGGGATGATGACTGATGTAGGGACGAAGCGCCATGCGCATTGTGCACAAGTACCCGATCCGAGTCGGCGCTTGAGATAAGCTGGAGTTCGTGTCACGTGCGGCAGACATCGACGCGGCGGCAGCCAGGCCGGAAGTTAGCTGCCTGTCCGACTTTACACACCTTCTCTAAAGTGATGTAGTCAAGCTCCTTGATGTCCCCATCGCCGACACGGCGCTTACTTGACTCTGTGTAGCTAATACACCAGGGCACGGAAGCTGTAAGTTGGCTCTGTGTCTTCCAAGCGTATTCTTACTCATCGTCATATGATTTCATAATAGAGTCTACAAGGCGTATCTCAGGGATTCTGAGTGGCGACAGAAAGCGAAGCACGCCGATCATGACACTTGCTCGACGGCAGAGGACATGGCTCCAATGTTACTCAAGTATCAATTCAATAAGCGCTATTGACATCCATCCCTCGATGCGCCACTCACTCGACAACGAGTAGCTGGAGAAGCCCATGCATTGATGTGATGCCTACAGTACGTCCCTTCTGCGTCTATCAACTTTATTTTAGTCCGAGCACGTAGTATTCCTCGCAGGTCTGATGTGAACATGCCTGGAATCAGAATGGTGGGTGTGCTGGGCCTGGAGTGGGTCGACGGGAAATCAGTGCGAGTCTTACTTCCGGGAGGGTCAGAGGTTATGGTGAGCCAGGATTCCGATGCAACTGATGGCATTGGCCCCGATCGTTGCGAAGATGCTGCGCTTGCAGAATTCAGGTGTCGAGCGAGGTAAGGGTTTCTATAGGGAAAAGCATTGAGTTCACTCGAATCATTCCACTGTAGACGATCTGTTGAATATGATCAGCATCGAAATAGGCAAAGATGCACATCGTGAACATCATTCATGGCGACCTGACAACTTTGAATATGATACTCTGCAGGGGGGACAAGGACTTGGTCTGTTACGCCACAGTGACATTGTTCAAGTTCACTTACTTGCGTACCAGGTGCTGATCGACTTTGGGCTCGCTTACCATTCTTCGCTGGTGGAGGACAAAGCGGTAGACCTCTATGTCCTCGAACATGCTTTCGCATCAACGCATCCAGACGCAGAGCCGCTCTTCAACTCAGTTCTCGCTTCATACGAGAAACACCTCGGAAAGCACTGGTCCGTAATCAAGAAACAGTTGGATGACGGCGAGTCATATTCCCTACAGTGCCACCTTTGTTTCTCTGACTAACAACCCCTAGTTCGCCTCAGAGGTAGAAAATGCAGTACGGTAGGTTAATTCTGGGTCATAAAGGAAACCTATAATCTATTAGGACCTCGGTATTTTGTTTTGTCTTCCCATCTGCCTTCGCACCGGCAGTATTTTCAAATCCCTTTAGCATAGGGGTAGTGGCATGTGCCATCGATAGAGTGGGTTGCAATGACTGGGGTATCGATGGCGCATGTCACTGCCCCTATGCTCCTACCCGAGTTCGAGAGCCCGAGACAGTACAGTGCTCAAGATTTCTTATGCATCGCAAGAACTCAACCGGTGGCAATGGTGGGTGCATGCGATCTGTATTATATTCCTTGCCGGCCTTCCTGTTATCATGAAGTTTTTCTGGCCCACGTTCATGCTGGTCGTAGGTACATTGACTACTTGAGCGTAGGGTACACTTCGATGGGACCGCTCTCCACTCCGTCTCTCCGATATTGCTTTCTTTGCAAGCGCCGCATCCACCACTTTTAGACTCTACAACCTCTACATTCGGCAATGTTACTGGTACGCCAGGATCACCCTAGCGGCAATGGCGAGAGCATTCCCATCTTGCTCCCGGGAAGGGACTACTTCATTTTCGGGAAGGTGGCTCTCAATGTTTGGGAGCTACAAGCCATCACAAGTCCAACATCTCATAGATCTTCACACTAACTATTGTTATGATTTACACCCACCTGTCAGCCACCTACCTCCTCCTATAATCCCCACTTTGGAGGCCAGACGACATGCTTCTGCCTTCGTTACACTAGACATTCTCTATGGCCTCGCCATGTTTATAGCCAACGTCCAGAGGCCTCTGCCACATTCAGCGGTGCCCGCACTAGCAGCTGTCATTGTAAACCGACATGATGACCAGTTGGCCGGAGGAATACTCGGATCCAGCAGGTATATGGCGTCCTATTAGGTGGATGACGACTGCCACGAGGCGAAGGAATTGGACTTCCAAGAGACGAAGCTAGATGATGCTAGCGGATGTGCTTTGATCGTCTGCTGTATATATGTGATTCGAATTTTGTGTCCCCAATTTGCCTATACCATCACTACGACGTGCTAGCACAGTACCCGGCAGTTACTTTCTTTATTCCCATGGCACTTACTATCGCGATGACATTGTGGACCACGCCTTCGTATATCAGATATCGGATCGTGGTCATCGGAAGCGCGCAGACTCGACGCTTCGCCCAGGTTCCAACTTGCTCAAATCATGTAGATAACCCATCACAGCAGAATTCGATGGCTTTCCTCACGCCTTGCATGAGGGTTTTCCTTGTCGTTTCCGACTCCGCAGACATCGCGTCCAGTCTATTTCTTCAAGGTCATTTCCCTCGACGTTTTTTTACTGTGATTTGTGCTTCGCATAGAAAACACTAAGAATTCACTCGCCAACATCAATGTGATAGGACCTCCTGATGCGCGCACGACATCATGGACTATATCGACTGAACTTGTCTCTCAATAACACCAGTCCTCTTTGTTGCGACTCACTTTACCTGCTACGACACTCCAGATCCGTTGGACTTGCTACTATGGAGATGCACATGTCGTGCCTTCTGGACAGCTGTGGGGGTCCTTGAACGTACAGCGTTCAAGATTTCCTGTGCTTCGCGAGGAATATCAAAACGGCAGCGAGGGTCGCTGCATGTGATCTTTATCATATTCCTTCTTGGTCATCCTACTATCATGAATTTCTTCTTGCCCGTGTTGACATAGGTGGTAAGTGCATGCATTGAACTTATTCATCTACAATTATGCTGGGACGCCATAGTTGATGGAGAGAAACTCATGCTCATCACCGAGCGGGCCCCAAAGAATAATAGTATACGGGTGGTGTTTTCGAACGGTGGAGTTGCACAAGATACGATCACCGTTGTGCGAGCCCTGTACGTCGTGCTTCTCCAGCCCAGGTATATTGCAAATGATGGCTAATGCTTTCGATCTCTCCGTCTAGGGAGGACCACGAGTATTGGCAGCGGGCTGATCAAATTCCCGTATGCAGGGGGACACTTCGATGGCGCGACCATTCACCCCACCTCTTGGACATTGTTTCGATTTCTGGCACCGCATCCGCAGCGTTCAAATACTACAACTGTCACGTTCGCCAATGTTATTGGCACGCTAGGGTCATTCTGGGTTCGATAGCGAAGGTATTCCCATCTTGCTCTAAGGAGGGAACTATTTCGTTCTCGAAGAGGAGATTTGCGATATTTGGAGGCCACAAGCTGTCCCAGGTACAACTCCGTGTGGACCTTCATGATATTTACCGTCAGGACGCATGCGCCTCTCTACCTCCTGCGCGCCCTCCGTTTATCGTCACACCTGATTCTCTCCAGGCCATCAGCTCGGCTATAGCTGGATGCCTTGAGACATCTTTGGCACAGATAGTCTGGCTTCAGCCCGCTGCTGGCGTCGTCAATGGCTGCTGTGACCGAACGCTAGGACGTGAGCCCAACACCGCTGGCGGATGGACCTGAAGGCTGTAACGGTGGGATGAATATCTTAAAAGCAAAAATTGGGGATGTCAAATGTCGAATAGTCTTCTCAGGTCTTGTTTTAGCCCTCCTCGTACACGGCTTTTGGGAGTGAATCTTTGCCCACAAGTATATAACTTGCGTAGTGACTCTGACTCCTGTACAGTGTATTCTGGATAACCACAGCAGTTCGTACTGTTTTTGAATGAAGCGCATTGAAGCCGGGCCTAATGGGTAAAATGGAAAGGGTCGGAGAGACTTGGGAGTGACGTCATTTCTTTGGATCGGGTGTTGGACTTCTCCCTGAGCACGGTCTATGGATACCCCCGACGTTTACTTTCTCGAGCCCTCAGAGCTTCACAGGACAATATTTCACTGACTGTTAGGTTAAATGCCGCTGGAATGTTCAAGCACTAGCAAGTCATTTCTTCAGTCGATCAATGGTGTTTAGGACCAGTAGGTACACAGCTATGAGTTAGAAATTATAGACAATGCCTTAGAGAGCAGCTAGATAGAATCCACGCAATAACAAGTGTTGTGACCTCGCTTTCCACGATACTTCCTGTATCTATCGGGCAAGAAACGATAAGACAATACGACCCGATCCGCTTACACTCGTTATGCGGCAACTTCGTCAGTAGAAGCGCATGGAATAGTTGCCGCAGCTGTGCAAGCTTGTACGGAGTGCCATACGCATTGTCACATGCACGGTATCCGATCCGAGTCGTGCGCGTGAGATAAGCTTGTCACGTGCGGGGGAAGCGGCCACAGCCGGGCCGGAAGTTAGTTGCCTGTCTGACTTTACACACGTCTCTAATAGCCATGCCGTCAACCTCCTTGAGCTCCCCATCCCCGACACAGCGCTTACTTGGCTCTGCGCAGCTGATACACCAGGGCGCGGAAGCAGTAAGTTGGCTCTCCGCGTCTTCCGAACGTATTCTTACCCATCGTCCTATGATTTCGTGATAGAAAGTCTACAAGGCGTATCTCAGGGATCCCGAGTTGCGACAGAACACGAAGCACGCCGATCATGACACTTGTTCGATGGCAGAGGATGCGGCTCCAGTATTACTCAAATATCGGTTCAATAAGCGCTATCGACACCCGTCCCTCGATGCGTCGCTCACTCGACAACGAGTAGCTGGAGAAGCCCGCGCGTTGATGCGATGCCTACGGTACGTCCCTTCGGTGTCTATCAACTTTATTTTCGTCTGAGCACGTAGTATTCCTTCAGATCTGGTGTGAACGTGCCCGGAATCAGAATGGTCGATGCGGCCGAGGGTGTGTTGGGCCTGGAGTGGGTCGATGGTAAATCAGTGCGAGTCTTACTTCCGGGAGGGTCAGAGGTTATGGAGGCCCAGGATTCCGATACAACTGATGGCGTTGGCCGTGATCGTTGTGAAGATGCTGCGCTTGCAGAATTCGGTGTCGAGCGAGGTAAGGGTTTCTATAGGAAAAGCGTTGCGTTTACTCGAATCATTCCATCGTAGACGATCTGTTGAGTATGATCGGCGTCGAAATAGCAAAGATGCACATCGCGGACATCATTCATGGCGACCTGACCACTTCGAATATGATGCTCCGCAGGGGGGAGAAGGACCTGGTCTGTTACGCCGCCGTGATATCGGTCAAGTTCACTTACTTGCGTACCAGGTACTGATCGACTTTGGGCTCGCTTACCATTCTTCGCTGGTGGAGGACAAAGCGGTAGACCTCTATGTACTCGAACGCGCTTTCGCATCAACGCATCCAGACGCGGAGCCGCTCTTCAACTCAGTTCTCGCTTCATACGAGACACATCTCGGAAAGCACTGGTCCGCAATCAAGAAACGGTTGGATGACGGTGAGTCATACTCCCTGTGGCGCTACCTATGTTTCTCTGACTGACAACCACTAGTTCGCCTCAGAGGTAGAAAACGCAGTATGGTAGGTTAATTCTGGGTGATAAAGGAAACCTGTAATCTATTAGGACCTCGGTGTTTGTTTTGTCTTCCCATCTGCGTTCGCACCAGCAGTATTTTCAGAGCCTTTTTTCTGTCGCACGGAAATCTTCAAGGCATGCGCAATATGTACTTGTATGTGTAACTCACACTGTCACGGCCGGGCGACGGTAGTGGGTCTGAGTCAGTGATAATAAGCGTGGACGTGGTTAGGTTTGGAATCAACTGATTAGGCAAGTCCTCGTTTCGCGTTTCGCGTTTTGCATGAATCCAGCCAGCGCATGAAGTCTGATTAGGTGGAGAGCGACCGTGCCATCAAGATAGCTGTTTTATTTCTACGGTACGCTGTATGTCACGCTCAGTTCTCTGATGGTATGTATAAGTGCTCTGACAAGCTATACGTCAAATACCATGCAGCTCGAGTGTGACTTGCTACACCCTCGCGAGTGGTCGCATCTCGTGCTTACCCTCGTCTTTCCTTATAATTCTTCTTCATACACAAAACCATGCACAACACGCCACCCCTGCTCTCGTCGGACGTGCGTGGGCTCGACCCTCCGACCAACCTACTCAAACCACGATCCCTCAGTGTTCCGAACAGAACCACACACCCATTGCTTATATGGTGATCTTTCGCGTTCCTCTGAAATTACCCCCATCCATATCTCTCCAGTGGGTCCAGTTTCCTCCCACTGCATCACAGTCCCGTTCGATCGCGTCACTGATCAGTATGCATGTCTCACGCCGATGTCATCTCCGTCCGGCCGATCTCCTGATCTGCATCTGTAGATTGACCAATGTAAATGGGAGTTTCTTCTAAACCGATCTCAGTCCCAATACAACGATGTTTACTTGGTAGGTGGATGACTCGATTCGATCTGTGTACTCCGAGGTGTTCGGCATCGTGTCTCCCAGACCTTGAATCTGTGGATGTGATGGAATAGGTAAGACGTCCGTCGATTCAAAGGCAGGGCACAAAACCCCCAGCGAACTGGCCACTGATAGCTTCTGATAAAGCTGACAAGCCAAACTTGCTGCAAAATTTCAAGAACCAGAGATATGTGATAGTGGTTGGTTTCGGTTTCTGACCTTCGCTACTTGATACAATACACGTCAGTTCAACACGAGGCAAATGGTGAGACACACTACCCAACCGCACCTCCGGTCTACACCGACCTATTTTGACTGCCTTGCAGTACTGTTGAAGGCCTCACGTGCTCGAAAGCATCTTTTCGGCGTCTGGTTGACCAGAACGATTCGGCATCAAATGGAAATATAGCAACGCTCTATGACGCCATGCACTGAACTGACCGCTACTCCCGCGATCTCGTTCATCGGACGCACGCGGACTTGAACAGAGCTGTGCAGTATGGAGGAAAGAAAGGAATTGCATACCTTCTGATTGATGCGCGACGTAAATTTGGCAAGCAGGTCACAACATGTAATGAAAATGCAAGCGTGGGGAAATGAGCGGTTGGTGAAAACAACAAGCCGGCGCCGCTTGCAGGTCTAAAGAGCCCGGGGCGTAGGAATTAAAATCGGTTTGAGACGGATCACGACTTTCTCCGGTGGAGGTTGAGAGAGAAGTAAGAGATGTGGACGGCTCACAATGTTTACCGGAATCCCTCCTCCGCAGCGTCAGTGTCTTGGATATCCACGCGTGGCATGCGTTGCACCTGTGCACCTGTATCATGATTGTATATTGCATTTGTTCACTCCTTACTTACAAAGTTACCTTCCGTCGCGGCCTGACCCTTTGATTCCCTGCACAAAGCACCGTCCGACATGGCCACACTCGCAAGGGTCGAACGCCCATAAAAATCGAGGTCACTTTAAAAACTGGAATGGAGTAAGGGATAGTGGGTGTAAACCGGCTTCGACCTATTTGGATTTGGTCTGAGACGTCGTACCACGTTTTCCCATTACCTATGAACTTCCAACTAAGGCAAAGGTTTGTTGAATTACTCGTGCAGCCGGAACTTCCTGGCTAAGCTTGTCAGCGAAAACTGCACATTGGTAGCGGCTTCTTTGACCGAGGTCCGCAACTTGTCTAACGTACCCAACACCTTGTGGTTGCGCAAATCATGCAGAACGACCGACAGCCGAAGTGCCCCACTTGGACCTGTACAATCATGGATATGAATGCGAACGTTGACCCCCTCAGATAACTTCACAGGTTCTTGGTATATGCCCGTCCCTATATAGAACATAGTGTCATTTATCGATCCAGCTGCCTGTAAGGACTCCCACTTCTATTGCCTGCCTTTGGTTGGGTTGTCGTCTGAGTCCTAAAAACGGCATTCGTGTGCTCGGCTAAGATTGGAGAACAAGAGGGGAGAAGTGTGCAGCAAACTGGAGACCAGAGACGGCAAACACGAGCACGAAAACCAAATTGGGTGTATGTGCAATTGCTGGAGGGGAAATTCATACTGGATTGTCAAGAGCTAAATCTGCGAGCTTCCGTTCGCAGGGATAGGCCTTTCCAGTGTACCACAATTCAATGACGACGCATCTAGTGTAAGTTAGACGCAATATTTGGCACGAGTACTCATTGTGCTCACCGCTTGATCGATCAATTAACCAAATTCAAATCCGAGGCTTACCTACTAATCCCGACAACAGTCTCGAAGAAAGGTAGATCCGAGATGAATGACCCGGCCCTTAAAACTTCCTGTATACATTGGGGTTTAAATTCAGATGTCACTGACGGGGCGGAGACGAGTCACCTCTAGACAGGAACTTGATACTTGAAGGTACAGCGTAGGCAGACACACCCGGTCGTTCGGTTCCGCAGGTACGTGGAGATACCACAACGAGAGACCAGTGGGGACACCCTATCAGTACTAAACGAATGGATGTCGACGAACAGAGAGTCGCAGAATAACGAGGCGAGAATTGTGGACGTCCTATTGAAAACGAAACAGAAGCGTCAGTTAAACGTTTGTGGCAAACGACCGAATCAATATATCAAGATCTGAGTCGGTTAACTCACAACTAGTTGGGGTTTTCGAGTTGGAAATGTAGAAATGCTATGTCGACCTTCTGCCCGCGTCGACAGAATCGACGTCTGCAGGGATCCAAAACAAACTACCAAGGAACCCAAGTAGGGTAATACACTCGTCGTCTATCGAATCCCGAACATGATTTCTCTCGAATCTGACTAACATCGCAATCAAGAATTCCGTTCGGAGTGGTGGTGCCGGCGTTCTTAGTGGCGGGTATGGTTATTTCAAGCGATGGGGACGCTGGCGAGGCAATGGTGAACACGCAAGTAAGCAGAGGAGGGATTATGTGGGGATCGAAGACGTGGAGAGGTGGATGAGAGGGAACGCAGTGGAAGACGTCGAGGGAAATGATCTTGAAGAAATAGACCGGAAGCGATGCCTGAGGAGTCGAACACGAAGGGAGGAAAGCCATTGAATTCTGCTGTGATGGATTATCTACACAGTTTGAGCAAGTTACAACTTAGGCGGAGACGGTCGAGTCCGCACGCTTCTGATGACCGGGATCCGATACACGAAGATGTGGTGCACAATGTCGTCGCGATCATGACGCTAGGACGGACTAGTCGTGTGCCATTCAAGCTATTTGGGTACCTACACAATCATGTACAGAAAAATAGAATAGTCAGGGCCATAGCAACGAAAAACTATCACTGCTGGGTGCCATGCCAGCATGACGTAGTGATGGTATTAGCAAATTGCGTACACGAAATTCGAATCACATATTTACAGCACACGATCAAAGCTCATTCGCTAGTATCATCTAGTTAAGTCTCTTGAAAGTCCAATTCCATCGCATCGGCACGGTCGTCATCCACCTAATGCGACTCCATATACCTGCTGGATCCGAGTATTCATCAGGCCAACTGGTCATTGCGTCGGTTTACAATGACAACCGCTAGTTGGGGCAACGCTGAATGGGGCAGAGGCCTCTGAAAGTTGGCTATAAACTCGGCGAGGCCATGGAGAATGTTTGGTGTGACGGAGAGAGAAGCATGCCATCCAGCCTCCATGGTAGGGATCATAGGAGGTAGGTGGCCAGCAGGTGGGTGTAAATCACGACAGTAGTTAGTGTGAGGATCTACGAGAAGTTGGACATGTGATGGCTTGTAGCTCCCGAACGTTGAGAGCCATCTTTTGAAAACGACGTAGTCCCTTCCCGGGAGCAAGATGGGAATGCTTTCGCCATTGCCGCTAGGGTGATCCTGGCATACCAATAACATTGCCGAACATAGAGATTGTAGTGTTTAAAAGTGGTGGATGCGGCGCTTGCAAAGAAAGCAATGTCGAAGAGACGAGGTGGAGAGAAGTCCCATCGAAGTTTACCCCTCAGTACAGGATCTTGACCGGCCCTTTTCCAGTATTCATGGTGCTCCCTTCGTGGGGATATTAGAAAGGTCAGTCGCTGAAGCAGGTCAGTAGAGTTGGATATACCTGGCTCGCACGACTGTGATAGTGTCCCATGCGACTCCGCCATTCGAGGACATCACTTGCATACTATTGTTACTCGGGCTGCGCTCGATGGTGACCATGAGCCTCTCTCCTGTCAACACAACATCAGGGCACGATCATACTCGAGCAGTCAGTGTACTTACGACCAACATGAATGTGGACAAGAAGGAATTCGTGACAGCAGGAAGACCAGGAAGGAGTGTAATATAGATCACATCCACCGACCATTGCCGCCAGCTGAGTTCTCGCGGTGCGTAGGAAATCTTGAACACTGTATTGTCTCGAGCTCTCGAGCTCGCGCAGGAGCATAGTGGTAGTGGCATGTGCCATCGATAGAGTGGGTCGCAATGACTGGGGCCGGTTCTGCGAGAAGATTCAGGGGATACCATTGCACTAGTTATATAGAAAGTCTGGTATGACGAAGGCACATCAGGAAAATAACACTTTAGCACGAGAAATTCGCAGTGGCGGTGAAGGGCACCTGCCTCATCCGGCGGGCGTGGGTACTTGCCCCGAACGGTCGCTCAGGCTTGCACAGAGCCCCGGTGACGTCATGCTGTCACGCCCCTCGGCAAGCTGGCCGCATCGGCACGTCCTCCGCGGCGGTCCGACCCATTTGGCAATTTCGTGATTGCCGTATGAGGCAACCGTCGTTGTCTGCATTCGATCGCAACCGATGGTATATATTGGAGGGAAGGGCTGCCAGCCCATGCAATTTATGTTAGTAAATGGCAATTGCCATCTCTTGATTGATGAACTTTCAAGCTTCGTGTAGAGAACATGTATTATGGAGAATGTGTAGGTAGAGTATCTACCACATCTGCAAATGTAAGTGAGGTCTAAGAGACTCTTAGAGCCCCCATTTAGCAAGTAGTACAAGTGCTGTCTAAGTTGTGATGTAAAGTGATGTTCTTTGCTCTTCATTAGATTATCACACAATGCGGTGATGTATCAGATATGCTATTGCTTGTCTGATTGGTACATGACATTATCTAACACTATCAAAGATGTGATAACATGTTAAGGAGCTTCTATCATCTCCTTTCCTTGTGCAATCAAATCATTCACCAACATGGTGTAGTCCAGAAGTTCAGTTCCCTGCAAGTTCATAATATGACGGGTTATACTTTGATGTATAGCATGATTGTCCTTGAGACTGAATTCAAGTGCCAAAAACATTCTGCTGGAATATTCTCTGAGTGCCAGTCACAAGGCCATGCCTGCAAGGGCAATCACCACTTTGAGGTCCCTTCACTCAGTGTCAACAAACCTACAATACTGCTTCTCTCCCCACAGGAGATTGAGGATGAGTTGTACAAGTGCAGGGTGGCCAAAGGGAACTACAGTGATGCTGTCACTGGCTGCACACTTAAGATGATTGAGTACACACATCAAACAGAGAAAGGATTTGTACCATTTTAGGTTCATCTAGCCATGTGAAATCTTTGAGGAGGTATGGGATCTGGTCTTTGCATAGCTGCACCTCTTCACCGTGCCTTTGTACTGGAACTGTGAGGCCGTAGAGTGGTAATGCCAGGATGTGCACAGCACTCCTGAAGTCAGAGCATATGTTTGTCTCGCTCATTATGTTGGTTCTTAACCAGTTGCCTGCAGCAGCTGTCAGATTGTCAACAGCAATGTTCGCAGGCTTACCTCTGGTGTGGCCTAATGCAGTTTCCTGCAATGCCTGTGTAATTATCACAGATAATTTGGATTTCTTGGGCAGGAGGTTTGTAATAAAAAGGTGCCGCTTCAGGTTGAAACACACAGCTGTGCTGATGTCGGCTGCTTGAAGTCCTGGGTCGATAGTGGCTGAGCTGCTAGTGTCTGGTGTTGGATGTACTGTGGGTAGTGAAGCTGAGGCAGAGCCTTGTGCAATACTCCACATTGTTTGACTGACTTGCTGTAAAATGTGTGAGAGTTGCTTGCATACATTTGCTACAATTCTTAGTACTTACTCAAATAACAGATTTCCCAGTGACGACAAAACACTGGTTGGATACTTCCTCTCCACCTCGAAGGGGCCTTTCAATGTGCCTGATGCATTGCATTTGAGGGGAATATGGAAAGATGTGGGATGGTGACAAGGGCTGATGGTGCATAATCAAAATTTGGGGGTGAATACAGATATGCTGTTGAACCCATTGGATGTCCAAGATCCATGGGGATTGGTGGTGCAGTGTTGTAGCTAGTGTTGGCAGGATTGAAGGGGGCTGGTGGCGCAGTGCTGTAGCTAGCATTGGTGAGATTGAAAGGGACTGGTGGCATAGTGCTGTAGCTAGCATTGGCAGGATCGAAGGGGAGTGGCAGTGCAGCGCCATAGCTAGCATTGGCAGGATTGGAGATTGGGGGATGAGGGTGTTCATGCCTGGTGTCTGTGGTAGTTAGGAGACCTTGATCGTGGTCATCGGGGTACTGATATTGAAGAAAGTTCGCTTGAGACTGCAGTTGCTGGTCAATTGCCGATGCTGTCAATGGTTGCTCGTCCACAATGTTCAGCTGGCTTGCTGCTGGGTTCAAACCAGATGAAGCAGGGTACTTTGGCCTTGTCTGTAAGAAACTGAAGTGTTAGTGTCTTTTTCTGAGTGCACAGATTTGCTCACCTTTGCTTTTTTGCTTTTTGCCTGCAAGCTCATGGTGGTTGAAAACACAATGCATCCTTGTCCAGGAGACATCATGGCTTACATGTGTGTATCTTATCATGTATATCAGGCATCAATCAAATACAAATTTGTATATGGGGAAAGTGTGGAGAGTTTCGTTACACAATGCAGAATGATCATGCTAATTGACTAGAGAAAAGAAAGAAAAAAGAACAAATAGCCACTGAGGCTGGCATGGCGGTTAGAGTTGTGATGATGCAAAGAAGAATAGAGGCTTACCAAAATTATCATGATCAATTTTTGCTTTCGTCTTCTTCACTCACATCTGTGTCACTTTCATCAACATTAGCAGAAGTGGCCAAGAAGGCCATCAGATTATCTTTGGAGTTGAGCACTTTGTTGTCTTCAAGTTCACCTGTGACTTCCTCCATCTGGTTGAGGCATTCATCCTCCAATGTGAGCAGCATTAAATCCTGTCCATAAGCCCCAATGTGGTACTCTTCCTCCTCTTCCAATTGACTGACTGAGCAACACTCCATGATATCCTTGAAAAACTGGAGATCTTTAGTCAACTGAAGGAACTTAGTCTCTTCTTCTTCTTGCATCACAAGGAGGAAATCTCTCTGGTGGTTGATAGCCTCAATCTCCCAAGCAGTAGTAAGAGCACAGAGTTGCCTCAATTCTCGGTCAGCCTCCTTCATTGCCAATGCCTTTTGGAAGGCTCTCTCAGACAACCCCATCAATCTGTGGACAAAAAGTGTTCTTCCCTGAATAATATTTGTAAGAACATATAGTGCATGTACAGGTATATGAGAGATTTTACCACTTGTGCATCTTCCAAGGTGATATCACTAACTGATTGTCATCCAAGTGACTTCTTGGCAAAGCGGAGCTTGATAGCACTGGGCTTGCTGTAAGGTGTGAACTTGGCATGAGAATGCTTAACATGAGCTGACAGATTATGAGCAGCAGGAGGGATGGACACAGAAAGATTGTCCCCTGTGTAACTCTTGTTGCAAAGTTGAAGTGGCATCTGCACTTCCTCAGTGCTGAGGCTCTGAGGAGGTGAGGGAGGAACTTGGGAGGGAGATCCCTTGCAATATTCATATTGATGGGTTTGTGGAGAACTTGGAGGAGGGGTAAGGGGGCAAGACATAGCTGTATATGCATTCGGCCTAAGATGTGAGTATGCATGCTGTTGGCAGGTGAAAGCAAGGAAGTGGAGTTCAAAAGACTTGTAAAATTTGGCTGGGCACTGAACAGCTCAGGAGTGCCATACTTCATGAAGCTAATGATGGAACCTCCTTGACACTGGAAACCTACCTATCCATTACCCCCTGCTCTTCACTCGTTGATGGAGTCTGGGGATTGCACTGCCCAGTACCATGAGAAGTCAGGTGGGATATATGGTTGGTCGAAGAACACACTTGGACAAATTCAAGATGATTGATATCAGAAGAATCAGGAAACAAATATCCACTGGCCTTTCTGGAGTCATGTGGAATGGAGACTGGGCAAATATCTTGCTGAGAACCTCATGCAGGCTCAAATCAATACTTTCCTCAAACTGGATTGGGTGAGTTCTGATACAGTTCGGAATGTTCATATTTTAAATTCCAAGACAGCTGGATGGTCAAAAACCATCATTCACATCAGTGTGCCAGCTCCTTGACTGGATGGACACCCTGCCATTGGGGCCAGGGTGGCAAGTAATGCAACTCGAGGTTGATGGCTATGACACAGGGAAGAAGATCAATCTTATTTATTGTGATGGACTAGAGGTTGTAGAGAGCCTTTTTGGAAACCTGATTTTTGCCCAGAATATGACTTTCAACCTGCTTTGCATACAGAGAAATGGAGAGGAGGAATATGGGGAATGGTTCACAGCACAGGAGGTGACACATATCCAGGTCAATCATTCTTATTCTTCACCGAATCTTCTAGTTGCTAATATTAATTAAGGACACTCTCCCTGACAGTGCAACCCTTGTTCCTGTTATTGCTGCTTCAGACAAGACACCCATTACAAGGTACACAGGTGGGCTTGAGATGTGCCCACTTTTCCTCATGATCGCCAATATTGATGCCAATGTCCATATGAAGGCCACAGCACATGCCTGGCGATGTGTGGCTTTTGTGCCCATTGTCAAATTCGAGGTTCATTCAGATTACCAGATGATCTTGCAGTCCCAGCTCTGGCACAAATGTGTTGACATCATCACAGAGAAGCTGAAGCATGCCACCAATTGCAGAGAGTTCATGGCCAATCTGTTTGGTGATGTCTGATGTTGTTACACACCTTTGGTTGCATGGACTGCAGACCTGCCAGAGCAACAGCTGATTGCCACTGTAAGTAGAAATGCATCCCCAGTCACTCTGGCAACTCTTGACAAATTTGGAGACTCAACTTGTCAGCCCTTCCACACGAAAGCCTACACACTTGACCTCATCCATGCTGTCAGTTGTCAAAAGAAACCTTGGGACCTTGACACCTTCCAAAAGTTGGTGAAGGCTAATCACCTCCTTGGTGTACATCTTCCATTTTGGTAGGACTGGAAAAATAGTGATGTTTGCTGTTTCCTCATCCCTGAAATTCTCCACATGGTCCACAAGCTTTTCTTCAATCATGTGTTAAAGTGGTGCAAGGAGGTGGTTGGGAGCAATGAACTTGACACCCTGCTACAAGGTCCACCACAAACATGTTGGGGTGTGCCACTTTGCTAGGAGTGGCTGGTTTGATATAGTATAGTGCTGATGTCTTGGAGCACCTGCTCATTACCCATTGCAAGACTCCATTCACTCAGACGAACAAGCAGCCCAATTTTGCTGAACAGATTGTCCACCTTCTCAACCGTGAGGAGTGTATGTGCCTCTTGGATGTGTACCTCCTACTTCACAAATACAATGAACCCTTGGTCAATGCTGCCAGCAATGAAGAAGATCTTCTCTGTTCAGCAGATCCTACTTCAGCATGGGTCTCCCATGTTGCCCCTGGCAAACAATACCATTTTAACTCTCCTTGGCCCATTCACAATATTTTTACAGATGGTATTAGCTCCAGCAGTGCCACAGCTGCACTGTCCATCACAATCACTCCTGACCACACAAAACTCAGGATTGTTGATATTGGAGACATTTACATGCTTCCTGACTTCACTGCTAGGCTCAAGGAATACATTTTGCAGTGCACAGGAGGTTCAATGTCCCACTCAATCTTTCGGTCATTCAACAAAATTATGGTCTGGCATAAATTCCATATTCAATGGTACTCAGTATCCCGGCCTTCAACCATCATGCCCAGTCAAGTGGTTCAAGCTCAGCCTCCATCAACTAGCTTCCCCCTCGGCAACTGTGATGCTGTCCTTCTGAATGTCAATGGGCAGAGTCAACACAATCCTGGTTGTAAGTTGTTCAATGCACATTGCCATATGACTAACACACTATTCTATTTATTCATACAGATCATGTCACACAAGTATGAGTAGTATTTCAGATGACCCACTCCCACTGCTCTCCAGAGCCGCCTCCCCCCTTTTTAGCTCAGCCTCTCCTTTATGTTCAGCCATTCCATATCATTGCAACACCAGAAAGTCAACTAGACACACACCTGTGGATGCTTGAGAGGGTATACTCCCCCTCTTTATGTCCAACATCAGCTTGCCATGTTGGCTTTATTCTTCCTTTAACTGAAGTTTGTCATTCAGCAGACCTAGTGCCTGTGATTGGGAAGGAAGTAGACCACACAGTGACACTGGCAACATCGCAGGAGGTGTACCAACGCTTCTACCTCAACTACTATACTGACAAGGAAGCTTTTGATACATTGTATGAATATAGATCAGTACAGATCTAGTGTAGGCTATCGAAATCAAGAGACAATTTTTTCAGTGCCTGGCAGAGTCGCAGATAGGCTGATTAGATACAATATTCTGAAGTACTTTGAAGATAAGATGCATCATGAACATCGCTGAATGGCAAACTAACCAGCCAATCAGCAATCATCATTTGAGTGAACGTAACATTCCATTACCTGTCAAGGTCTCACTTGCTAAGCATTCATTTCAGTGTTTTGCTGATGCACTACACCACAGTATGTTGAGTAAGAAGTGTAAGAGATGATGCAACAGTGAATGATATTTTTTATATTAAAAAAAAAGGATAGCTCATTGCTGTTCTGCCTGGCAGTGGCACTCCCCATCCCCACATTGCCATTTGTGAGCCTAATTTCACTGGTTCAAAAATGCAAATGGGGCCAGCCTGGATGCAAAGGTGCATACTCATTTCCCATTGCAAAGTCACTTTACAGGACTTTACAATTGCTTTCCAGCACTTTGCAGCTTGAACCGGTCTGCAGCCTCAAGGCCTATTGGGTCCAGGGCACTGACATAATCACTTAGGGCAGGTTAGTGGGGTGCATGGCAGCAGGAGCCCTTACCTGCCTTTGCCCTCCATCTTCGATGCTCGATGCTCTTCAATTGCTGCCATTGGTGAGTACTTGTCAGCAAGCCTATCCCAATATTTTGCCCAGTTGACAGATCGCTATTGCTCGAAGGTCAATTCAGTTCCATCAGATGGGACTGGTGAGCAGCCCATTGGCTGTTCCCTTTGCTGGGCCATTTGGCACTGGATGTCACATCTATGCAGCTGTTCTTGAGCTGATTGTTGGTCCCCTTCAAGACTTTCAAGACCAGGAGGTTTGACTTGGCCTGAAGACTGTCCTCACACTTACCGATCAGTTGGTGAGCTGCATTGTCAACTCCTTCCCTTCCTCTTCCACTCATAAGTTTTGAAACATAGATCTCACACATTGAGTATATCTATTCTCACAATGCCATCCACCATGATGCTAAACTGGCAAGTAGACTACACTGACCTATTTGTCAGCTGGGTGCTGCCCTATGTCAACTGGCTGACTACATCATCACACTCCTTGACCTCCCAACAAGTCTTCCACCATGTTCCAAAACCATGTGGGCACTGTCTGACACCTTACAAAACTGCACCAGCCTTGAGTGGGGCAACCTCCTCCTTGTTATGCTGATGAGTAGTGTAGATAGTGAGGTAAGTGCCATATTCAGCCCCCTGAATTGGGTGGCATCCTCATTCAATTCATTAAACAGGTTGCCAGTGGTGCAGCACAGACATTGCCCATCAATTGGTAAATTATGGCTTTGGAAAGACCATCTTCCAAGTTGCTATCATGTTTCAGTTCATGGAGTTTATGGAGTTTGTTGCCAGGTGGCACGACAACATCTGTGAGGTACTATGGATGGATCCTCAACACCTCCTCAGATGTAGGCACCACAAGCTTTCCCATATCATTGTGGAGGAACACATTGAGTTCCCTGACCCCATGATCTTAGTGATGTATCTGTTACCTCGTACCTCATGGTCAGAGGGTCACCATCCCCCCATTGCTGTTGTGAGGTCTTGTCAGCCTGATCTTGCATTGCTGGCAGAGTTCTGTTCATGGCACCTTGGCTGGTCACCAGATACCATCCAGTCCAGATTGATGAGTGCTCATGCTGGCACAGCCATGTGCACACTTCTGCAGGTGAGTCTTACAATTGTGCTGAATATGCCCACCCCATTTCATCATCCACTGTCCACAGCTGCCAGGGAATGTTGATAGTGAGTGGCTGCAACATGACCTTTGGGTCCTGAGCCATTCTGACAAGTCATACAAGCTCTCTGTGCCAAGTTTGTCACTTGAAACACCAGTGGATGCAGATCCATTGCCTGCATACAAGATAGAGATGCCAGCAGTTGTGTTAGAATACTCAAGACCCAATTTGGTGGAGTTGATGGTTAACCTTCCTCATGAAACTGGAGTTATTGACCTGGTAGGTGGTGTGGATGCACCACATCTTGAAGTTGGAGTCATTGGTCTCATGGATGAGGACTAGTCATTTGCCTAGCACACATTTCTATAGTGTTGTATCAGTTTGTGAGTGGCACAATCACCATGTCTGCGCAAGTCTACCTCGCTTACTTCCCTGCCTGTTGTGCTTTGCTCCATGCTACTGCCAGTCTGCCCACCCAAGTGAACATGACATATCAGATTCTGTCCTCCAGATCTGACTTGCTGACCACCTGCCTTTGCATTGCTCCTGCCACCTCAGTTTGTGTTGTTGCCCAGATCATTATGAACTCAGTCATGCTCACTGCAATCTCCTAGGTAATTCTGTAGGTTCAACTCATTATACATACTGACCTTTACCCAAAGAGAGGTGTATTCATTGGCTTCATGCAGCTGAAAGGAAAAGAGAAAAAGAAATTGCAGTTCATTCCCAAGGCTGGGTACTACAAATTTTGGGAGGGATCTGATGGACCAGAGATTAGCATTCAGGTGGGCATTGTTTTCAGTGAGTGCACTGTTTCTAACGATGATGTCAGTTTATTGCCCTATCATCCTCCAACTCTTGTGTTCACTGGAAACCCTGGAATCCCTTGAATACAAGTAATCTGTCTTCTCAGTTTGTGCATGTCCTGCTGTCTCCCCACTCTGGTATCCTCCATCTCATTTATTTCACCCTTCCTGCATACTATATCTGGAGACCACCCATGACATGCCTACCTCATTCCCCATGACTGCCAATTCTGCAATGCTCATGGATTGAAATATGCACTAGGTTCAGTCAGTGAGATAAAATTTTGAAGGTATGGTTGAGCATCAACTTAACCTTGCTTGTGAACAGTCACTGCAGGATCCAAAGGTTAATATCAATGTTTTGCCAATGTCCATCTGTGTAGGGCAGCAGAGTGTAGGAGGAAAGCATATACCATTTGGCATGAACCCTTCTTCCATGCCATGGCTTGTTGAGAAGGTCTTATTGAGCTTGCTGTCAAAATGGTGGAGACAGGTGATGTCTGCTATGATGGTATAGTGTGCAATTCATTGGGTGACCTCATCCAGCTTATGTACAGAGAAGATGGGATGCATGATGCATTTATCATGTGCCAGAGGATCAATGTGTTCAGGCTCAGTGACAGGAAGTTGGAGTGAAGATTCTGCATTCAGTCAAATCCTTCTTCACCATCCCAGATGATGAGGGGAGCATCAAGATGAAGATGGAGTGGGTTTTGGGACTGATGGTGTCAATTTAAAGGTAGTGATCTGTGTTCCAGGTATTGACTTGACTTACCTTGGTCACTATGAACCCAGTCATGCTCACTGAGATCTCCTAGGTAACTGTCCTTACCTTGTTTGCCTTCTGTACCTGACCAACTTTCTGCACCTTGTATGGATCAACCTGCTATACATACTTTTGCCCAAAGGAGCACCCCATCACCTCCCTACTCTCTGGTTTGCTGGAAAGGATGACTTCAGCCCAGAGGTGAGGGGATTTGTGGAGAACTCATACATACACAGTCTGACCCCCACAGGGGGTACTTTTTCCATGCCATGGCTGGTCAAGAAGGTCTTGTTGATACCACTGTCAAGACAGTGGAGGCAAACTATACCCAATGACATCTCATCACATCATATCCCCCTCCCCAGCTTTCTCTGTGCCCCCCCCCCCCCCCCATGCCTGTCAGTGTCAAATATCTGTCAGCCAAAATCATATCCACATCATCTTTGCCAGGGTACTCCTTGATGGAGCATGTATGGACCTCTGTCAGCCAAAATTGTATCCACATTGTCTTTGCCAGAGTACTCCTCAATGAAGCACATATACACCTCTGTCAGCAAAAATTGTGTCTGCATCATCTTCATCAGGGTACTTCTCGATGGAGCACATATGCATCCCCCCTATTGTTGAAGATGGAGATGTTCATGTTTGCATCACCTGCTGTTTGGTAAACACCTTTTGGTTCTTCACATTCATTTTGTGTTGATCTCATGGACAATGACAGTGGCTTGTTCACATCTTCCACATTGACTGCTGCAAGCCTAGTGACCTCAAACCAGCCTACACTGTTGATGCAGTCCACCAGCTTCATGGAGAGGTTAGCAGGGAAATGCAGGTGAATGCTTTGCTGACCTTCTGCATGCATGTATGAGCCACACATGCTACCTGCTGCATATTGGAAGAGTTCCACCTCAACCATGAAGCATTTGAGTGGGTGTTGGATGAGATTGAGGCGAAGTTCAACCATACTCTGGTTAACCCTGGAGGGATGTGCAGTACTGTTGCTGCCCAGTCCATTGGTGAACCAGCTACTCAAATGACTCTCAATGCCTTCCACTATGCCAATGTGTCCAGCAAAAATGCTACACTCAGTGTCCCCTGTCTGAAAGAAATCATCAATGTTGCTACCAATATCAAAACACTTTCACCTTCTGTGTACTTGGAATCCTACATGGCCCAGGACAAGAAGACTCCATGTTCATCAAATCTTTCTTTGCTATTGTTGAACTAGTTACTCAAAGTGACTCTTAACACCTTCCACCACACTGGTGTATACAACAGAAATGCTAAACTTGGTATCCCCCATCTGAAAGAAATCATCAACATTGCTACTTGGTATGACCCCAACCCTACATCCACCATTATCAAAGACTCTGTGTTTGTTGAAGCTTTCTTCACTATTGTTGAACCAGTCACTCAAATGACTCTTATACAACAGAAATGCTATGCTCAGTATCCCCTGTCTGAAAGAAATCATCAATGTCACTACAAATATCAACATGCTTTCACTTTCTGTGGATTTGGTATGACCATGACCCTACATCCACCATTATCAAAGAAGACTCCATGTTTGTTGAATCTTTCTTCACCATTCCAGATGAGGAAATCGAGTCAAAGCTCCACCTTCAGTCACCATGGCACCTTTGGCTGGTGCTTGACCATGCCAGAAAGATTGATTGGAGTCTTGCTGTGGTTGCCAGCCACATTGCTGGGAGCTTCAAGATGGACCTCTTCATCATCCAGAGCCAAGATAACTTGGAGAAATGGGCAGGGTACAGTTGAAGAAGACATCTTCCTCTGCCAATTCAAGAACACAACATTGAACTTGGTCAGCCTGCATAGTGTCCCTACCTCGTATTTTTGTTGGAGTATGATGAGGGGAGCATCAAGACAAGAGGAGCAGGTTTTGGAGACTGATGGCATCAACTTGAAGGTGGTGATCTGCCTTCCAGACATTGACTTTACTCACATGTACCTGAACAGCCAGTGCATTGAAGCTTCCAATGCACTTGGGATTGCAGTTGCACATGCAGCAATCATGAAGAAAGTGCAAGGAGTCATTGAATTTGGTGGTTCATACATGAACTACTGCCACTTGTCATTGTTCTGCAACCTCATGACCTATTGTAGAACACCCATGGCAATCACTCCTCATGGTATCGACCATGCTGACACTGGCACCCTGGTGTCGCTCATTGGAGGAGAAACAGTGGGGATTTTGATGGAAGCTGCTGGGCATCACTGACTTGATGGGGTGAGGGGTATTCATAACTATGTGTACAACGTATTACTAGCATTATATTAATTACTGTTCCAGTTTTGTCGTCACACTCCTGTGCACATTGGTTGTTGAGGGCTTCACACTGAATATGATGTCACTGAATTGATTCTGAAAGAAATAGTAGCTAGTTGACAGTGCAGCTACACTAAAAACTGACTTCATTTGCAACTCCCACACACTGGCTGGTTGGGTTCAGGCCACTTGTGGAGGGAATGAACATCCTGTACATGCCATGGTCAGACAGAAGGCATCGATGACAAAGAGTGTTGCCTTACCTAGCTCCCCTGACAAGAGAAAGAGGAGGGCGAAGGCGTCTTCTCCAAAAGAACAGCCCAGCCTACACACCATTCATCAGATCAAAGAAGCTGGCAAACAAACTCACCTTCAAGCAGCCAGGACAAGGGCAACATATGCCAGGCATGTCCACCAGGCACAGTTGTAGCTACAGAGCCACTTTCCAGTGGAGGGGATGCAGCTGTCTCCAAGTCCAAGTCATGTTGGCAGTGGGGACCTGAGCTTGGAAGTGTATGGTGATCCAGACTTTAAGAATGCATTTGAGCACATGCCAAATCAGTGCTTGGACAAGGCCCTGGCCCTTTACCTTTTGTGGAAGGGTTTCCAAGAGAACTGCAGTCAGAGTACAATCAACAGTGTTCAAGCAGTGTTTAAATTGATGTCGGATGAGGCATATGTCTCGCATGACTCTACCTTTGCCAGCAACTAAAACAGATGCTCCTGACAGTGATGGTGGGACATTCTGTGAGGCCTGGCATTACAATAGTGAATGCCAGTGGTGGGAGGGGAATCTGGTGCGCTTGGCAGAAGTGGATGATGTCATAGCATCTATCTGGCATAAGGTCAATTCTCAAGGATCCAAGCACACACACTCTGGTGCTGTGAAGAAGGAGTACCTGGACATGATCCTTGCCTGGTCCAATTCTTGCTGTCCCCTCAACTCCCCATTGCAGTACATCCATTCAGTGATGACACACTCAGAACCCTCAGTGCCACTGTTAGTCAAGTGGGTGACAGATGCAAAGACAAAACTAACCACCACACAGCACATCAAACAGCTGGCCTGTGCTGCTGTCGCATTCATGCTGTGGACCAGGTAACTAGCATGTGGCTTTACCTCTGAAGTCAATGATGACAATTTACAATAGGAACTATGAACTGGTCAGGCTGAAGTGTGGGGACATAAAACTTGACAGGACCACTGTAGATAATGTGTTCCTGAAGTACCTTCGAGGTGAGGAAGGATCACTCACCATCAATGACCTTGGTGTGTACTTTGAGGTGCACCTGAGGAATCAAAAGGGGTGGCAGAGAAAGTTGGACAAAGGGATGAGGGAAATTGACTTATGAAGTACATTCAATCCCATCTTCATGATGTGGCACTACCTCACATCTGATGTCCATTTTCGATGGCACATATCCATAGGTAATCACTACAAGGTTTATCCACACCCAGATATGGGCAAAGCATGTGATGTCTTCATGTGCCTGGTTTTCTGGATGAGATGGACCAAGATTGTCCATCTTGGTTGACCAATGGCTGATGACGACTTCCTCTTTCCCACTGTTGGTGCGAATGGGGTGCTGCAGCCAGGTGAACCGCTCTCCCATGATATGGTTCAGAAGTGGATTGATGAGGGAGTGGCAAGTGCTGGGATTCCTGGAACGTTCTCCACACATTGCTACCATTGGGGAGGAGCACAGCACAGGTTCATGTATGCCCCAGTGGGGCAGCAATGGACCCTTGTGTGTGTCCAATGGTGGGGGGTGGGCCAAAGGTGAACATGTGAGTCTTGTGTTCTTTCCTATATGGGTGTGTTGGAGTGAACCGGCACTTCTCACTTTGTCCTTGACACCACACACACAGCACAATACACTGATGCATCACCTGCTCGATGAACTTCATTGCTACAAAACCAACCACAGTGATGCCCTGGGCCTGATCTTGTGGGAAGCTGAGGACTCACTTGCTGGTGAAGCTGCACTCATCTGGCCAGCATCTACAGAAGCACTCCACATGGCCCATGCAGCACTAACAGCAGACATCACAGCACTGCACTCAACAGTGAAAAAAATGTCTCATTCACAAGCAGCAATGTCAGCAGATGTAAGGGAGATTTGCCAAAAACTGGGTGACATGAGCAATGTAGTCACAGCACTGGCCTTAACATCCACTGCTTCTGGTGCATACTCATATTCTGCACCAATGGTGCCATGTCAGGGCACTGGCGATGCTGTGACAGATGGTGAGTCCATTCCATTCCTCACCATCACTGCATGAAGGCCAAACTAAAATCTGCAACAGCCCACCAATGTCAACACCATCAACACTCATCCATGCAGTATCAGAGCACTGTCTTGCCACCTCCAATGGTTCAGTCCATTCCAGCCACCCAGCCACATGATTCACAACCATTGCTGCTCAGATTGCCACACCTCATCCAACTACCCCTGGATGTCTCTGCCATGATGCAGTCCCTCACTTCACACATCAGACCTGAGAGGACCAACAGCCACTCAAGTTCCTCTGCTGCTTCCCTGGGACTGCTTATCCCAGATGTTCCCATCTTATGGGCAGACAGGACATGCACTCCAAGGTCAGACTCCTGGAAGGACATCATGTGCCACTGGACAAAGGGTGAGCTGCAGCTCAACCTGCACACTCCACTCAAGGACTGGCCCCATCACTACTACAATGGTAAGTGCTGGCACCTCAACACTAAGCACTACCAGTGCAAGGTCATGGCCACTGAATTTCTGAATGAGTACATACTACTTCAATCTGTCCTACTCCAGTGTCTCCGACAGTTGTATCTGGCTCTCCAGGTTCCAAGGGAATGAGGATGCATTCCTCTGAGCTTACAGAAGCACTGCTTGTCTAGGACATACAAGGCTCCTCAATGCCATCATAGCTGCTCACAAACAGCATCATGGGGATGGGGAGCACTGCTGCCAGGCAGAGCAGCAATGAGCTATCCTTTTTTTTTAATATAAAAAATATCATTCACTGTTGCATTGTCTCTTACACTTCTTACTCAACATACTGTGGTGTAGTGGTAGATACTCTACCTACACATTCTCCATAATACATGTTCTCTACACGATGCTCGAAAGTTCATCAATCAAGAGATGGCAACTGCCATTTACTAACATAAATTGCATGGGCCGGCGGCCCTTCCCTCCAATATATACCATCGATCGCGATCGAAAGCAGACGACGACGACAGTTGCCTCGTACAGCAATTACGAAATTGCCAAATGGGTCGGACCGTCGCGGAGGACGTGCCGACGCGGCCAGCTTGCCGAGGGGGGTGACAGCATGACGTCACCGGGGCTCTGTGCAAGCCCGACCGGCCGTTCGGGGCAAGTTCCCACGCCCGCCGGATGAGGTAGGTCGGCCTCACCGCCACTGCGAATTTCTCGTGCTAAGTATCTAGAATGAAAATGAAGCAAAACAAGCAAAACAAAGCAATTCCCCTGGTAGGGAAATTACATACCCTACATCCCAGGGGTACTCGAGATCTTGACTGTCCCCAGTCAACCCAAAGGTGGCTCGACTACACAGGAACCCAAGGTCATGAGGGAGGGGGTGAAACAACGACTCATCGACGAAGAACGGGTGCTCGGAATGCCACAATACGAGACATGACAACACAAGGGAATGAAGCAAGTACCTTGCAAAATGAGAGGAGAGAATCTGCGCGCCCGATCCTGAAATATCCACAAATCTGCCTAAAAGTTCCCTCATCCACCAAAAGCCGGACATGACCACGAGTTCAGCAGCGACGACGATGGAAAAGGTACCATTAAGATGCTGTTGAACCATAGCATGAGGAGCCCGAAAAGCGAGAGATCCGGTGGAGAAATGGGTGAGATATTCAAAGAATCGTCCGAAAGTGTCTCTAACCACAAAAACGGGCATATCTCGACGACAGCTGCGTGGAACTTGACAGAATAGGCGTCCCCAGAAAGGGCTATGCAAGGGGAATGGACTGCTGGGAAAGAGAGGGGTGCAGCTCTCGGATGCGTGAGATACGATGAGAGGACTTCGAGGGTGGGGAGAAGGGATCAACTCGCATAACAACGGCTTGGATGATCAATACAAAACTCTGTGAGATGGTAGAGGACTCGTAGACGAACAGGGAGAACGAGGAAACACGCCGATTGGATCAGCCGATCCTGAGTTATACGCAAAACCGTCTCGAAGCCCTCTGGATATGAAAACACGGATATCTCGATAACGGTTGCGCAGAATTTTACAAAGTAGATGTCCCCAGGAAGGGTTCAGTGAGCGGGATGAACAACCCGAAAAGAGAGAGGAACGGCGCAGAACTGCGCGAGCTACTGCGGAAAGACCTTGAGGATGGCCCTTCATACAAAAACACAAATATCTCCAGAGCCACTGCACCTATCAGAACAATCCTGATATCAACATGGAGCATTCATCGTGGGCTACAACCCTCCCAAAAAGCGAGAGGCGCGACGCGGAAACGAGCGAGATACGACTACAGGACCCTGAGAATGGACCGATCCACAAAAACGCGAATATCTCTTGAATGGCTTGGCGCATGCAAACGAGCTTGGTACCGACAGAGAGCTGGGGTCGAGTAGTATGAGCCTGCCAAAAAGCGAGAGGCGTGGCGCAAAAACGAGCGAGATACGCGCTGGATACACGCTCAGCACGAGGAAGTATTCACCTTGATGAGCGACAAGCAGTGTCAACAGTGGCTTGGTCAGAACTGTATCCACGGATGCGAGGCATTGTGTAGAGCATAGCAAGGCGCCAGGTGCGATGCTAAACGGCATGCTGTGGGGAACTCGAGCCTGGGGGGGTAAAACACAGAACAAAAGAAAAGAAAAACTAAACGTGTATAATGTACTGAAAACATCGCATAACGAGTAGGTAGATCCATACTAGATACTGCAAGATCCATAAGCAAAAAAAAAGAAACGAAAAACATAACAAGCTTGTGTGACATGCAGCGTCAACGCGCTCTTCGAGAGCGCCGGGGCGTGCGACTGCGGCTGCGCGAACGCTTCGGCTTAGAATGGACATATGAGGTCACCTTCCTCGAGTGTGAGCGAGAGCGCGAGTGCGAGGACGAGGACAAGGAAGAAGGGAGTGAGCTACTGGTCGACTATGAATACGAGCGCCTTTGAGGATGATACTGCTTCGAGCTGCGGGCATACGACTGAACCGGTATGAATTCATCTTTCGAACGTGTGTACGAAGCCGTTCGAGTCCGCGAGCGCGAATGTGAACGAGGACGCAAGGGCGATTGGCCTCGGCCACATGGCCACCTCGACTGTGGCTGCGCGTGCGGTGAGCTACGAGAGCGCTCGGCTGACGAGCGACGAGACCGAATGACTGGCGGGTCGGGTACTACTGGCTCGAGCTGGAGAGTAGGCAGGGACCGAGTAGACACGATGCTCGTCTGAGCAGGTATGTGCGATGGTGCATTGAACACGCTTCGAGAGGGTGCGGCTGTGGGTGAAAGCGAGCGAGCGGGCGATGAGCCCATACGAGCCTCGAACCGGCTTGTCAACAAAGACCAGTTGTCGAGACGGTCTCGCAGAGTCCGTCCGGCAACTTCACGCGGGATTTCCAGTCCTGTAGGTAGAACAACGCGGCCATCGACAAGTAGACACTTTCCCAAAGCTAAATATGACTTGAACGAATGGCAACCCGCTCGAACATGACCTGAAAGTCCGCAGAAGAAGCAGAATGAGTACAAACGGTGGGGAGAGTGATTGTCTGAGGCGCGTGATGGCTGCGCGCGTGAACTGTCGACCTTGCGGCTCTTCCAGAGGCCATTGCCGAGTGCGAGAACCCGTCCTGCTGCAGCTATAAGACTAGGTACAGTAAAGGTTTGAGCTGGTGGGTCATGAAACTCAAGAAGCTCTTGTCTGAACTCGGGCGGGAATCCATGAAAGAAGCTGGATGTTAGGTGGGGTAGCGGCCCATGTTCCTTCTCGAGAGACAACGATAAGCGACGAAAAATGCGATAATATTCGCCCAGGGATGATGTCGAGATGGTGTCTGAGCTTGCGAGCGCCTTGCGAAGTTTGTAGAACTTGTTTCGAGTGATTTCCTGTAATTCTGAATACTGCTGAGTGATTTCCGAGGTAAAACGAGCCCAATCTCCTTGACTACTACTGACGAAGTGGGACCAGAGGTCTGCCGACTCGAAAGGCGCATACTTGAGAGCAAATCTGATTCGCTCGGGTCCGTCTGAGAGCCCGAATCCATCACAGAAGTCGATTATGTCATCGAAATAGAATTGTAAGTCCTCAGGGTGCCCAGAGAAGCTCGGTGCTTCGGGCGAGCCTCGGCACGGAATTTTAAGACCGAGCATGAAGATAGTGGGTAATACGAGTGCGAGTGCTTGACATGTGAGTGCGTGCGAGTGGGAAAACACGAAATTGCGAGCGAAGTGACTGCAAAAATGAGATCGAAAGGCAAAATCTGCTAAACTGAGCCTAAAAATTGCGAAAATGAAGCTGGAAACTGCAAAAGTGAATCTGGGAAGGTTGGGATGAGTGCCAGGCTAAGACAGAAGCCCCTTGCAGTGGGCTCCAGTTGTAGGAAGAGGGATTTGAATGAGGAGAGAGGTTTAGTAGGAATATCTGAGGGGAATGAGTAGGCCAAAAGGGGCTTCTATAGCCTGGGACTGGATCCTGGTAGTTGTCTGAAGGCTTCTATGGCTGTCTTGGTGCAGGGAATGACCTGCTCGAACTTGTCTCTCATCTGTGGTAACTCATCTCTTTTTTTTAAAAAAGGAAAAAACCATACACAAGTAGCACTACTGCTGACTAAGCAAACAAAAATGCAAAATCTAAGTGCAACTCATAGAAAAAAGGATCTAGAATGAAAATGAAGTAAAACAAGCAAAACAAGGCAATTCCCTTGGTAGGGAAATTACATTCCCTACAGTGCCTGACTAGATGTTAGTGGATGATCTGACAAGAAAAAAACTACAATACCTTTACATACCAATCCCAAAGATTGGCATTGTCCAGCAAGACCATCACACCATGCTCATCATCATAAGCAAAGCCAGAGGCCACTGATTTAAGATCAGTGATGGCATAGTAGGATTTTTTAAGCTGGATAATTGTTAGCAAGGCACAAAAAAAAAGAATGATATGATGACTTACCACCTTGAACTTCCACTCACATGATTCAGCTGTCTTATCACCATTATCTGGACCTGGTGGATAATTATGAACCATGTGGGCTGCTGTGGCATTCCATGTAGCCTTCTTAAAGTTTCCATCACCAGCCTGTGAAAGATGAGAGGCTAAGAAATCCAGTAACATGCCTTCCTCCTCTGTTGTCCATACTGCAGCTTTCTTGTGAGTCCTGGGGGGAGGCAGGGGGTTCCACAGGTCCAGAGGATTGATTGTAAGGCCATGTGACCACAACAAGTAGGTTGATCCTGCAGATGAGCCAGACTTTTGATGATCACAGTAACTGGGTGACAATGGTTGTGTACCTCAGGTGGATGCATGTTACACTTCCATCAGGGGTCTTTCCTTTTTCAACTCCTCACAGTCACATGCGTCACATGCCTTGTTGCATCCCTCATAATCGTCGCCATCCTAGGGGCTCGAATGCTCCAGGGAACGTTTGGATCTCCTGCTGTCAAGGTATTTCCAATACCTGTCAAGACTGTGTCACCACTGTGATCTGGTATTCCACTGCTCTCTTTGATGGATGACTTGTTTCATTCTTGTTCTGCTAACTCATCTCTGACTCATGTTTGTCGTTTACATGTTGTACTATAGCTCCGGTGTCAGGCTCCCCACTGCACATTGATTGTGCCAGCCGGTACAGCCTTCATTGTCCCCCTACCCCATCATATGACACTGTATGACTCATATTTATTTAACTGATGGGATTGTTGATTACTGCAGATATGTGTCACAACACATCTGTCATGACTGGTATGGTACTTGTACTTAGGGGTATATAATCCTATGTACTTCGTCCTGTATCTGTAGTTTTTTGATAGCTTGCAACTGAGCTTCATCCCTTCACTCTATCCTGTTCCTTTCTCCATGTGAATACTCGCCAGCAGAATGGAACCTTTGTCCAGATACTGCGATAACTCAGCCATAGGGGTTACAACAAGTTCAGCCCATAGTCTCCCACCTCACACGCTTTGTGCCTATTCCATTTGAAGAAGTCACCATGCTTGGGCATAACAAAATCAAAAAAACTCAACACAGCCTTCAGGACTCATTGACCTCTTCACAAAAATCTACTCATCCCTGGTTACTGAACTTCAACAAACCACTCTCAATCGATAAAGGCTCATTGGTCTCCCTCAGTGCAAAGACTAACTCGCCTTCACTTCCTCCACTACTCAATCGACTAATCAGTTGAAAACAAAATTGAGAAACACCCCTCCACCCTCAACCAGATTCATCACTCTACAGGCAGCCACTAGGCTTTAATAGATCGCCTCCCTATGTGTAAAGCCGCTTGAGCACAACCCCTCTCTTATGCTGACAGGTTTCTTTCGAGAAATAAATCCTCCCTCAGCTTTCATTATCACTTCTTGTTAAAGTGTCTAACCTGACCAAATTGAGACCTCCAGTCCCTCCTTGACCAAACCCCCTTGGGCTCAGCAGGAATCCCCCGCTACTGCCCATCCCGCTAGGAAGACTGGGACCCTCGGTTACCACCACCAATCCTCAGTTGTCTTATTTATCCTGGCTTAGGGATTCAGAAGTTGCGCTTAGTTCAGAAGAAGAAGATGATCAGAAGTCTGATACTTCTTTCGGATCAGTCCTCAAGGAAGAACAAGAAGCACGCAAATCACTGGTTATGTCCATGACACTCAGTCACAGAGAGTCAGCCCCTGAAATGCCACCGAAGGTATTTTCTGAAGTGGAGCTGATGGAAAGACTAGAAAAACAACAAGTCACTTTAGCAGAAGACTGGTGAAAAATCACTGGAATGCAAGGTAGCGACCCATTTCCAACAGGAACACCTACAGACTTGGCATTACACACGTGGTATGCCAGGAACTTCAGAAAGGTAATTCCCCCAGAGGTCCCCATTGGAGGGTCCAGTAAGGGTAAGGCCCCAGCCGATCCTGACGATGCATATGAATGCCACCCACCCAATGGAGGACGGGAGTTTAATGTCAGGCATCCTGGAGAATACGATGGAAGCCACAATGGTCTCCAGACCTGGGTTATGCAGGTTGAAGGATACTTGAACCTAAATAAGCATGTGTACAACATGGAGTCCCTCAAGATTTCATTTGCGCTCATGTACATGACGAAAGGTGCAGCAGTCTCCTTCATGGAAAACTACCAAAACGAAAACAAGCTTCTCGATGGAACAATCTATTACATGGACACTTTCCAGAGGTTCGTGGAACATCTCAAAGCTACTTTTGAGTCTGGTGACCAGACTGCTCTTGCCATACTCCGCCTTTCTGAAATCTCTCAAGGCAAACAGGAACTTGAGGTGTACATCGCCAAGTTTACAGGGCTTGTTAACAAGGCTCAACTCAAGGAAGAGTCACATGAAGCAGGGATCTTCTTTGGAAAAGGATTAAATAAAGAACACTGCGACTGGGTTCTTAATTCTGGACATGCCCCTACCATGGTCATTGAGTGGATACAGTGTGCGGGAGAAGCAAGAACCGCGATTGCTACCAAACATATCCTCGAAGGGAAGGAATCTCAGTATGAAAGAAAGTTCATCCATTACCGTGGAAGTTCCTGAGATCCTGATGTGATGGGCGTTGACAAATGTAAAAGAAGCATAAAACGATCCACTTCGGATATTAAATGCTACAACTGTGGCGCTGAAGGTCACATTAAGCGTGACTGTAAAGTCAAGGTCAAAACCCAGCTTTCCAATGTTTGCGTGGTCATCTCAGAAGATGGGATGAAGACTGCTTATGTCGGAGATCGTCTTGCAAACAAGGAGGAACAGAAGCTGTTGGGTTTTTAAAGGGGACTGACGAATCTCCTGCAATAGTCAGTCCCATTGCTATTTTGTCCACTAAATGTACTTCTGTAGATGATGAATCAAACATGTGAATTCGATCACCTCTTGGGATGGTCATTCTATCAGACTACAAGGCAGGAATATGGGCCTGTATTGACTCGGGCACAGAAGTTTCCCTCATTTCGGAATGAATGGTACAGAAGCTTCAGATACCAACATATCTGGTCAAAAGCAAGTTCAAGACCACGTCGTTCACTGGAAAAGATGTTGAGTGGGTCACCTGCAAGGTAACCCTGAAAATGGAAATCAAAGAGCACACAATATGAGTCAAGTGTTATGTTGGCCCACTAGTCGGAAAGGAGCACATGCTCCTTGGAATGCCTTTCCTCAAGGAATTTAAACCACGGATGAATTGGGAGACAGGAAAGATTACTTGTTGGGATGACGGGTACGTACCAAAACCTGGAAGCTTACCAACTATAGGAATGTTGTCTCTGGATCCAAGGGTTCTAGATGGAAGAAACGCAGTGACAGAGGTAAACCCCATCAGAATTAACAAAACAACTCTTTCCACAGAGCTGGAAGCTGCATGGGTGGCTGACAAACAGGAAGTCACTCTTCCTGTCGAGTATCAGGAGTTCACCAAGGTATTCTCAGAGGAAGATATCCCGTTACCAGTCCACTGACCTGGGTTGGACCACGAAATCTGGTTGAATGAAGATTTCAAACCCAAAAAAGCAGCAGTATATCCAATGTCCCCTGATGAACTAAAGGTTTTAGATGAATTCCTGGATGAAAACCTTAAATGTAAGAAGATTAGACCATCAACATCGCCACAAGCAGCTCTGGTGTTTTTCGTTGCAAAGAAGGATGGAAAGAAGAGATTAATTCAAGATTACCACTACCTCAACTTGTTTACCATCCAGGATGCACACCTGTTGCCAAATGCACAGGCATTGTTTGATGAGCTCATCGAATCAAAATACTACACAAAGTTTGACATACGCTGGGGGTTTACAAACCTCTGAGTCAAAGAAGGAGATGAGTGGAAAGGGGCATTTATTACACCCAGGGGCTTGTTCGAACCAACAGTAATGTTCTTTGGACAATGCAACTCACCACCTTCTTTCCAAAGATATATGGGTCGGACTTTCGAGTCTCAATGAGGAAAACAAGTGGGGTACATGGACGACATTGCCATTCATGGCAGGACAAAGGAAGAACTTCGAACTCGAGTACGCAAGTTCCTGAAGATCTGCGAGAAAGAAGGACTGCACCTCAAGATCAGCAAGTGTGTCTTTGAGGCCAAAGAAATAGAATTCCTTGGAATGATTATAGGAAAAGGGTGTATGGAGACTTCACTGATGAAGACTGATGCCATCAGTACCTGGGAAGCCCCTGACAATCTTACAGGGCTTCATCACTTCCTTGGATTCTGTAACTTCTACTGAAAATTCATCCCCTCCTTCTCAAGTGTCACTCGTCCTCTCCACGACCTTACCAAGAAAGGGGTGTCCTACCAGTGGACTCCAGAATGCAACTCTGTGTTCGAAAAATTAAAGTCTTTGTTATGCTCTGCTCCAGTCCTCACCATTCCAGACTTCTTGAAGCCTTTCGTGCTATTTACCGACACTTCGAAACTTGGAACTGGAGCAGTACTCACACAGAAAGGAGCCAATGGTGAATGGCACCCCTGTTCTTACCTTTCCCAGTCCCTCATTGGTGTGGAACAGCATTACCAGGTCTATGACTTGGAAATGCTTGCCATTATCTGCACACTCAGGGCTTTCCGTCCATACCTCCTCTCCCCCATCGAGCCAACTGTGGTCTTCACTGACCACAAAAACCTCAAATACTACCATGAGCCTCAAGAGCTCACCCCTTGTCAAGCTCATTGGGCTGCCACTGTGCAGTCCTACCCCATTTGTTTTTCCTGGCAGGCTGGCCATCTTCAGGTCCCAGCCAACACACTCTCTCACAAGAACAAAACCGTGGAACCTGCCCCAGTAGCCACGGTCCTTCCCCCAGACCTTTGGCTTTCGGAGGGGGTGGGTCCTCAAATTCATCTTGTTTCACCCTCCTTTTCAATAACAAAGTTGCAAAAACAATTAAAAATCAACTGTCTTTGCTGTATTGGGCATCTTCCTGCTCATCTAACACAATCCAAGACAAACTCCAAGCTGTATTCTTGCCCATCTGAGGAAAAGCCAAAGAAGAATTGGCTGCCTGAGGCTCGCCCTTCTGAGCAATTCATCAAAGGAGCCAGGGGAGTCTATGTGATCTCTGCCAACCTGTATGAGTGCATCAAGAACGACATGTCAAAGGTCTCTACAGGACCAGTAGCTCAGGAAAACATCACTGTTGCAGAAGATGGAACAAAATGGTTTGGAACCATGTGCCTCTACATCCCCCCCGAACACCAACAACATTGTATGTGAACCTATCATGACCACAAATCCTCTGGTCACCCTGGGCAGAAGGCAATGTTCGCTAAAATGAAAAAAGAAGTCTGGTGGGAAGGTATGGGAAAAGATATCAAGGCTTACATCACAGGATGTCCAAAGTGTCAGACCACCAAAGTGGTTACTCACCCGCCGACACCGCCTGTCATCCTGCATGAAGCCCCAAAGGTCGTGTTTCTGTTCCAACAAATATCAATGGATCTTATCACCGATCTTCCAGTATCAGGAGAACATTCATATGACTCTATTCTCACGGTTGTCGATCAGGGTCTTACTAAAGCCGCCCTGTTTGTTCTGTGTCACAAAACTATTGACTCCATCAGACTCACCCGACTGTTCCATCAGTTCATATATTCCCAATATGGAATTCTGGAGTCAGTAATCTCAGATCATGGACCCCAGTTTGCATCATCATTTACAAAGGAGTTGTACAAGGCGATAGGGGTCAAAACCAAACTCTTGTCCGGATATCACCCACAGACCAACAGAGAGAGCAAATGCATCAATCAAGAGGTAGAAGGGTACTTACAACTTTACTGCTCCGAGTTCCCCAACTCATGGGCTGCCAAGCTTCCTTCTGCCAAGTTTGCTCACAATGCAAGGGTGCACTCTGTCCATCAGATGACCCTGTTTTCCCTTCTCCTCAGATATGACCCCTCCCCTTACCCAGAGGTTCAGCTCACCCTGGTACCCACCATAGATGAAAGGCTAGAACGGCTAGCCTCAAACCGAGACATTGCAATCCTCGCACACAAGAAAGCACAAGACCTGATGCATTCATGCTCAAAAGGGTCTTATGTTGCACCCAAAGTAGGAGACCACGTTCTCCTGGATACCAGGCATCTTCATATCAAAAACCAGTGTGACAAGATTGTGCCCTGACATCTCAGGCCCTTCAAGGTGACTCAGGTGGTTTCACCAGTTGCCCTCCAGTTGGACCTCCCACCAATGTGGAAGGTACACCCCGTGTTCCACACCTCTTGGATCTTCCCTTTCATTGAAAACCAAACACACAGAGCTGCACCTGCAGCACCTCTTCCAGAGTTGGTGGATGATGAAATTGAGTGGGAAGTCGAGTCAATTCTAAATCACAGGACTGATGGTCAAAGAGGTAAGAGGTGCTATTTGGTCAAATGGAAAGGGTTTCCCCATTCGTCAAATACCTGTGAACCTGAGGAACATATAAAAGACCACACGTCAGAAGCCCTCAACCAGTACAAGCTCGCTCGACACCTCAGAAATTAATGGATTCCCCCCACTCTGTCAACACTGAAAATGACTATGCCAACCTCCCCCTTGCCATTGAATCCTTTCACAATGCCAACAATGATGGGCTCATCCCCCCCATCGTTGTCTATGCCCCAACCTCACCCCCAACATCCCCCACTGGCTTTCATGTCTCTGGCTTCTCCTCACCCCTCTCTCAACCCCACTCGGTATCACCCCCTGCCTCCAGGGTTTGTGGACCGCGCCTGCTCCAGGGGTTTTCCATCTAATGCATCCCCACACCCAAGGCTAGAGTCCCCCTCAGTGGAGACAGTAACTGCAAGGGAAAGGGTAAGGTGCAGGTTGGTGATGACCCCAATAGCCCAGCAGCCACCACCGGTAGCACTGATGCTCCTGAACCTGCCAACCTATGCACCACCTTTACCACCTACTCTGATAGCACTCAACACGCAGCCCTCGACCTCCTCGCAGCAACCACCTCTGCCAGGCTTGACCAGCAAAGATTACCAGTCTCAGCAGCTGACTACCTGGACATTGTTAGGGCACTTGATGTCTTCCACGATGGGGATGACATTGATGGGTGCTCACCAGAACAGGTTGCGTATTTTGGGCTGCTGTCTCAAATCTACAGAGCGTCAGACATGATCAATGGGTTGGTTTCAAAAGTTCGTACTAGGAAGCTCATGGGCACCATGCCACTGTCGGAAATTATAATGATCGACATGCTGGAGAAGGCTTCCTCGGATCTTACCGAAGCCATTACTGGTGGAGTGTATCACCACTTACGTCAAAAACAAATTGGAGAGTTCTTGGCACTGCCCGCATCTCGACTTCTCGATCAGATCAAACCAAAACAAGAGGAACCATCAGTTTTGAAATTAAAAGACAACATTCTGGATCAGGAGAAGGAGAAGCAATGGCATGCCATGCAACTAGGGTATGTGGATTCGGGAGAGCTCTTTAAAGAGGTTGGTGTGTGACTAGGTATGGGAACTCACAACTCTGCTTGGGAGGTACTTCTGCAGGATGCGTCATGGGCTGGGCTGCACAAAAACTACCATAACACCGTCCACAGTGCCAACCCTCTCCCTGCAGCTCCCTTCATCCCTGTCCCTTCTGATCAGCTTTGGTTCCACCTTGGAGGGCAGACACCAGTCCCACCTGACCATGTCCTCTATCAGCATGCCTGCTACCAGTGCCATTACCTGGGACATTGATCATGCCATAACAGATGTGGCTCCTGCTTTACTCCAGCCCTCGAGGAACTGCCGACTCCATTGCCATCGTCACCCATTGCTAATAGAACTCACTTCCGCATCTACACTACTCACCAACCCCTATCCTCCCATCTGGCAAATGCGACTTCTGGCCCGTCCTCAAGGGTCTGAGGACCTTAGAGGGGGGGTGATGTTATGCTTCTGTCAGGGGTCTTTCCTTTTTCAACTCCTCGTGGTCACATGCATCACATGCCTCATCACATCCCTCGTAATTGTCACCATCCTAGGGGCTCGAATGCTCCAGGGAACGTTCAGATCTCCTGCTGTCAAGGTATTTCCAATACCTGTCGAGACCGTGTCGCCACTGTGATCCAGTATTCCACTGCTCTCTTTGATGGACAACTTGTTTCATTCTTGTTCCGCTAACTCGTCTCTGACTCGTGTTTGTCGTTTACATGTTGTACTATAGCTCCGGTGTCAGGCTCCCCACTGCGCATTGATTGTGCCAGCCAGTACAGCCTTCGTTGTCCCCCTACCCCATCATATGACACCGTATGACTCATATTTATTTAACTGATGGGATTGTTGATTACTGCGGATACACATCGCGACATGTCTGTCATGACTGGCATGGTACTCGTACTTAGGGGTATATAATCCTATGTACTTCGTCCTGTATCTGTAGTTTTTTGATAGCTTGCAACTGAGCTTCATCCCTTCGCTCTATCCTGTTCCTTTCTCTGTGCAAATACTTGCCAGCAGAACAGAACCTTTGTCTGGATACTGCGATAACTCAGCCATAGGGGTTACAACAAGTTTGGCCCGTAGTCTCCCACCTCACGCACTTTGTGCCTATTCCATTTGAAGAAGTCACTGCACTCAGGCATAACAATGCACATGATAGTTCACATCACATGACCCTCTTAACTGAAGCTGAAGTTGAACACTTGGACTTCACATTTGCAGGGTGAATGGTGCCTTATCTATTGAACTACAAGTTGTGTTGTTGTTTTATATAATCATCACATGACTACATTACTGAAGCAGAAGCCCAAAACTTGGACTTCACATTTGCATGTGCATCACAGCTTATATAAACATCACATCACTACTTTGCCAAAGTTGAAAAAATAACAATAAATTTATATAGACTGTCAAAAACTTCAACTTTGACTTTGGAGGATGAACAGTGCCTAAAGTGATGCAGTCAAGCTCCAGTAAGTTGGCTCTGCATCTTCTGAATGTATTCTTATTCATCATCATATGATTTCATAATAGAGTCCACAAGGCATATCTCAGGGATTCTGAGTGGCAACAGAAGCAAAGCATGCTGATCATGACATTCATTTGATGGCAGAGGACATGGCTCCAGCATTACTCAAGTATCAATTTGATAAGCACTATTGACATCTGTCCCTCAATGCATTGCTCCCTCGACAACAAGTAACTGGAGAGGCCTGTGCATTGATGTGATGCCTACAGTATGTCCCTTCAGTGTCTATCAACTTTATTTTCATCCAAGCACATAGTATTCCTCACAGATCTGGTGTGAACATGCCTGGAATCAGAATGGTCGATGTGGCTGAGGATGTGTTTGTGTTGGGCCTGGAGTGGGTCAACAGGAAATCAGTGCAAGTCTTACTTCCAGGAGTGTCAGAGGTTATGGAGGCCCAGGATTCTGATGCAACTGATGGTGTTGGCCCTGATTGTTGTGAAGATGCTGTGCTTGCAGAATTCAGTGTTGAGCAAGGTAAGGGTTTCTATAGGAAAAGTGTTGCATTTACTCAAATCATTTCATTGTAGATGATCTGTTGAGTATGATTGGTGTCGAAATAGCAAAGATGCACATCACAGACATCATTCATGGTGACCTGACCACTTCGAATATGATGCTCTGCAGGGGGGAAAAGGACCTGGTCTGTTACACCACTGTGATATCATTCAAGTTCACTTACATACCAGGTGCTGATTGACTTTGGGCTTGCTTACTATTCTTTGCTGGTGGAGGACAAAGTGGTAGACCTCTAGGTGCTCAAATGCACTTTCACATCAACACATCCAGATGTGGAGCCACTCTTCAACTCAGTTCTTGCTTCATATGAGAAACACCTCAGAAAGCACTGGTTCATAATCAAGAAACAGTTGGATGACAGCAAGTCATACTCCCTATAGTGCTACCTTTGTTTCTCTGAATGACAACCCCTAGTTCACCTCAGAAGTAGAAAATGCAGTACAGTAGGTTAATTCTGTGTCATAAAGGAAACCTGTAATCTATTAGGACCTTGGTGTTTTGTTTTTTCTTCCCATCTGCCTTTGCACCAATGGTATTTTCAAATCCTTTTAGCATAGGGATAGTGGCATGTGCCATCGATAGAGTGGGTTGCAATGACTGGGGTATCAATGGCACATGTCACTACCCCTATGCTCCTGCCCAAGTTTGAGAGCCTGAGGCAGTACAGTGCTCAAGATTTCCTACGCATTGCAAGAACTCAACCAGTGGCAATGGTGGGTGCATGCAATCTGTATTATATTCCTTCCCAGTCTTGCTGTTATCATGAATTTCTTCTGGTCCATGTTCATGTTGGTTGTAGGTACATTGACTACTTGAGCATGGTCATGCCCAGATGCTGTGTTGACAGAAGAGTGGCTCATGTTCACCATTGAGTGCATCCTGAGTAACAATGGTATGCAAGTGATATCCCTTAATGGTGGAGTTACAAGGGACACTATCACAGTAATGCAAGCCAGGTACATATATCCAACTCCAATGACTTGCTTCAGCAACTGATGTTTCTAATATTCCCACAAAGGGAGCATCAGGAGTACTGGCAAAGAGCTGGTCAACATCCTGCACTGAAGGGTACACTGCGATGGGACCGCTCTGCACCCTGTCTCTCCAATATTGCTTTCTTTGCAATCACTGCATCCACCACTTTTAAACTCTACAAACTCTACATTTGGCAGTGTTATTGGTATGCCAGGATCACCCTAGTGGCAATGGCAAGAGCATTCCAATCTTGCTCCCAGGAAGGGACTGCTTCATTTTCTGGAGGGTGGCTCTCAATGTTTGGGAGCTACAAGCCATCACAAGTCCAACATCTCATATATCTTCACATCAACTACTGTCATGATTTATGCCCACCTGCCAGCCACCTACCTCCTCCTATAATCCCCACTTTGGAGGCCAGACAACATGCTTCTGCCTTCATCACACTAGACATTCTCTATGGCCTTGCCACATTGCCAATGTCCAGAGGCCTCTGCCACATTCAGCATTGCCCACACTACCAGTTGTCATTGTAAACCAACATGATGACCAGTTGACTGGAGGAATACTTGGATCCTCTGGTTTCATCACAATGATATTGTGGACCACACCTTCATATATTGGATATTGGATTGTGGTCATCAGAAGTGTGCAGACTTGACACTCTGCCCAGGTTCCAACTTGCTCAAACCATATAGATAACATCAGTAAATCACTTTTGCTGGCCAGAGCTGTCCAGAGCTGTCCAGCACTGGACAGATTCCCTAGGACTACCAGCTCACAAAGTGGTCTACTGATGAACCCATCACAGCAGAATTCGATGGCTTTCCTCATGCCTTGCATGAGGGTTTTCCTTGTCATGTTTGACTCCACAGACATCACATCCAGTCTATTTCTTCAAGGTCATTTCCCTCAACGTTTTTCACTATGTTTTGTGCTTTGTGTAGAAAACACTAGGAATTTGCCAACTTTAACATGATAGGACCTCCTGATGCTTGCATGACATCATCGGCTATATCGACTGAACTTGTCTCTCAATAACACCAGTCCTCTTCGTTGCGACTCAATCTGCCTGCTATGACACTCCTGATCCCTTTGACTTGCTACTATGGTGATGCACATGTCGTGCCTTCTGGACAGCTGTGGGGATCCTCGAAGTAGTACAGCGTTCAGGATTTCCTGGGCGTCGCGAGGAATATCAAAATGGCAGCAAGGGTCGCTGCATGTGATCTTTATCATATTCCTTCTTGGTCATCCTGCTATCGTGAATTTCTTCTTGCCCGCGTCGACATAGGTGCATGCATTGAACTTATTCATCTACAATTATGCTGAGATGCCATAGTTGATGGAGAGAAACTCATGCTCATCATCGAGCGAGCCAAAAGATACGATCACCGTTGTGCGAGCCTGTACGTTGTGCTGCTCCAGCTCAGGTATATTACAATGGTGGCTGATGCTTTCGATCTCTCTGCCTAGGGAGGACCACGAGTATTGGCAGCGGGTTGGTCAAATTCCCGTATGTATGGGGACACTTCAATGGCATGACCATCCACCCCACCTCTTGGACATCGTTTCGATTTCCGGCACCGCATCCGCAGCGTTCAAATACTACAACTGTTACGTGCGCCAATGTCATTGGTACGCTAAGGTCATTCTGGCTTCGATGGCGAAGGTATTCCCATCTTGCTCTAAGGAGGGAACTACTTCGTTCTCGAAGAGGAGATTTGCGATATTTGGAAGCCACAAGCTGTCGCAGGTACAACTCCTTGTGGACCTTCACGCTATTTACCATCAGGACACATGCGCCTGCCCACCTCCTGTGAATTATCCCTTTATCATCACACCTGATTGTCTCCAGGCCTTCAAGTCGGCCATAACTGGATGCCTTGAGACATCTTTGGCACAGATAGACTGGCTTCAACCCGCTGGTGGCGTCGTCAATGGCTGCTGTGACCCAACGCTAGGACGTGAGCCCAACACCGCTGGTGGATGGACCTGAAGGCGGTAACGGTGGGATGAATGTCCTAAAAGCAAAAATTGGCGATGTCAAAGGTCGAATAGTCTTCTCGGGTCTTGTTTTAACCCTCCTCGTACACGGCTTTTGGGAGTGAATCTTTGCCCACAAGTATATAACTTGCGTAGTGACTCTGACTTCTGTACAGTGTATTCTGGATAACCACAGTAGTTCGTACTGTTTTCCGATGAAGCGCATTGAAGTAGGGCCTAATGGGCAAAACGGAAAAGGTCGGAAAGACTCGGGAGCCACGTCATTCTGTGGATCAACTGTTGGACTTCTCCGTGAGCACGGTCTATAGATACCCACGACGTTTATTTTCTCGAGCCATCAGAGCTTCAATGGACAACATTTCACTAACTGTTAGGTCAAGTGCCGCTGGAATGTTCAAGCGCCAGCAAGTCATTTCTTCTATCGATCACGTCAATCAATGGTGTTTAGGACAAGTGGGTACCCAACTATGAGTTAGAAGCTATAGACATGCAATAGGGAGCAGCTAGGTGACAGAATCTACGCAATAACAAGTGTTGTGACCTCGCTTTCCACGATACTTCCTGTATCTATCGGGCGAGCAACGATAAAACAATACGACCCGATCCGCTTATACTCGTTATGCGACAACTTCGTCAGCAGAAGCGCATGGAATAGTTGCCGCAGCTCTGCAAGCTTGTACGAAGTGCCATGCGCATTGGGCACGGTACCCGATCCGAGTCGTGCGCGTGGGATAAGCTGGAGCCCTTGTCACGTGCGGCGTCAGACATCGCAGCGGCCGCAACCGGGCCGGAAGTTAGCTGCCTGTCTGACTTTACACACGTCTCTAAGGCGATGCCGTCAACCTCCTTGAGCTCCCCATCGCCGACACAGCGCTTACTTGGTTCTGCGCAGCTGATATACACCAGGGCGCGGAAGCAGCAAGTTAGCTCTCTGCTTCTTCCGAACGTATTCTTATTACTCATCGTCCAATGATTTCATGATAAAAAGTCTACAAGGCGTATCTCAGGGATCCCGAGTTGCGACAGAACGCGAAGCACGCCGATCATGACACTTGCTCGATGGCGGTTCCAGTGTTACTAAAGTATCGATTCAATAAGCGCTACCGACATCTGTCCCTCGATGCGTCGCTCGCTCGACAACGAGTAGCTGGAGAAGCCCGCGCGCTGATGCGATGCCTACGGTACGCCCCTTCGGTGTCTATCAACTTTATTTTCGTCCGAGCACGTAGTATTATTCCTTCAGATCCGGTGTGAACGTGCCCGGAATCAGAATGGTCGATGCGGCCGAGGGTGTGTTGGGCCTGGAGTGGGTCGATGGTAAATCAGTGCGAGTCTTACTTCCGGGAGCGTCAGAGGTTATGGAGGCCCAGGATTCCGATACAACTGATGGCGTTGGCCGTGATCGTTGTGAAGGTGCTGCGCTTGCAGAATTTGGTGTCGAGCGAGGTAAGGGTTTCTATAGGAAAAGCGTTGCGTTTACTCGAATCATTCCATTGTAGACGATCTGTTGAGTATGATCGGCGTCGAAATAGCAAAGATGCACATCGCGGGCATCATTCATGGCGACCTGACCCCTTCGAATATGATGCTCCGCAGGGGGAAAAGGACCTGGTCTGTTACGCCGCCGTGATATCGTTCAAGTTCACTTACTTGCGTACCAGGTGCTGATCGACTTTGGTCTCGCTTACCATTCTTCGCTAGTGGAGGACAAAGCGGTCGACCTCTATGCGCTCGAACGCGCTTTCGCATCAACGCATCCAGACGCGGAGCCGCTCTTCAACTCAGTTCTCGCTTCATATGAGAAACGTCTCAAAAAGCACTGGTCCGCAATCAAGAAACGGTTGGATGACGGTGAGTCATACTCCCTATGGTGCCGCCTGTGTTTCTCTGACCGACAGCCCCTAGTTCGCCTCAGAGGTAGAAAGCGCAGTATGGTAGGTTAATTCTGAGTCATAAAGGAAACCTGTAATCTATTAGGACCTCGGTGTTTTGTTTTGTCTTCCCATCTGCCTTCGCACCAGCAGTATTTTCGGAGCCTTTTTTCTGTCGCACGGAAATCTTCAAGGCATGCGCAATATGTACTTGTATGTGTAACTCATACTACCACGGCCGGGCGACGGGAGTGGGTCCGAGTCAGCGATAATAAGCGTGGACGTGGTTAGGCTTGGATTCAACTGATTAGGCAAGTCCTCGTTTCGCGTTTCGCATGAAGTCTGATTAGGTGGAGAGCGACCGTGACATCAAGATAGCTGTTTGATTTCTACGGTACGCTGTATGTCACGCTCAGTTCTCTGATGGTATGTATAAGTGCTCTGACAAGCTATACGTCAAATACTATCCAACTCGAGTGTGACTTGCTACACCCTCGCAGAGTCGTCGCAACTCGTGCTTACCCTCGTCGTTCCTTATAATTCTTTCTTCATACACACGCATGTAAGGAGACGAGGGATTGTGTGGGGAACGAAGACGTGGAGAGACAGATGAGAGGGAACGCAGTGGAAGACGTCGAGGGAAATGACCTTGAAGAAATAGACCAGAAGCGATGCCCGCGGAGTCGAACACGAAGGCAATGCAGAGCCTCATACAAGTCTCGGGCGGGAGGAAAGCCATTGAATTCTGCTGTGGTGGATTATCTACACGGTTTGAGCAAGTTACAACTTGGGCGGAGATGGTCCAGTCCGCACGCTTCTGATGACCGGGGTCCGACACACGAAGATGTGGTGCACAATGTCGTCGCAATCATAACGCTAGGACGGACTAGTCGCGTGCTATTCGAGCTATTAGGGCACCTACACAATCATGTACAGAAAAATAGAGATAATAAGGGCCATAGGAATGAAAAAACTATTACGGTACCATGCCAGCATGACGTAGTGATGGTATAGGTAAATTGCGTACTTAAAATTCGAATCACATATCTACAACAGATGATCAAAGCTCATCCGCTAGCATCATCGAGCTTTGTCTCTTGGAAGTCCAATTCCTCCGGATCGCCGCAGTTGTCATCCACCTAGTGGGACTCCATATACATGCTGGATCCGAGTATTCCTCCGGCGAACTGGTCATCGTGTCGGTTTACAATGACAACCGCTAGTTCAGGCAACGCCGAATGTGACAGAGGCCTCTGGAAGTTGGCTATAAGCATGGAAAGACCATGGAGAATGTGTGGTATGACGAAGGCAGTCGCATGTCGTCCGGCTTCCATGGTGGGGATCACAGGAGGTAGGTGGCCGGCAGATAGGTAAACCTTGGCAGGCGATCGTATGAAGATCGACGAGGAGTTGGACTTGTGATGGCTTGTAGCTCCCAAACATTGAAAACCACCTCCTCGAAAATGACGTAGTGCCCTCCCTGGAGCAAGGGGGAAACGCTCTTTCCATGGCAGCCAGCGTGACCCTTGCATACCAATAGCATTGCCGAACATAGAGATTGTAGTGTTTAAAAGTGGTGGATGCGGCGCTTGCGAAGAAAGTAATATTGAAGGGATGGGGTGGAGAGCGGTCCCATCGAAGTGTACCCCTCAGTACAGGATCCTGGCCGACTCTTTGCCAGTACTCATGGTTCTCCCTTCGTGGGGATATTAGAAACGTCAGTCACTGAAGCAGGTCATTAGAGTTGGATATACCTGGCTCGCACGACTGTGATAGTGTCCCTTGCGACTCCACCATTCGAGGATATCACTTGCATACCATTGTTACTCGGGCTGCGCTCGATGGTGACCATGAGCGTCTCTCCTGTCAACACAACATCAGGGCACGATCATACTCGAGTAGTCAGTGTACTTACGATCAACATGAATGTGGACAAGAAGAAATTCATGATAGCAGGAAGACCGGGAAGGAATGTAATATAGATCACATCCGCCGACCGTTGCCGCTGGTTGAGTTCTCGCTATGCGTAGGAAATCTCGAACACTGTACTGTCTCGAGCTCTCATGCTCGTGCAGGAGCATAGTGGTAGTGGCATTTGCCATCGATAGAGTGGGTTGCAATGACTGGGTCCGGTGCTTGGAGGGGATTCGGGGGATACCATCGCACTAGTTATATAGGACGAAGCAGAAATGTGCAAAGCAACAGATCGATAGGAAACGAGGCTCACCTAAGCCTAGAGTTCGGCACACGTAGGACGTTTCATAGGACGAACCAGTGGACCCACAATGGGACGAACTAGAGCGCCCATGCAGTCGAACCCCACAGCGGTGCAGAACCTACTATATAAAAATGTGCTAAAATGCATGACACGAGGGTTGAGCAAGGCAGCCGTCGTCTCGTCTGGGCAGTAAAAACCCTCATGTCAGCAACAGCAGGCATCTGGGGGTGGGCAGTGTTGCAGGTCTGAAAACGAAGCTTACCTAAGCCTCAATTCGTGACATGAGGGTCAAGCAAGGCAGCCTTTTACTGATAACCCAACAGACTTTGGAGAGTTAAGGACAAGTTTTAATGTCATACAGAAGTAAAAAACTGTACTTGAAAATTAATTTGACAACTTTTCAAAGGAAAAACTTGATGTATTAGCAAACATTGAGGCATTCACAAAAACTTCAAGTTTTGCCTTTGAAGTTTTGTGTAATTAATTTTCAAGTGCAGTCTTTACATTTGTACTACATTAAAACCTGTGCTTAACGCTCCAAATCCCTAAATGGACCTGTTCCTGGGTCATCCTGGGGATTCTCTGGCCTAAATGGACCTGTTCCCAGGGCATCCTGGGGGATTCCCCAGCCTAAATGGACCTGTTTCCTGGGCATCCTGGGGATTTCCCTAGTCCAAATGGACCTGTTTCCTGGGCATCCTGGGGATTTCCCCAGCATAAATGGACCTGATCCCAGGGCATCACAGGGGTTTCCCCAGCCTAAACAGTGCTATTCCCAGAGGTTCATCTGAACCACCCAACAGACCACTGTAAGAGTTGTCCAACATGGGATGCTCTTTGAATCATATAAACACCTCCAAGTTTGGCATTGATCAGTGAATGTATTCAATGTCCTTGATTGCCACATGGCTGCAGTATTTATTGTGGAGAAGGACTACACAGAGGCTTGGAATGCTGTCCCCCAGCCTAAATAGACCTGTTCCCAGGGGATCCTGAGGGTTTCCCCAGCCCAAACAGATCTATTCCAAGAGGATCATGGGAACCCCCCCCCATTTCAAATAGATCACCATAACAGCATGAAGGAGCAATCAAAGTGATTTGGAGTCTCCATACTGCTGACAGGGGTGTGTCATATCAAGTACCTATTCCATGACATCAGATCTGAGCACTCTATACAATATGTAAAATAGCATGGCCATAGACCACTGAGGAATGTTTGGTGACATCTGATGGAGTAAGTAGTATTTACTTGGTCATGGCAATTGCCCAGGCACAGACATGCAGAGTCTCCAACCACATATTTGACTGTGGAGGGAATTATACTGGGGATTCTCCAACTCACTCTGGGGATTCTCCAAACCACCCTGGGGATTCTCCTCACAGAAATCTATAGCAAGATCTCAGTCGAGTGTGCAAGCAGCAAACGTCTATATTTGCATTACCTATAGCAAGATCTAAGGTAACAACGTGAGCATGAAGTACACGAACATGGGAACAAGACACTATACCCACCTCAGTCGAGTGCACAAGTGGCAAACATCTGAGGTGGTGTTACTACAGTAACAAGTTAAATATGCTATACGAAACAAAAGGGTGAGACACAGGTGTTGAACCTGGTATTGAAACTACAAGCACGGTCATAGTGCGAGTGCTTGTACCGTTAATTATACATATGAAACATTTGGAGACAATAAACCAAAAATTACCATGCTGTATTGTCAGCGCTCGAAACAACTAAGTACAGTGGTCTTGTAGACCCATAAATGGGAAGTGTTTCCCATGGTAAGGAAAAGTAGCATCAATTAGTGAATGAAGGCTACGAGCAACTTGCCAAATCTAACACTCCCCCTCAAGTTGGGCATAGGCCAAGTTCAACCGCAAAATGTTTCACCTTCGGAGATGGTAGTGCCTTCGTTAGCATATCAGCGATCATGTCTGCGGTTGGTGTGAGTCAAAGTGAGGTTTAGTGGTGAAAACCAACCAAAACCAACACAAAAGACAATGAAAGCGAGTGGTGGTGTGCCTATGCAGTACCTAGATGGTAGAACCTGTTCTTTGGGAGGGTTTCTGCGAGCTGCAACACTCAGAGATGAGTGCTGAGGGTTGGGGGTGCTCCTGACGAAGAGGGAGCAAGAATGCGATAGAAAGCAATAGGGTAGACTGCTGTCAGCCTACAGAAGGATGGATGGTGACTTAATTCAATGTCCTAAGCTGTACTGAGCTCAGGGAGGGCTTGGAGCGAAGTATATGGATGATAGATGATGATAAGTGAAGTAGATGATAGCTAGACCCTTAATAAAGTCTCAACTATTGAAGCTGATGAATGATTTACTGAGAGATGATAAATTGCAAGCAAGAGGGGCTCTCTGATGTCTTTTTATGTCACATCTTGAAGAGATTGCCTCTAGGCCAAAGTGGGATGACAGAGAGGCAGCGCTGATCTGATGCCGATATAGTACATCCAAAAGTGGGCAGGGTGAGTCAGATGTCAACAGGTGTCAAGCTTTGGGGGTCTGTGGGGTGACAGGAGCATAGGGGATTGCAACTTTCCCCCCCAAACCATCCTCTCAGTGAAGCAAATAAAAACTTCATGAATGAGGCTCTGTTGGAAGAGAGGATGAAGGGGGAGCATCTTCTGCTGTATCTTGCAACAAGGAGGCAAGATGTGCATCATACTCGTCATGGATGCGATCAGGGAGAGTGGAGAACAGTAGATTATACTGTAGCTGTCGCAATTTTGGAAGAATGATGGACAAGACTGGTATGAAGACATTGCAGGGGGCAGGGAGGAAGGATCCATATGCTTCTTGGACCGGAGAGACTGAAACAACCACATAAGACCTTTCCAAGCGAACAACAGACCTGAGGCAACCAAAGAACATCCTCCTGGAGGTCATACTGACAAAAAGAACATGCTGTCCAAGCTGGATGGGCTGAGAGGGGGCAGATGAGGGTGGGATGTACCAGGATGCTTCAGGACGGAAGCTGGTAGGAACTCCTGGTAGATATATGTAGCCATGGTCCCTAGCAAAGGGGACAAGCGAAATGACTGATGTGGAGGCAGCCATATCAGAAGAACTAGTGAAATGAGTGTCTTTTGGAGGGAGTGCTGTAGAAATGTGTGGAGTGCGCAAATCCTTTCCAATCCTGGAAGGTAGGATCACATGGCTGAGCACTACAAGCGAGTGTGGGAATGGTTTCGGTGTCTGCAGAACTGGTGGAGATACGTCGAAAACCGGAATGCCGTACATGGGTGCTTAAGAATTTTATTGGCACTTAACTTGCCTCCTCCTTTTTCTTTGGCATTGACAACTTGTTCTTGTGCGAGGGATGACTGCCGACATTGCTGGCTGTCCTTCTTCACATGAGGGCTATGGTCTTCACCTCCATTCATCAGCTACATCCATGTCCACCTCACCAAACACCTTTGGTGTGTGACATCGGGCAATATATGAGGCAAATTTTGCCATTTTCTACAACCCAGCGAATGAAGTGAAAATGGATATCGATGTGTTTGGTGCGTGCATGATACTGATGGTCTTTAGTGAGCACGATGGCTGATTGATTATCGGAAAACAACATGGTTGGCTCGACGAATGGCTGAAAAGGCTCTCCAATGAGTGACCAAAGCCACAAGGCCTCCTTGGCCACATGTGTGGCTGCCACGTACTCGCTCTCAGTTGTTGAGAGCAAGACGATTTCCTGTCTTTTAGAAGACCACGACACCACTCCGCTGTCTATTAGAAAAGTGTACCCTGAGACTGCTCTGTGGTCTTCTGCCATGCTGCCATCTGCATCTGCATACCCGGTCAATGCACTTGGTGATCCCCCATACATGAGTCATAAGCCTTTTGTCCTGAGAAGGTACTGATAAATTCTCTTTACAGCTTCCCACTGAGCAACTCCAGGGTTGCCTGAGAAACATGAGACGGTTGTTATGGCATATGAGATGTTGGGACGAGTGGCAAGGGAGGCGTACATGAGTGATCCTATGGCTTCATGATAGGGTATGTGGCACATCATAGCGAATTCAGCACCAGTTGATGGCGACTGCCCAGAATGCAGTTTGGTACTGGGTTCCATCAGGTTTGACACGGGCTTGAGCTCGTCGAAGCCGAAGCGTCGTATGATGGACTCGATGTAGGGGCATTGGCACAGGGAGATGGTATGTTCATCTCTATTTCTGGTTACTTCAATGCCAAGCAGCCAGTGAAGTTCCCCAAGGTCGGTAATCTCAATGTATTTTCTGACATTGCGCTTAAGCTCCTCTATCTCATTTAGGGACGTTGTGGCGATGGTGCAATCATCAACATGGATGACAACGATGACAAGCTCACCAGTGGTGTGTCATCTGAAATAGACGGCCTGGTCGACTGAGCACTGGGTAAGGCCCAGCTCATCGACGAGGATCTCCACTAATCTTTGGTACCAGTGACGGCCGCTCTGCTTCAAACCATACAATGTCTTTCGGAGGCGACAGACTTTATTGGGGTGATCGGTGGATTCGAAGCCTGGGGGCTGTTGCATGTGGATTACTTCATCATTGGTAAGTGTACCGTTCAGGTATGTGCCTTTGATATCAATCTGATGGAGTTCCAGGTTTGATCATGCTGCCATGGCAAGGATGGTTCGAATGGATGTGAGCATTGCAACTGGGGCGAAGGTATCAAAATAATCGACGCCTTCGACTTGAGAGAAGCCTTGAGCGACGAGTCAGGCTTTGTACTGTACCACATTTCCAGCAGCATCTTTCTTCGTGTGGAACACCCATTTGGATCCAACTATGTTGGCACCACGAGGTGTGTCAACGAGTTCCCAAGTACCTGCCATGTGTAACATTGCTAACTCTTCTCTTATCCCAGCCTCCCACTGCGGCCAATCTGGCTGACAATGAGCCTCAGCCAGTGAGGTAGGCTCAAGGGCTTCGGACTCAGCGGTGACTTTGTTCATGGCCATAGTGAGGTTGATATTGCAAAGGGCGTCATTGGGATCATCTACGATGGATGCAAGCAAAGCTGTGGCTCTGTCCTCCCCCTCAAGTCT